AAATGCAACACCTTATAGCCCTTGTAACCTGAAGAATATCCTAAAAACACACATTTGTCTGCTCTAGGACTGAATTTATGGCGATCTTTTTGTAAAGTAGCAACATAGCAGAGACATCCAAATGATTTCAGAAAAGAATATTGAGGTTCTTTCTTTGTTAGCAGTTCATATGGTGTTGAATTTTGTAAAATAGCAGAAGGAGTTCTATTTATCAAGAAAACAGATGTTAAAATGCAGTCACTCCAATATGCTAAAGGGACATTAGACTGAAACAATAATGCTCTTGCAACATTAAGTAAATGCTGGTGCTTGCGCTCCACAACAGAATTCTGTTGTGGAGTATAAGGACAAGAGTACTGATGAACAATGCCATGTTTACTAATGATATCATTAAAAGCCAATTCAGGAGCATTATCAGTTCTTATAGCTTTAACACATGCATTGTATTGAGTTTTAACATGTTGTAAAAAAGCTGGAAAATGTTTCAATACTTCACTTTTATTTCTTAGCATATAGATCCATGTTACACGGGTGTGATCATCAACAACAGTAAGAAAGTACTTATATCCTTCAACAGATTGTACAGAAAAGGGACCCCAAACATCAAGATGAATAAGATCAAAAGCAGAGTGAGACCTATTATTATGAGATTCAAATGACAATCTTTTTTGTTTTGCTAATGGACAAATAGGACAATGAGACTCTAACATGACACTAGTTTTAGGTAAAGACAAAGTACCAGATAACATTTTTAACTTGTCAGAGGATGGATGTCCTAGGCGTTGGTGCCAAAGATTGCCATCAACCGCCAAGGATCCAGAAAAATGAGACGGAATGGATGTAGATGGTGATGGAGAATCAAGCGTTAAAATGTAAAGATTATGCAGCAAGAGTCCTTTACCAAGCATCAAGCCCTGAATAGACTCCTGGATAAAGCAAAATGCAGGATAAAAGTGAGCTGATGCATTGTTATGTTTTAAAAGACTACTTACAGAAATAATATTGAATTTGAATGATGGAACATGCAAAACATCATGTAAAACAAGCAAATGCGATAGATGAATGGTGCCAGAATGTGTGATAGCTACTCTAGTAGCATTTGGCAAAGAGACTGTAACATCAGAGACAGTTACAGTTTCATTAAAAAGAGTCAGATCAGAGCAAACATGACTTGTTGCTCCTGTGTCAATTATCCAACTACCCTGTGGAAGGTTAGAATATAGGGTAGACAAACATTGATGTTGAAATGTAAGTTTATTGTTTTCAAATCTCAGAGAAGTGGATGGAAAAGAGGCATTACCAGAAAAAGAGACATTACCAGAACTAGATTGAGGATCCATAGCACCATTCTCTGTAATAGACGCAATTAATGGGGAAGGGACTTGATTCTCTGAAACTTGAGCATGAGTATTGAATTGTTGTATCAATGATTGCATCTGTTCTTGATTCATCTGAGTGACATCCAAACTTGTTGTATTCACAGCAGAAGGAAACTGAGAAGATGAACTAGATGCACCAGACACCACATTAGCAACAGAATGTGTTTGAGGTCTGGGATTAGAGTACTGCGCTCTTGGCTGAAATGAAGGATTGAAAGGCTGTATCTGTGGTCGTTGATTGCTCGAGTAATTACCCGATACACTTAACCGCAAGGTAGTATATACGGGGTCGATCCACAAGAACCAATGGTACACTAAAGATTTCCGAGACTCGTTCTTAGCTAAAGCGAAGGGTTGTTTTGTTTGGGTTTTCAGAATTATAAATAAAAATGCAGGTAATTTAAAACGATTAAACTTATGAATTAAAGACATTGGGCATTAGGGTATTTCAGAGATCAACGAATAATGGAAACATGAGACAAGGAATTCAATGATTAAGCACCGTTCTTGAACATGAACATATTTAGACTAATTCTCTTTCAAGACATTAATCACTAAATTTGACTACTCGATTACTAAACTTTCGCATGTAATTTCCTAGTCAAATTCGCATTATCAAACAAGTTCATTAAGTTCACAATGCGTCCTAACGTCAACTTTCGTTGGCTAGAAATACATTGCTCAATTCACATTCTTTCAGGCATTCTATCGAACACTTTTGATGCATAGAAAAACCTAGAATCTACAACAGGGTGATCAATCCTATTCTAGCATTAAGAACATGTGAATCAAAGAACCTAGAGAATGAGAATTCCAAACAACAATCAATCCATCAATCCATTGAATCCCCTAATAAGAACCCTAAAACCCAATAGGAGAACTACTCACACATAGAAAAAGAGATAACAAAAATCAATGAAGAAAACATGATGAAATTGTAGAAATAACAAGATAGGGTTTAGAAATCTTCTCCAAGTGTCAAGAGGATGGATTTCTTTGCCCAAAGTTGTTTACAAACCAAAGAACAAAGTTTAGAACTGAAAAATATCAAAGATGATGTCTCAAAGTCGAGCCTAGGGTTTTAAAACAATAGGAGACGAGTCGGATCGGATATGGAGTGAATTGGGTCAAATTTGGGCCGAAAAACTCGTCTGGAGAGGGGATCGATCGATCCCAACGAGGATCGATCGATCTAGAGTGTCTGGAACTCAGTCTTGCTCGTCAGAGGTGTGGATCGATCCACAAAGGGATCGATCGATCTGGAGCTTCTGGTGTCCAGTTCTGCAACTGCTTCAAATGCTCGGCAGAATGACCTGTCTTCACTAATTCGGGTATAACTCTTAAACTCACCGTTAGATTGCCTTCAAAACACTTGGAAACTCAAGCTAACATCTTCATATAGCTTGTATCAAAAATTCAGAAAGATCCAACGGTGGGAAGTATTCCATATGAGACCAAACGTCTGACACTTCTAAACGAAACTGCATCTCCAAAAGTGTGTTTATAACCCAAAACAGCTCGTTTTCCTCCAAAGCAACCTAAAACCTGTAGAGACTCGATAAAGGACTAAAAGACTCTAAAAACACACTTTGACTCTATAAAACATATGATGTAGGAAAGAAAACAAAGACTCAAAACCGATAAAAACACAACATATCAGTCGTGGTCCAAACTGAGACTGATATCCACCTGAACTCTTAAAACCTGGAATATAACCTGGTGGATAGCCATGTTTCTTAAAACATTTCTGAATGACATGGCCAGTCTGACCACAATATGTGCATACTGGTCTTGGAGCCCTTGGTCTGAAGTTATTCTGCACTGCAGCATACACATTGTTGTCAAGAGGACCCTGATAATTGTTTGAGTTCTGATTCTGACCAGTATAAACAGTGTTATCATAACCAGGATAGTAGTAATAATTCTGATTCACTGTAGATTCACTACCAAGCATAGAGTGATTATTTGAAGCAGTATGAAACACCACATTATCATCCTTAGACACTGGTTTGATATTCTTCTGACGCTCATCTTGAGTTACCATGTTGAAAGCATCCTCAATTGTTGGTATAGGCTTTAACATCAATATATGTCTTCTTGTAGCCTCATAAGAATCATTTAAACCCATCAAAAACTTAGTTACCCTGCTTCTTTGTTGCAACTTTTCCCAAAGAGCAGCTGCATTACACTCACACTTACCACAAGTGCATAAAGGAAGCTCAACATAATTTCTATATTCTTCCCACAGAGTAACCAACTCTGTATAATAAGCACTGACATCTAAAGCACCTTGCTGTATCACACTTAAGCGTTGCTCAATCTCATACACACGAGGAGCATCATCTTGTTTAAATCTTGACATTAGATTCTGCCATATGCCTTCAGCAGTAGATATGAACAATAAACTTTGACCAATTTTCTTTGAAACAGAGTTCATAAGCCATGTAGCTACCATATCATTGCAACGAGACCATGAACCATAATCTCTATCATTTTCAGAAGGTTTGAGTATCGTACCATCGATAAATCCCAATTTGTTGCGAACATTAAGCGCCATACGTATTGATCGACGCCAAGAATGGAATTCAGCACCCGTCGTAAGCCGATCTGAAACCAGAACCAACCCCGCATGATCGGAGGTATGAAGGAAGTAAGGATTATCATATCGATCTATCAATTGATCATTCGCCATGATGTAATCAAGATTCTGAGTAAAAATATAGAGCAAGATCGATCGGATTCGATGTAATCCGATGCAAGAAACGAAGATATGAAGAAGAATCAAAGTGCGGAAGTAAGAATCACCGGAAAAGTGAATTAGATGATCGCGAGAAAGAGAACGATGTGTTGATTATGTGATACACACATCGAGCTGAAAAATGGAAGGAGATGATCGATGTGATCATAAGATGGATGAAATAAGATGAAGATAAGACGATGAAGAAGATGATGATAAAGATGGAAGATGATGGAAAATTTTCTGTTATTCACTTTCCGGGAAAATCAACGAGAAAATCAATGAGAAAATGTTTAGAGCTCTGATACCATATTAACACTTGAGAATAAAGTGTAGATTTCTCATTAATGTTAAATGTTCAGTACAAAGAGTATTTATATGTACAACAGAGTAAGCTATAGAGTTAAGCTAAAGGAGACTTAATCTCTATTTTGACTATACTCTATATATGTTAATAATTGCTTTAATTTGATTAAGGATGAAGTCAGTTATCGCAAACAAAACTACTGTTTCACATAACATGGGAGTGTTATGTATACAAATGAAAGAGTATGGATCATTGTGAGATGTTATCTTCTCCCATTCAATTATGTTTTCCTCGCATATGCTATCTTTTGTTTTTCTTCCTCAAATATGATCAAGATAACACAAATAAGCACGTTGTTTTTTTCCACCGTCCTCCTCGTGATTTAAAGTGGATTTAGTTTCAGCAAATTGAAAATCACCACGTGGATGGACCATAATATATGTGATCATATTGCTTGTCGTCTTCGTTTTTCTTTTTAATTGTTGTTACACCACAAAGTCACGACACGTGGCCTTTACCACACATCATCCCTGTTATATCGTTTTACTTATAAAGGACCACGAAAACCAAAATATCAATGTGTACGTCTTCTGCATAAGAAGAAACTGAGAGCATCTCCAATTATTAACTTACAAGTTACACAAGACAGAGATAGTAAGAGAGTATGGCAGGAGAGACAGAGGCTTTGGCCACGACGGCACCGTTAGCTCCGGTCACCAGTCAGCGAAAAGTACGGAATGATTTGGAGGAAACATTACCAAAACCATGTAAGTGTGATTGTCCAAATTTAAGATTTTAATGTGTAAAAAGCGGAAAATTACGTGGTAATTAAAAAAAAACATCCCACTAATTAACATGATAAATCGTATATTAATTTCAAAAATCCATTTTTTAAAAGTTATTGTGAGAACATGAACATTTTTTTTTTTTTTTTGGTAAACTGAGAACATGAACATGTTTCAAATTAAGTGTACCTTTCAAGATTTGTAGTGTTCAATGTTCTCACAATAACTTAGAAAAAATGTAATTTTCTTGAAAAAGATACATAATAATCTAACGTACAAAAATGGAAAACAGATATGGCAAGAGCATTAGCAGCTCCAGATACAGAGCATCCGAATGGAACAGAAGGTCACGACAGCAGAGGAATGAGTGTTATGCAACAACATGTTGCTTTCTTCGACCAAAACGACGACGGAATCGTCTATCCTTGGGAGACTTATAAGGGTAATTATTACTTATTAATTATAATCTCTTCAATCTTCAGAAAAAAAGAATCAAATAATTGTATAAAAATTGCAGGATTTCGTGACCTCGGTTTCAACCCAATTTCCTCTATCTTTTGGACCTTACTCATAAACTTAGCGTTTAGCTACGTTACACTTCCGGTATGGAAAATAAATCCAAAGACCCTTCGAATTTAATTTTAAGTTTATTATGATTTTTGTGATTTATATGTTATTTAATTGATGTTGTGAATTTTATGTAAATAGAGTTGGGTGCCATCACCATTGTTGCCTGTTTATATCGACAACATACACAAAGCCAAGCATGGGAGTGATTCGAGCACCTATGACACCGAAGGAAGGTAACATTAACATATATGTAAAATAAGATATCCAATAATTTCAAATAGAATTTTGTAAAATTGCGATTGTTTGTAGGTATGTCCCGGTTAACCTCGAGAACGTATTTAGCAAATACGCGCTAACGGTTAAGGATAAGTTATCTTTTAAAGAGGTTTGGAATGTAACCGAGGGAAATCGAATGGCAATCGATCCTTTTGGATGGTTAGTGCCAAAAACATTATTTGGTTATTAGTTGACTTTACATGTGCGGTAGCGGTGAAAACCAAACTAAATCGGCCGGATTTGTTTTGTTGGTTTATGGCAGGCTTTCAAACAAAGTTGAATGGATACTACTCTATATTCTCGCAAAGGATGAGGAAGGTTTCATTTCTAAAGAAGCTGTGAGAGGTTGCTTTGATGGAAGCTTATTTGAACAAATTGCTAAAAAGAACAAAGAGAGGGCCAATTCTCGCAAACAAGACTAAGAAAATTTGTTTGGTTAGCGAATAAAGCTTTTTGGAAGAAAAGCATTATGTAATATAGCTTCTTAATTTCGTCTTGTTGTCCAATTTATGGATTTGTATAATGTGTTTGTAAACTATGTTTCCGAGCATATAAGTAAGAGAAGATGTTACAAAAATAAAAGCATTTGTATACCTATTGGTATTGTTCATTTCATGATTGAAACGCTTTATGGGCTATAATGGGCCTTAAGGCCTTTTCCATAGGTTCGGCCGTTTGGGGGTTTAAACCCTAATCCCTTCTTCTCCTTCATTTTTCTTCTTCGATCAGACGCCAAAACACATCAGAAGCCCTAGAGCTTGAGCCGTCGAAAATGTCGAAGCGAGGTTTGTATTTTCGATTCCAAGCCTTCTTCTTTCGTAGCTGTTGCATTTTAGTTTTATTTGTTTTTGAAGCTTCCATGGCTGTTAGATTTAAAATAATTGAAATCAATCTACAACTCTCAATTTTCTATGCTTGAAAGATTGGAACTTTTATCTCGATTTCTTCAATTCCAAGTAATATGACTCAATTGGGTTTCAACAAAAGAAAAAGATGATTCTAGTCTACATATAGGATCTAGACAGCTCATTAACAACATTTGATATCAAAAGTATTGATTTTTGACAATGTTCTTGAAACAAAACTGGTAAATGTTGTTGAGCATTGTTCTAATGGTGGTTGTGTTTTGTTGTTTGATTTGATTAGGACGTGGAGGAACGTCTGGTAACAAATTCAGGATGTCACTTGGTCTGCCTGTTGCAGCCACAGTTAACTGTGCTGACAACACAGGTGCTAAGAACCTTTACATCATTTCGGTTAAAGGAATCAAAGGTCGTCTCAATCGGTTACCTTCTGCTTGTGTTGGTGACATGGTTATGGCCACTGTCAAGAAAGGTAAGCCAGACCTCAGGAAAAAGGTTCTTCCTGCTGTGATTGTTAGGCAACGTAAGCCATGGCGCCGAAAGGACGGTGTTTTCATGTACTTTGAAGGTACTTTTGCAGTTGCATTCACAATTTCTTGAGTTACAAAACTTGAGTTTATTATGGTCATGAGATTGATACCAATTTTGATTCTTCGATTGTAGATAATGCGGGAGTGATTGTGAATCCTAAGGGAGAAATGAAAGGTACTAGTTTGTTGATTTAATCAATCAGCTCATTGTCAAACACATTTTGGCATTACATTGTTTTCTGAAACATATGTGGGGTTTGTTTTGGTTTTCAGGTTCTGCAATCACTGGACCCATTGGGAAAGAGTGTGCAGATCTCTGGCCAAGGATTGCTAGTGCTGCTAATGCCATTGTCTAAGTCAAGATCATCTATCACTTTTGCTGGTTATGTATCTATGATACTCGAAATAGTTGATGTTTTGGGTGTTTTAAGTAGAGAGACAACAATCTTTTGTGAGCTTCAGACAAATTTCAGTCTCGTGTTTCTAAAAGATTTTGCTTAGTTTTTCCAGTTTCTGGTTTTACTTTAATGGAAATCATTTGATCTGATTCTGAGGGTTTAAAAGCTTTTACTGTTGATTGAATTGTGTAAAAATTGAAGGTAGTGTGCAGAACTGTAGAAGAAACTCTCTAATACAAAACCAGAATATCATAATGGTCAAAATCAAAAGTCAGAATTTACATTTTACACAGCTCTTTGAAAAACAATACCAAAGCCCACATATGATTCCAGTAAAGAGACACTGATATACTTTCTGTAAAAAATAAATTTTAACCAAAAGCCAAAAAATAAACACAAAATATCTACTAATTTGTAGACTCAAGAACCCACTAAAACTATGAAGGCTGAGTTTTACCCATTTTACTTTGAGCAATCCTTTCTTTTGCTAGTTAAGCTTCTGTACACTTCTTTGACGACCATGGCCGGAGTCTCTGGCTTTGGCTATGAATGTATGCTAAAGCAATTGAAAAAGATTGCAAAACAGATATCTTTGCTTGAGATTGGACGAAGTAGAGACCGTCTCGAACATTCATGATCCTTAATCCAGGACTTCCTTGCATCATTCCCTGAAACAAAAGCACACGACGAATCAATCGAATTTCGAAGTCAACATGACCAAGACTGATTTTTAGTTGATGGGTCATCTGGAATGCAAGAATGTTTCTGTTTTTTGCAATCTATGATGTATGGTTAAGGAAATGGTAATTGGATTTGAATGCTACCTCTGTGAAGAGCTCAAAAAGATTGCATTGGCCTTCATTTTGGTCTTTTCGCGCTTGGCCTTTAAGGACTGTTAAGGGGCAACCCAAGTCCCATCCAGAGCAATCACAGCATCCACCGGATTTCCATCTCTGAATCAAGCTCGAAGGACCACCGTTTCTATTTCTCGGCCCTCCGTGAATCCCTGAAGGAATCACAACATCTATGCTTGTCGAATCCGAATGCTTAGAATTTTTAGAAGCATCCTTGGTTCGAGCTAAGGGCATTTTCTTGAGAAACTTCATTCCCCAGCCTCCAACTTTTTCGACTTCTTCTTCTTCCACAGGAAACTGTTCTCTCACAACAACAGCCGAGGTTTCAAGATTTGGTGGAAGGTCGTTATCCAGTAAACTTACGGGTTCAAGATCATTGTCATGTTCTTGAAATGGCTCCCAAGAACAAAATTCTGGTATGGAGCTTGTTCTACTGAATCTTGAGATACTTCTTTGCCTTGAAGTGCGTTTGGTGCTTTTGAGAGCATCGACGACTTTCTTAGGCAATCCTCTGTTTTTCCTATTATCGTTGTGGCACGGTAACTGCGGAGTCCCACCACTGCTGAATAGAACAAACTGTCTCTCTACAGTTTTTTCATTCGTGGACGAGACAGAAAACAAAGTTGATACCTTTAGTTTACCAACCAAATGCTGCGGCTCAGATCCACGGCCTTTCTTCAAATGGATCAAATACGAATAGTCTAGAGAACTACGGTCGAAACCTGACCCAACACTAGTAGTGCTTAAGCTAGCTACATAGATCTCTTTCTGATCATCCAGTGAGAAAACAAAATGAGGCGTCTTGTTGTCTTTCATAGTGAATTGAAGTGTTCCTTGAGAAACTGATGAAGACGGAGACCAACCAGAAGAAGATTGCTCAGAAGAAGAAGAACTCACTGAATTTGTGCTTGACAAAGAGACTGTCGTTTGGGGCATGTTTCCAGATTGATAACTCTGAAACTGTGAATCCAGGATGTCTTTTGCCTCTATCTTCCTCACAACATCACATGAAACCAACTTATTTTCACCATTGTGGTCTCGCCTTGTCCTGCTATTCATACCATCACCATCTAATGCTTCGAGATCGTGTAACAAAGGCTTATCAAGCATATATGTAACCCTCTTGCAACCTATAATAGCGCGGCTGATCACTGGACTGCCTGAATCATCTACCAACGGAAGATCAAACACAAGGCGAGCAACATTTTCTTTGGGGATAACAGGTGAATCGAAGTGACGTGAAGAAATACTCATCTTTGATCCTACAAGATTCAAAGAAAGGCTGCAACTGGCTGACTTAAACGCACTGATATTAATCAGGTCGAGGCATCGACGGAGATACTTCTCGTCTATTGACACCAACTGCCTTGGGATCTTGTTATCAAAGAAACTAGTGGCACGAGAAAACGACCCTTTGGGACCGTTTTTAACAATCTGTAACCACTTTCCGCTGTTTGAAACTAAACTACATTGCTGTCTTTTCTGGCTCAACAAGTTCACTGACTTCAATAAGCCATTTTCCCCAGACAGATTCTCATCAATGTTCAATGAATCTTCAAGCTCAGGATCATCCTTCTGAGCATCAGGAGAAACACTCCCCATGGTTCCGCTCGCTATCCCAAATCAAAGCCGAGCAAATTTCAATTCCCCATCCTATACGGATTGAAGAAAGACCACTTCCAAATAATCTGAAAGACAAACAAGACCAGAGCAAGTGAGATTATTAACTCAAAAGTGCACAAATTTAATCTTAAGTTAGCAACTCTTTTACAGAAAACATCTTCAAAACCTTTGTATTTTGCAATATAGTCAAAATCAAAATCAGGCAGAATCCCAAAATGTGCTATGAATCTACAGTTTCAAACAAAAGCCGAATTTGAGAGACTCTTAATGCTAACAAAGCTAATTTGCTGAAAAGTCAAGGTCTTTAAATATTACCTAATCTCTTACCTAAAAGCAACAAAAAGCTAAAAACGAAGAACCCTACACAATATTGACAATCAAAGAAAAGCTTGAATTTTTAGATGTACCCATTAATTCAATCACAGAAAAAAGCAAAACTTTGATGAAGCTTCCAAACTCGAAAGTAACATCTGAAGATTAAGCACCTAACTCAAGCTAACAGAGTAGAAATTTTACTCAGGAGTGCCCTAGAAACTAACAATTCTCAATCTGAATCACACTTCCTGTACCAAAGCCTACAAATTCAGAGTCCATCCATGACTTTGAACTTATCAAAAACATAAATTGGTCCAATAACAAGGTAGTAATAATTAATAACTCCTCCAAGAACAGATTTTTAAAAAGCAAATCTTTAAATCTTCGTTTACCTGGAGGATGGAAATAGAACTTATTGGATGGATCGAAGCAATATCCTCCGCCAATTCTGGACTGTTGCGATCTTATTTCTTCTCTGTTTCCAAATTTCTTCTATCTAAGAGGAAACTAAGAAAAAAAGAAGCAAAATTTATCCTTCTAATAAGCAATTATGAGTTGGGGAATAATGAAAGTGGGAAAAGCTTGGAAGGAAGAGTTTTCTTTCTGGGTTTCTAGAGGGAGAGATGGGGTAGTTTCACTAAGGCACGTTAATGTCTGACTAGTAAGGTACCAATGGAGACGAAGAGAAAAAAGGAACGTCTTTTTTTGGTGTGTGTGGTGACTTGACTATGGCCACTACTAAGGAAGGGTGATTCTTACAAATGCGGACCCACTTCTTGTGTGTTTCTTTTATTCTCTCGTGTCAAGGCTCGATATTATTAGGGTTTTTAGTTTAAAGTGTGGGATTTAGAAGGTGAGTGAGCTGGTGGGCACGATCGAGAGAGAGAGGGAATCAAAAGGAAGGTGGTGATGGCTACTTGTTGGCGATAAAGCAGGTTTTTTTTAGTAGTAGAAGTTACTGTTTCAGAGTAGTGCCCACATTTATTAACTTCCCCAGTTTCTTCTACTACTATTCACTTTTTGTTTATTTTCACTATTTTCTTTCATTAAAGTTTTTTCTTACAACTTCTTTTTCCAATTATTGATAGTATTTTATAACTTTTTTATGTTAATCGTATGGATAATGTATGGATCGAAACAAATCAGTCCACCGATCATTCATATGCTTAGGTTTTGATTTGGACGTTTAATATGTAATAGTTTGGTATATAACCAATATTGAATATTGAATATTCTTTTGAAAATTTTGGATAACCAATGTTGAATATTGAAATTTACATTAGTTTACAACACGTCCACGTTATTTACCAATACCGGATCGAGTTAGTTATATATATATATATTTTTTTTCTATATAAATACAAGTTAGAAAAAACAAAAAAAAAACGACAGAAATGGTACTAATTATCGTAACATTTATTACACATCAAAAAAATTATTAATTTTCAAGCATGTATTATATGCAATTCAACAAAGTTTCTAAATTGTCTAGTAAGTTTTGTAATTTGATTATTGTTAAATTTTAACAAATTTGTACTAAACAGGTAAGACTGACTTGACTAACATCATCCAGAAAATAAGAGGTTTCTAAATTGTATGATTGTGTTATAAAAACGGTAGGGTTTTAATTTGATAGCTAATTTGTGATTTATTACAAACCTGTCGACAAAAGATATTTTGGGAAAAGTTAAATTAAACCATTATATTGTTTAATTTTTTAAAAACAAACCCTACAATACATATGTTGCCTTTTTTATACATGATTAAACTATTTGACATTTGGAGGCTTTAGAACATATATTGATATTTTATCTACGAATATTGAGAATATATGGACCAACCAACAAAATTACAAAACTATTTTGTCTCATTCCGGACCGTGAGCTTGCGGCACATGATTGACTCGACCATTTGGTTCCTTCTTCACTTGCATTTTACGCATTTTATTTAAATTTCAAAATTCAAATACGTAAATCTCGATATATAATAATATAGTGAAGTTTAGTTCCACGACATATGTGTATTATTCTTCTTGAAGATCGTAAAGGTCAGTTCAATTATTCATCTAGAAGATTATATGTTAGTATATATATATATATATATATATATATATATATATATATGACTTTAAATATTCGTGTAAATTTTATCTACCTACCGTACGTATTATAAAAGTGATGCTCTGGTTTGTATAATCTAAGATTCTCCTCCACCAAATCCGGTCCATATGGTTGCACTAATCTCATTAACCTTTTTAAAAAGGAAATGTGAAGCATCAACCAAAATACATGTTATTTCATGCATGTGATTTAGTCTTATTTCTTGGATTTCATAGTTCGTTAGTTTGTCTGGTCTAAAATCATATTTATTGATATTTTTAATTTTTGACACACGTGTTGATGTTCTGGAAAATAAGTTAGAAAATAGACTCGAAGTTGATAAGATTGTGTCGTGATCAAGTTGTGGAAGTCTATTTTCTAAAGATCAAGATCGGATGTTAATTTTCAAAAGAGTAATTATTGCCATGGTGAATTTTATAACTAGCTTGTTGGACTTTTAGGATAAGCTTAGGTGTTGGCTCTGAACACTTCGATTAAACGATAAATTAAGGAACCAAAAATGAAATCACTTTGTTTTCTCTCACACAGAAAAAATGCATTTCTTTGACCTTAAAGTTTATAAAACTGTATTCATCGTGTTTATAAGTCAAATGGCATAGTTAACTCTTGAAAATATATAGTTTTATATAAAACAAAAATCTATAGAGATTTCATAAATTTTGATAGTGACCTTTCAAAGGGTCATTATCATAATTCACCTCTAAAGTCAAAATCATTCTATTTTATAATATTTGCCGTTAAGACGTTTGGTTCGAAATTATTGACTTAGTTTAGTCGCCATTTATATTTTAAGAGTCTTCGGTTAGAACTTAGACCACCTCCAATGTATTTCCCTATTTTTAACTTTATTTCTATAATAGAGGTAAGTTTTCTCTATTTTTACTTCAATGTGTTCTTCTATTTTTTCCTCTAAAAAGTTTAACTCTATTTATAGGGAAAAAAATAGAGATTCTCTATTCTCACCTCTATATATAGAGAAAAAAATAGAGATCTCTATTTTAGAGGTGGGTTGGAGTAGATTTGCCTCTAAAATAGAGTTTAGAGGCAAATATAGAAGTGGGTTGGAGATGCTCTTAGAATTCAATTTTTTAGCATATGGGTTTTCACTTTTCAGAAACGAACACAAAGAAAATAGTTAACATAATATATCGAAATATTTCATTCCAAAGTTACTACAAACTTTTTTGTTCTTCTTTCAATTTAGCAACAAATTGGGAAAAAAATATATGGCCAATTGGCCATGAAATTATGGTACGATCGTCATTTATTGCGCATGCATCAAGTCGTCAATCGTTTGAGGTTTACAATATTCTTAAATGGTAGCTACAAGGGAGGCCTTAATTAAATAATTGATCGTTAACACTCTGTTGGCCCAGTCAAGCATTTCGATACAAACAAATTAAAGCCCAATTATTGCATCCTTTATTTTTAAATAGTTACTATCTAATAATTAAATCTTCTAACCAGGTGTTAGACATGACAATCTGACCGGTCTATTCATTTTTTATGCATAGAACAGCTGAATGATTTTAGGTCTAAATACGTAGATGTGAAAGGAGCAAAAATAAAACTCAACTTATCAAATACATGACATTACATGCATATCATAGTATGTAACATACTGTATCTACAAAACTTTCAAATTGATATGTAACATAATACAACCTTATTCTCACTACTGATTTTTATTCATCCAAACCTGCCTAAACCCATTATTCATTATTTATTTAATTTATTTTTAAAATTTTCTAGGTTAGATTTTTTTTTGTTGACAGAACTTGTTGGGGGCATGACAAAGCTAAGTATGCAAGTTATAACTCTATAGGAATACTATTGGTATAACTATATAAGACTAGAAGATTCATGTTATAAACATGAGTCTTTGTGGTGTGACACTTGGAACTCAAATCCAAGATTGGATTGGGTAGTTGCACTTGAAGGAATTGGCTCCACTAATGTGTGCAAAAATGTCTGAAGAATCTACTAATTGTTCCTCATCCTTCACTCCCATCTGTATATTCCAAATCGTTTTAGTTAGATTTGATTAAAACTCCATTTCGACATAAAATTCATATAAATCGAGTTAAAATAACCCGGGTTTAATTTCTTACATCGTCTTCATCTTCATCATCATGATGGCTTGAAAAAGCCTGTCTATTTGGTTCACCAAAATCATCATTCTTTGCAAATCTTCCTCTAACTCTTGGTCGACTATCTGCCAATGTTTTCCTACACGCATACTACAACAAAAAAAAAATAAAGAATCATTGGAACAACATTTTAAAACGGTTTAGTCCGGTTTGGTTTAATAAAAACCGAACCTTGATCTTCTTGTTGAAATTTCTTTCGTTCCTCTTCTTCATGTACCTACGAATCTTCTCTTTCCTTTGCTCAGGGGAGAGTTTTCCAACTTTGTTCATAGTTGAATCTTCTAAACCGTTTATCTCGACCGGTCCTAATGCTGGATGAGCCTGAGGTGCCACCAAGTTGCTCTGGTTCTCGACGCCACCTAGTGCCTTCTTCAACAAAAGTAATCACATCAGAATACCGTACCGGTTCTGTGTCTTCATAACCAAACCGGTTCTTGAAGTAATCAAACGTAAACCGGATAATATTTGTAACAAAAGCTCAATACCTGGAGATCTTCTGGATTAAAGATACGTTTCATGGAATCCGGACAAAACAAACCACCATTATCAGCTTGAAAGTCCATCAATGGATCATGTGGCTTATTGATTTCCGATCCCACATGAATATTCCCGGGAAGATAACCGAGATTACTTTCAGCAGATAATAAACCGGTGCTCATATATGCCGGTAAACCGGACGTACGGAAGAAAGAGCAAGAAGGGTTCAAGCCAAGATTGTAGCTTGGTACTGAAGAAAGACAATCTTCTTCGAAAACTCCTGATTGTAAAGGAGGAGGAGCTAGAGAGGAAACCGCCGAGAGAGACAGAGGGTCTCCAGAGTATGAAATGTTAGGAGGCTGATGAATAAGTTGGAGTCCTGATGAGAAATCAAACTGGTCTTGGCTTGTTGCCGTGAGGAGATGATCGATGACTGGATATTGCAGTGAAGATGATGAGAAATCGATTGAAGCCGTTATGTCGTTTTCGAAATCTTCTTGTGAATCAAAGATTATGGACAGATCCGTGTTGTTGTTGTCATCTTCATCGTCTTGAAGTTTTGTGTTCTTGTTGTTGTTACTGTTCTCAGTTGTTGTGGTTGTGTTAGTGTTGGAATGGAAGCTTCCGGATTTCTCGAGAATATTTGACGTAGAGGTGACTTCAGAGGTTTGGTTGAAGGTTTCTTGAAAGAGTTGTGGATCGCAGAAATCGAAGATCTGAGCACTAAGAGGGCTCGTGATATCATCCTGAAATAATACAAAAAATAGTTAGATTTAAAGATTAGATCGAGCGAAAGTAAATGACCAAGATCTTTTGAAGAGATTATATTACGTTAAAGCCAAGCATCAAAAAAAGAAAACAGAGGTTTTGGCTTGAGTCACAAGAAATCAGAACTGGTGAAATCATAAAGAAGGTACAAGATTGGTTGGTTCTTAAGACAAATTCATTTATACTCAAGTAAATTTTTTCTGGCTTAACTATGTAAAAAGAATCTGTAAGATGTTTTGATTCTGTTTTTCGACATCGAAACACTCCAAAGATTTTGGTGTCTTGATCAAATCCAATGTTTGTTTGTTATCAATATTTGTTGAGGACAACACAAGAGAGATTAAATGCATCTGTTCTTTTATGTGACATGTTATATAAGAAGAAGTGTTCCAACTTCCAATAGCAAAAAAGATAAAGTAAAGAAGAGTGGAGTTTCTATAAAAGGAAAGTTTTCTGATTCTGGCATTTCCTTTTCGTATTGACAAAATAATTTAAAATTGCCTGGTATGAACCAACATCCAGATTTTTTTCCCACAAAGAAAAAGTAAAGGGCACTTCATAAAATATCAGAACATGTGTGAAACCCATTATGATCATGATCATATACCCATCACAATGCTCCTAGTGAAATTCACGTAATGTGTGTAGATTTTGCATCAAACTATACAAAATCCAAGGTGAGAGATTAAATCTAGCATTTACGTTTGATGAAAATAAAAATCTATACTCAAATACGATAGAGATAGTAAAATGATTACTGTTATTTTGTAGAACATTGTTCTATACCATGTGACGTTTTTAACAAAAAAAAAAAATACCATGTGACGATTTTCTATTGGCATATAAGTAACAATCGTATGCGAATGAGAATTATTATAATGTTCAAAAAATCGTACTGAAGGACAAATTGAAGTGTGTAGAGAATAACAAATTAAAGAAAGAAAAAGCGAAAGGAATGAAGCAATTTGAAAAGAGATCAAATGGAATATACGCAGAAGAAAATGACGTTACACCAAAAAAGATAAACTAGTTGAAATTATAGGGTTGCACAATTATAGACTACATGAAAGAAAAGTAGTGTTAAAGTTTATTAGATTAGTCTCGAGTTTTATATGATCTCTACATGTAAAATTCAATGCTGGAAACAAAAATTCAAAGAAAAAAACATCTACGCATGCATGAACATAAATAAAAGCAGTATATATGAGAAGAGAATTACGAGGGAAAGCTGATCGTGAGACGAGATCATGTCTTGCAACATGTTTGGTTTCTTTGTATATCTCCAATGTAAATGCGAAATTTTCTGGGAAAAATAAAGAAAATTCCCCAGAAAAGTTGAATTATAGCAAGAAAATTAATGGACGAGGCTTCACGGATGCTTTATGGAACAATATTGGAATGGGTGATGTATGAACAAGAAAATCCATCGAAGAAATTCAAATACTGGGAAAAAAACAACAAAAACTGAAAAAACAAAGAGATAATTGAATTCAAACAGAACAAAGGTTCTTCTGTTTGGACAGAGAAGAAATTGAAATTCTTATAGTTTTCTGGAAAAAAAAAAAGAGGTTATGGGAGTTTCACGTAACCATGATACATATATATATATATATATATATATATATATATATATATATATATACTTTTGGTTTTATGTGTAATATAAATTTTATCAGTGGATATAAATATAATTTTCACGTAATATATTCCAGCATGGACTTCATGTTTTTTTTTTTGGTAAGAAGCATGGACTTAATGTTAAAATGCGATGACTCGATTCTCCTCTTCACATGACGTGGAAATGCCACGTAAGTAGAATGGTGTTGACGTGGTAAAAGGATCCCGGTCAATGAGTTTGACCCAATTCTTGTTGCGTGGATTTTGACGTTTTTGACTGAAAATTGTCCTAAATTAAGCCCTATATTCGTGGAATTAGTTTCTATTTTATTTATTTTAGATATGCATTTTTCTATCTTTTATCTCGTTTGCTAATTATATTGACTTGGCTCATGATTTCCCGCAAAGGAGTGAAAAAGATTTTCGACCAGGTCAGTAAAATATTAGTAGAAAATAGAAGAGGAAATATATCAAAAATAAAATGCTATTGGACAAAATGTCTTTGGACAATAAGCATATTTGCCTTAAGAAAATATATTTAGGAATATCAGATAAAATTCGAAAACAATGTTTAACCAACTTAGAATTTTTTTTTTCTTTTTTTCTTTCATTATGAAAATGATTTTATATAGAGAAATATAATGCTCTGATTGTGACAGTTTGAGCAGAGGGTCAATGCTTTCTAGCTTTAAGATATATGTTAAGTCATTCCCTCTCATCCTTTGAGATTTCACTTTCGTACACTTTTGTTATTCGAAATAACCATAAGCTCCATCACAGAATAAAATATGAGAAGGTGTTTAGCGACTAGAGGCTACATGCTTGAGATCTCATTATCGGTACGTAAGAAAATAAACAAAAGTACGAATCGTACGTGTTATCCATAAAAAATTCTAAACTATAAATCATGAGTGTTCTATTTCACATTTTTAGTCTTCAAATTTGCAAGCATGGATTCATAAAATTATTCTAAGTCCACAATTAACATATGTAATCGTGTTGCCGATTATATCATTTAAAGTTTTTGAAAGTGTTTTAGGGTTACGTACCAAAGTAGCTATACTATTTTAGATCTTAAGTCTTTTTTTTTTTTTTTTTGCATTTCACAACATTTTTAATTATTCCAAGGTAAATATATTTAATTTATCATCTTTTTATTTGTTTTTAACCCTAGTCATGAGACATCAACATCGATCGCCTGTCAGTATCTTATTTTGGTCACAAAAGTCTATCTAGCATTTGAAGATCATCATGTCATGCGTCTATCTAGTTATTCTGTGCCAAAAATATTATTATTTCACTCTCAAGTCGTCTGCACAAATTAATGTTTGTAATATATGAGATATTTACATAATATTATGAGCTTAAACTACACTATACACTTTGACAACAAAAAAACTACACTATACCCGTGCATAAGAGCGATTACGACACATTTTATAAGGATTTTTTTTTTTTTTTTTTTTTTTTTTTTTTTTTTTTTTTTTTTTACATTTTATAAGGATTATCTGAGTTAAAAGTTTAAATTTGGAATTACGAGAATTGCAATAAATTGTTTACTGACAGAATTAAACGAAAGAGAAAATAAAAATGGAACAGCTTAAGATCAAAGCTGATTTGATGAATTGATACTTTGAAGATATGACCATCTTCATATAAAGTCTGGAATGCAATATATGCACGCATTATCCAAATAGAAAGCGACCACCACTTTCAAAATATAAAACCAATACCTGAAAAAAGTAAGAGAATTTATAATATAACGTTTTGAAACAATAGTTAAATGAATCATATCTAACCATTGTATATACATATGTAATATATAATCAACCGTTAATTATAGATATATAAGATTCACCAAATGTTAATTACATCATCTCAAACGTATTACATACGTATTATTTAGCATTGAAAACAATTGGCATGCGTAGTTGAACTATATATGCGTCATTATTTCGTTCTTCAATCCAGGTTTCAATATTTTTTTTTTGGGGCATTGTATTTGTATGAGAGTTCGCTTTCATTTTTGGATCCTAAGAATATAACTTTTATGCAAATAGAAAGGACACAACTATTGTGCTTAGAATGGTACCCTCATCGTCGTATCTTTAGACATTAAAATTAAATCCATATACAAAATAGAATACCATTACTTTGACCTAGATATATAATTTTTATATCCTTGCTTTACTTTTTTTTATCCAACCCGTGGAGGTCGCATTTGCAACGTGAATCCATAACAATATACCAACCCATCAATATCTCTTTTGTCAATGACATGTACAAACATATATCCCTTATTCTTTATAACAGATTTTTAAGATCCTTTGAACGGTTGATTTTGGCTCTCATGAAGATATGTTGTTATTGGATTGTTGGTGAGTATATTATAGAGTAGTTGGGTATAAGATAGACGATTCGGATGCTAGAAAACGAACCTAACTCGGTCTCATTCGATATTCGAACGGATTTCTCATCATCCGACTGCCCATTAAGAACGCTTATTCTTGAGGCAAAAACATGGTCACGACAACATTTAACCAAAAAAAAAAACATTTGTAACAAAAAATGAGTTTGTTTTATAATTTAATGTTAGTGTATATGAATCAACCAATCGACTCAAAATTTACTTTAAAAATCAACTAAATCTAAATTTTCAAAAGTATAGCAAGTTTACGAAGTTTACTGAAATTCACTTGAATTAGTAGAAATGTACGAAAGCTTTTGTAAAATCAAACGCTGTTATTGAAAACCGTACAAAACTTTTTCCTATTCCAATTTGGCACACACAGTCTTAACACGAACTGAGTCAAAAGTTTCACTTCCTAATTGAACCGATCTGAGGTTTAGTATGGTTTAATTCATTACCATTTTCTCCAAACTGAACAATGTGAAGTTCCAAAGTTGCAAACCGAACCAAAATTTCTTAATATCCAATTTTAGTTCAAACAACACATAATACTTGTCTTTGTAAAATTATCAATTTTAGTTTTTTCTTTTCTTTTTTTATTAAAATTATAAACATTAGACCACCTTAATTCTTTTAGATCACGTGTAATAGTTACCTCTTGATATCCCTTTCAATGGGATAGAGAGAGTAGTGACTATAGCGATGACTCCACCACACTTGTACTCGCACGTTTTAATGCGTTGGTAATGCTTTTCTTCCTCATCAAGATTTTTTGTATATCATTCTATATTTGCTCCAAATCTATATCATGATGCTTTATTTAGTAAATCAATAAAAATTGGGCAATGCTTTTTTTTGTCCCCTTCGAATTTGTATACTAAATTTTACACGAGCGATTCATATGATGGAAACCATCTTCAAAAATATAATAAAACAAGTTTGAATTTCAACATGAGTTAAACATATCAATTAGCAAAAAATTTATAAATACTGAAAAAATGTCGTCGTTTCAAAATTCTAATCTGAACCGAATTGGATCGATGTAAAAGCCCAAATATAAGACGGTGATCGTTAAAGGCCCAATTCTTGCGCAAAATTGAAGCCCTAATATCATCAAGTGAGAGTGGTAACCGTCTTTTCTCTCTCTTCAACAATTTTCCCGGCTTCCGCGATTTTGCTTTGAGGCGCCGGACCGGAGAAGATAAAACCCTAGCTCCGCCTCACTCACAGGCAGTTCTACGTCCACCTGAGTTCTCGTGCTTCGTTTTATTACTCGGTTCTTTCTACGATGAACTGTGCAAGTAAAGCTTTTACTCTCCTCTATCTCTCTCTTTTTTTTTTCTCGATATGCCGATTTAGGGTTTTCTTGTGATTGATGTTGGTGGCGGTACTGTGTTCTTACAGTTTCCGGAGAACTTCCCAAGGAGCCAGTGGTTTCGACGAAGTCAGGTTTACTCTTCGAGAGACGATTAATCGAAAGGCATATATCGGTAAGCGTTGAGCTTCTTCTTGTGATTCAGTCACTGTCAATTACTACTACCGTCTCGTTTTTTGTTATGACTGGAAGATTTCTAGTAATTTGAGTGATGTTGTTTGGTTTACTTCGGATGATTCTTGTAGCATTATGATTCTTTTCGGTGATTTTCACTTTTGGGCACTAGTGAGATCCGATCTTCAGTGAGAGTTCTTTTAGATTATCACTCCACTTGGTAATGATTTCTTATAAATTATTTTCTCCTGTAGGATTATGGGAAGTGCCCGGTTACTGGCGAACCACTTACCATTGATGACATTGTTCCCATCAAAACTGGGGAGGTAGTATAATTTCTTTCACTATTTGATGTGTAGAACTGTTGACGATATTTGTTTAAGCTATTTTAATTTCTTTGACAATTTTGTAGATCATAAAGCCGAAAACATTGCATACAGCTAGCATCCCTGGATTGCTCGGAACGTTCCAGAATGTAAGCTTTCTATGTTTTGCAACTTTAATCCTACATTAAATGGGAAGTTCACTAAGAAAATGTCCCACTGTTTATGTTATTGGTCATGTAGAGTTTGGTTGATCGACTTAGAATAAATTGTCCAAGGTTGGAATTAAAATTATACAAGATTTGGTTAACTGAATATATTGGCCTCTACTCTTTGGCAAAATTATTACGCTGATCACCTGTTCGTTTTCTGAGTGCTAATCAAGAGAAATTGTTCATTAATCAGGTTGAACTATACAAAGTAATTGCGTGACAAGTTTAGCTGTTTTTCATTTTTAGGAATGGGATGGTTTGATGCTATCAAATTTTGCTCTGGAGCAACAACTACATACTGCAAGGCAAGAGCTAAGTCATGCCTTGTATCAGGTAATTTTGGCTGTGTGTTTGTGTCACCACTTCATGAGATGCCATGGTCAATTAATTTGTTTTATGTACTCTAGTTGTATTTTCCTCAACCATTTCATCTTTTAGTATGTTTGGTCTATTAATGGGATAATTTTACCTTTTGTTTGCAGCATGATTCTGCTTGTCGTGTGATTGCTAGACTCAAAAAAGAAAGAGACGAAGCACGCCAATTACTTGCAGAGGTGGAAAGACATATACCTGCGGCCCCAGAAGCTGTGACAGCTAATGCTGCTCTGAGTAATGGTAAACGAGGTATGCTTGTACAGTTTTTACTCAAAATATATTGGCTAGTTATTTTTCCCTCTTCTAACATGTCACTATACTCTTTTGTTGTATAGTAGCTACCGGTGATGAAGAACTGGGTCCTAATGCAAAGAAATTGTGTCCTGGAATTTCAGCTGAAATTATTACGGAATTGACTGATTGTAATGCTGCTCTTTCCCAGAAGCGCAAAAAGCGACAGGTACTGCATACTGCATATAGACCCCCATCTATCTTTGAACATGCATTTGAATATTAGAAGGCAAGACCTGACGACTTGCTACTTTTATGTGTTTTTTTCTTGTTTGTATAAGTCAAATGTAGTTGTGAAAGCATATGATTTATACTAAATATATCTAAATAGATCCTAGTATGCGGTTTGAAACTTAACAGGAAAATGTTGCCGCCTCCTGTCTGGTCTTGTGATTTTTTCTTGTATTGGTTTCTGCTGTCTTGATAATTATATAATTTTCTGTAGATTCCTCAAACATTGGCTTCAATAGATGCTTTGGAGAGGTTCACTCAGCTATCAAGCCACCCACTTCACAAGACCAACAAACCAGGCATTTGTTCGATGGACATTCTACATTCTAAGGTTTCTCATCGGATGTTTTCTTATCACATCACTTTATTCTTATTTTCCTCTGTTTCTGGAAGCCACTGCATAGCATCTGATAGCCAACCGGCAAACTTCTAATCTTCTCTTTATAAATTATTTGAATATAGCCTTGAGTCCTTGGTTGGGGAATGGTCATATCCTTGTTATGTCTTTTTTGCATAATATTTTTATTTTCTCTTACATACCTATATGCCCTGTGTGATAGTTTGTATTACGATCAGTGATTCTTTGCATTTCTTTTTGATATTCTACTATGCTAAGTTCTGGTGTGCAAAACTTTACCTCAGTTCTATATTTCTTCTTAATTCGGTGACCAGGATGTCATTGCTACTGGAGGAGTTGATGCGACTGCTGTTCTCTTTGATCACCCTTCTGGACAAATCTTGTCAACACTGACTGGTCACTCGAAAAAGGTTTCTAACTTTTTGCCTTAGATTTTTGTTTTAATTTTTTTCATGTAGCTTCATGTGTGTTGACCCCTTTGTAGGTTACAAGCGTAAAATTTGTAGGCGACGCTGATCTTGTTTTGACTGCTTCTGCTGACAAGGTAATTTCATATTTTTTATGAATAGTGCTTGGTCATTAGTTCTATAGGAAATTTGTAATCCCATATTGTGTATTGCCTTTGTTTTGAAAAGTAGTAGCTGGCAGATGCATTTGTTTATTTTAAGTGTGAGAAGATGACTAGTAGCCATTGAATCTTTTTCTGTAGATGTCATGATGCTATGTTTGAAAAACTTTGGTTTGCTGCGAGTTATGAAACACATTTTGATCATTCACACAAGTCTCTGCAATTTGTTGGATGCTCTGTTCGATTTCACAGATGATATACATCACCAATTGTTTGATAGTTATCTTTTTATTACTAAATTAGTGACTTACCTGCAGACAGTCCGTATCTGGCGGAATCCTGGGGATGGGAATTATGCTTGTGGGCAGACATTGAATGATCACTCTGCAGAGGTAAGGATGAATTTGAGTAACTCTTACAGTCCTTTCCATGTTTTTTTAATTCAAATACTTTTTGTTTAACTTTAGTTAATGATGCTTTATTCAGGTGCGAGCTGTAACTGTGCATCCCACAAATAAATACTTTGTGTCGGCATCTCTTGATAATACATGGTGCTTCTACGATCTGTCCTCTGGCTCATGCCTTGCACAGGTCCCTAAACACTTTCCTTAAAGAACTAACTAATACCTGTCTTCCTTTTCTAGCTTTGCCTGTATGCTATATTACAGAAATGATTATATATATTCACGAGAAAGTGAGAAACAATTGTTTGGATTATACTTTCGTCATAAGCATTGTCATATCAGCTAATTCCTTAGGTCGGTGTATGTTTAGAGTACGAGCTCCTTTCCCCATATGAGCCATTGTCATATTTCTTTTTTTTATTCAGGTATCAGACGGATCAGAGAATGCAGATTACACTGCTGCTGCTTTTCATCCCGATGGTCTCATTCTCGGAACCGGTACTTCTCAATCTGTTGTTAAGATTTGGGATGTTAAAAGTCAGGTAAAAACTATGGCCTTCCATACTATATTACCTATTAAAATCATTAATTTTTACAGTGTTCTTCATTATAGTTTCATTTTGTTGCTGGATAATAGGCAAATGTGGCGAAGTTTGATGGACACACTGGGGAAGTTACAGCTATATCTTTCTCCGAAAATGGTTACTTCCTCGCAGTGAGTACTTTAAACAAATTACCAGACGGGAGAATACAGCTAAAGTTCTGCTTACATGAATGATTTTCTTTTTGTCCTGGAAATTGGCAGACGGCTGCCGAGGATGGTGTTAGGTTGTGGGATCTGCGCAAGTTAAGGAACTTCAAGTCATTTTTATCTGCAGATGCGAACTCTGGTACACAACTAACGTATCTGCTTCTAGTTGTTGATGGAGAACTTTCTATGTATAAGCTAGCTTGAATGAAACTACTTTTTTTTGCAGTGGAGTTTGATCCTAGCGGATCTTATCTCGGTATTGCTGCATCAGATATCAGGTGAGTACACATTTGAAAATAGTTGATGAAGCATCCAAGCTCAGTTAAAGAAAATATCCAAAGAGACCAAGCTTGATAACCTGCACGTTTGGTTTATCTAATTCAACAAAATGTATGTGTGTTTTGGCTGCAGAGTATACCAGACGGCAAGTGTGAAAGCTGAATGGAACCTTATCAAGACACTCCCAGATCTCTCCGGCACTGGTAAAATCCCTTACCTAACTCCGTCAATGGTCACATAGCGATAATGTTCCTTATCCAAAACGCTTACACTTGCAGGTAAAGCTACGTGTGTGAAGTTTGGTCCAGATGCACAATACGTTGCAGTTGGTTCAATGGACCATAATCTACGGATATTTGGTCTTCCTGGTGATGAAAAAGCCAACGCTGATGATGACTCTGCACAAGACTCGTGAAGAATCCGTAAAAAAAAACACTCGAACTGCAAATTCCAAATGTTCATCTCCGGTTATATCTCGCTCCAATTTCTCAACTTCTGTTGTATCTTCCAGTATTTGCAGCAACGGGGAGAATTTCATAGGTGCGGGTCATGAGTGAGTTTGTGAGTTATTGTGATCATCCTCGCTTCCTCTGACATTCAAACGATCACACTCACACACACTCGAGTTTTCTTATAGGCTCTTCTAATCTCTCTTTGTACCTTCAAAATCTGTACCAAACTTGTTCTTTCTGTTGCCAAATGATCGAAGCCAGTTTAATCAAGACATAAATGTAGAACCTAAACCGATCGGGTTGGTACTATTTGCTCTGTTCCAGACAAAGGTATTTTGCTTATTTTCCCCGTATTCCAACAATGAAATCAGCTGGTCTCTGAAGGACAAAATTTTAATCAAATGTTAAAGAATACCTTCACTGTACTTTGGTCAAAAATCACTGTGCACAATATTCACATTTTTCCACGAATATCAGATTCGTGATTTGTTTTGCAATTCCATGATTCGTGTTAAGGTATAACCACGTGTTTCCTAACAATTCTAAAGAATGCCTCCGTTTCTTTGTCTATGATTTTTTTTTTTTTTTTGTGTGTGTGTGAAATGCCATTCTTTTTTGCTAAGAAAATGCCATTCTTTATTTAATCATACTTATAACTTGAACAAATCATAGTGTACAACTACAAAATACGTAAACTAAAGCTTAAACTGATATCTACTCGATGAACTGAGGAACGTTTTATATAGTAGTAATTGTACCAACTACAAAATACTCCCTCCGTTTCAGTTTAGTTGTCGTTTTAGGATTAAAATTTTGTTTCATAATAGTTGTCGTTTTAGGTTTTCAATGCAAATGTTTGGTGAAAATTCATGTTTTGTCTTTAATGTTTTAATGTTTTGACCAATGAAAAAATTATAAAATATATTAATAAATGGTAAAACGAAAAATTTAATGATTTTCTTAATTTGTGTGCGAAAACCTTAAACGACAACTAAAACGAAACGGAGGGAGTAGTACATAACCTTACTAATTATGTTCCATTTTAATTATTGCTGAATAGTTTGTCGAAAACGTGTTTTCATAAAGTAATTCTTGGGTTTCATATCCAAATTATAAACATCAATTGAAATGGAACCAAAATAGTAGTCATTCTAAATTAAAAAAGTTAGGTAGTAAATTAACATTTTAAGTGAAACCTAACAATAACCAATAATGGTATTAGGATTTACTAAAAGACTGCAAAACACACCAAACAAACTCACTGTAGTCTTAAGACTGGTCAGTGGTGGCTGAAGAAAGAAAGAGTGTTTGATTGTTTATTATAATAAAAGAAAACAAATTACGCTCCCTTCTCTAAAGAGAGACTCTTCTATCCTAATCCTATATTTTTCCACATCTCCTAAAGAGAGAGAAAAGAGTGGTCATGGTCATCCACAGCCTCTAAAAAATCTCTCTCTTTCACCATTAAACCCAAATTCAGAAAACCCAGAAGAAGCAAATAAAGAGCTTTTACTGAGCCACCAAACACAGAATTTCATAAACTCCAAAAAAAGTTAAATTCCAAACAAACCCCACAGCAAAAGATTCAATCTTTCTCATTACCCATATCTCAAAATTCCCACAAAATCTTTCCTCCAAAAACATAACTAAACAACCTCAAACTCTCTTCTTCTACAACAAACAATGTTTTGATTTTTAGTTTCTTCTTCCACAGAAACAAAAGAAAAAATGGGTTTTTCTTCACTGAAACAGCTCTTGTCACTTTACATCATCATCATGGCTCTGTTCTCAGATCTCAAGGAAGCAAAATCGTCATCACCAGAGTACACAAACCTAATCTACAAAGGTTGTGCAAGACAGAGATTATCAGATCCAACTGGTTTATACTCACAAGCTCTCTCTGCAATGTATGGATTATTGGTTTCTCAATCGACGAAAACAAGATTCTACAAAACCACAACTGGAACAACAAGCCAAACAAGCGTCACTGGTCTTTTCCAGTGTAGAGGAGATTTAAGTAACAACGATTGTTACACCTGTGTTAGCCGTCTTCCTGTTCTCTCTGGTAAGCTCTGTGGCAAAACCATTGCCGCTAGGGTTCAGCTCTCCGGCTGTTATCTTCTCTATGAAATCTCTGGCTTTGCCCAAATTTCAGGTATTATTATTTACTCCATTATTTGGTTTAATCTCAATTTCTTCGAAAATGTTGAACCGGAATTCGAGTTTCTGTGTGAACTGGTGGATTTCAAGAACCGGGTTAAGGCATCAGGTTTCTCCATGTGAAAAGATTGGATTTTTCTTTACTTCCAAATTTAGTTAAACCAGAACCGGTTTTGGTTATAAGGGGGATTTCAATTGTAGGATTATCAAGTGAACCGGATTTCAATTGTAAAAAGATTGGATTTTTGGTTTTTAAGTTAGACCAAACCGGGATTAAATAGCCAGTGAAGAGATCGGTTTAGATTCAACCTGAGAAACTCTTTGGTTGAATTTTAGACTAATTTAGTGAACCGATTATCATCAAACCAAGCTAGGATTCGACTAAACCAGAGAAACTCGTTTATTATCGAATTAATTTTTTGTTAAACCATAAAACCGAACCGAGATTGACTGATTTTAATTCCGGTTTAAACATTCTTTAGGAATGGAGTTGTTATTCAAGACATGTGGGAAGAACAACGTCGCCGGAACAGGATTCGAGCAAAGAAGAGACACAGCTTTCGGGGTAATGCAAAACGGCGTCGTTCAAGGACACGGCTTCTACGCGACGACATACGAATCGGTTTACGTTTTAGGACAATGCGAAGGCGATTTAGGTGATTCAGATTGTAGCGGTTGCATAAAAAACGCGTTACAGAGAGCTCAAGTAGAATGTGGAAGCTCAATCTCTGGTCAGATATATCTTCATAAGTGTTTTGTCGCTTATAGTTTCTACCCAAATGGTGTCCCCAAGAGATCTTCTCCTTATCCTAGCTCTGGCTCTTCGACTTCGTCTTCTTCTTCTTCTTCTTCAGGTGAATAATTCTATTTCTTTTTCTTTGTTTATTATTATTTTGGTGGAAATTTTCAAAACCAAAATTCTAATTTTGCTGGAAAATCTCGAAAAAGTGTTTTAAAAAAAATGATTTGATGTTGAGTTTATTAATTTATATATTTGACTATCTTCACTTTAATTCAAAAGGTTTCAGTGTGAGTTCTTTCGTTTTCAGGCGCTCCAATTGTGATTTTTCTTTTTCATTTTGTTTTTTTCAACATTCTATTTTTGCTACGATTTCGTAACAATTACTCTTTAGAAAAGAGAGCGTAGACTTTAGGAAATGTATTTTAGTAATTTAGATATATTTTATTTGGATGATTAATAAAATGGTTTGATGAAAAAAACAGGAACAACAGGCAAAACGGTGGCAATAATAGTAGGAGGAACAGCTGGTGTTGGATTTCTTGTCATTTGCTTACTTTTCGTCAAAAACTTGATGAAGAAGAAATATGACGGTATTATTTTTCTCTCTACTAAATTATATACATTCTCACATGGATACATACACGTATAAATGTATACACATACACGTATGCTACATTCATGCACGTATCACGTATGTAAGCACACATGCATACGTAACGTAATTCATACGAATCGTCATTTTTGTCAATGATGTTACTTTATTGCCAAAATAAAGATTAGTCAGTGTTATTTTATTAGAGATATTATCCTTCTAATTTGAGCATATTGATTTTCAAGATTTAGTTGTAAGTTTCTATCTAGACACTTTATCTTTTATATCGAAAAAAACAAGTGTGTAAGAGCATGCATATAATAGGCATACACATGCATATGTTGAGAAGAAGAATAAAGGCAAAAATTGATTGTCTGATTATGTAATGTTTTTTTTTTGGCAGATTATTGAAAATAAATAGGATGAAGACAACAAAATGAGTCCAACCCCGAAATGCAGGCAAACGTTAATGTGAATTCCGAGGTGCATGCAATTTATTGTGTCCCGATTTTAAATTTTCTTCAAATTGTTATTCTTATTTTTGAGAGGTGGAAAATGGAAATTGTGGTGGGATGGATGAAGAAGAGCTGGGACCATTTTTATTATGTTAGAAGAGGGACAAACTACTTTAAAAAAAAAAAAAATGTGAAATGTAAATGATTTTTCTCCTTTTGAAGTTCCTTAAGTACTTATTTGTCTTAATTCCCAATCTCTTACAAGTTCGGTAAAGTAATTCTATTGGAAAGCGCAGGAACATAAGTTTAGTTTAAAACTGGTTAAATCTTAAACAGGTCGATATTAATTTATGGTATGACTAGTATTTTACTTCTTTTTATTTTTTTTTCTCTTCCGATAACGTTATAAATTCGTATGTTTTAATGATATTTTGTTTTCTAGAGTGTTAAGTTGCTTTTTGAGTTTCTGTCAACTTGTTTTTTTCTGCCAACTTGTTTTTGTTACTTTTTATCAAAATCTCGTTTGATAAGTAACTTTATTGATATAACCTGGCAATTTTTATTTGTTTTATTTTGTTTCTTGTTAAATGAGTAGGATTCCACCGTCTTTTGTATTATTGTGCCAATTTGCAATATTTAAATCTTATTTTCGGCATATTAAGTTTTTTTTTATTGTTCCGAAAATAATCGTCTGCTTGTAATCGTATATCGTGTGCTTCACAGTTAATGTAATTATGAATGTGTGTTGTTTATGATCGTAATATCATGTGGTCTCGACTCGAGTGAAACTATCGTTAATTTGTTATAGCATTGCTCATGCGAGTTTCATGGAGAAGTGTGAGGCCTTTTGTGATTTTGGGAATAGCGAAAATTGATTGATACCTTTTGGGATCAAACATCAATACTCTCTGCACAAGTTTTGATGAATCTTGTAGTAATTGTTTTGGCATTTAATTGCATAACTTTGAGAATGGGGCATAGGGTGGTCCACTAATAGAAGAACCAATATAACAAGAATATTACCACGACCAAAAAAAAAAATATAACAAGAATATTACGAATATAGGATTATAGCCATGGAGGCCCTCCAAAAAGACAGAACAAAGCTCAAACACACCGCACGATCACGAGGGGGAGAGAGAGACATTAAAACTCGACTGACATAGCACATTATACTGACATTGGATTTGGCCCGTGACCGTCTCAATTTGGGCTACACTTAGGAAGCCCATTAATAACACGAATAAAATCTCAGTTTTTCAAGATTGTGATAGAAGCAACAATCACATAAGATGAAACCTCTCTTACCAGACAACAAAGGACTTCACAAATCATCTGTGAAAATCACTTTTCCAGAATGAATTAGCCTCTGGTGTCTATCGTATCGTTGTGCATAAAGATTATTCATATCTGATATCTCTAAGAATTGACAATTTGATCCTATTAACTCCTAATTTAGCAAACTTCTACAATATCTTACTAAAGATTATCACATGACCCCTAATTTACACTCTCTCTCACATTTTTTTACAACACAGCCCAAATATGGAACCTAAGATTGACTTTCTCTATCTCCCTCTCCTCTCTCTCCTCTCTCTGCTTCAAAGGTTAATAAAAACATGGAAAAAAAAAAGAGATTGGAAGCAATGGCCAATACCTTATCCATACCATTCGGAGATTTGCCACCAAACGAATAACAGTCTTATGATCTATCCAATGGAGAATCGTCCACTCCTTAGGGGGCTAATCAAGAATTCGATTTTCCAATTCCATTGCTCTTTCAATTCTCCTCATTTCATCAAATGTGACTGAATTTAAAAAATATACGTTGATTGTGTTCACAAACAATGTCGATGTTTCCTTCTTTCCAGTTGCTAGAGCTCAACATAATCTCTGCTCAAGATCTAGCTCCTGTCTCACGTAAAATGAAGACCTACGCCGTGGCTTGGGTTCACTCCGAACGTAAACTCACCACCCGTGTAGATTACACAGGTGGTGCAAACCCAACATGGAACGACAAGTTCGTCTTCCGAGTTAGCGAGGATTTCCTCTACGCCGATACTTCAGCCGTCGTGGTTGAAATCTACGCCTTACATTGGTTCCGTGACGTTCACGTTGGCACAATCCGTGTTCTCATCAGCAACCTAATCCCTCCAAATCGTCGACCTGGATACCGAAGCAATGACGAGTATCGTCGAACACCACCTCCCGGAATGCGATTCGTCGCGCTTCAAGTTCGCCGACCATCAGGTCGTCCTCAAGGGATACTAAACATCGGTGTGGGAATACTTGACGGATCAATGCGTAGTATGCCACTTTACACCAATATGGACTCATCTGCAGTTGGTTACAGAGATTTACTTGGGGAAGAAGATCCAAATTTGCAGAATTTGCATCTTAATAGCATCAAAGGAAGCTCAAAGAATCCACAATCACCATCTTCTAAACAGTACCAATCCGTAGTCTCGAGACCGCCGATGCTCCGTCGTACAAGGAGCGATACAAGTTCAATGGTCGTTTCTGATCTTCTAAGCAGAGCTGAGCGAAGCCGTGTGGCTAACAGAAAGCCAGCGAGCGCGTTGATGAGCGCCGAATCGGAAACTGTACCTACAACGTCGGGACACGATTCGATGACGTCAGATTCCGAGCTGACGAAATCGATCGATTATGGACTTCCTTACCAATCCCCAAAGATTCCAAGTCAGAGATACGATTCGTACGAGCCTGATTACGTAGATCGATCACCAAATCACAATGTGTTGCGACACGAACCTGAATTCATAGATCAGTCGCCTTATCGATCTTACGATCGCTCACGCAAAACTCCGAGAAGATCAACACCGATGATCGAGAAGCCACGACCGCCGAGAGACTACGACCGTAGTAGTAGCCGCGCTTCACCGTATTTGTCAAGACACGGAACGCCGTTGAGATCAAACATCGTCGCGTCTACTCCGATAAGATCTAACATGGTTGCATCAAGTCCGATGAGATCCACCGGCGTTGGATCAACTCCGAGAAGATCTAACATCCTCGGTTCGACTCCGTTACGTTCCAACATCGTCGGATCAACTCCGATTAGATCTAACTACATGGCTACACCGATGAAATCGCCTCTACAATTTGGTACTCCGATGAGATCTAATTTAGCAGGAAGACCGATTTTAACCGAATCCGAATTAGGTCCGTCACCATCAGAAGTAGCGCAGAAAATGGCGAAAGAGAGATCACAAGCTAACGAAACAGAGAGTTCGATTCTTAGTGAATGGAGTTTAGACGATGATAGTAACATCGAAGGTCTCCGATCAAAACTCGAGCGGTGGAGAACGGAGCTTCCGCCGCTTTACGATCTGGGATCGAGTCATCAAAGCAGCGATGTAGGAAGCGGCGCGATTGTTGTTGCAAATGTAGGTGGAGGAAAAAGCTCGAGGAAGAAAACTCCGGTGGTGAAGAAGAAGCATAATCGCCGTCACACTGAAGGAGGTAACGGACTTTTCTCGTGTTTCAGTAATTTGTGCGGCGTTGAATGCACGTTCGTGTGTGGAGGCGGGTCGGATCAAGACGGGTCAAAAAAGAAAGGTGGGTCTGGGCGTTTGCCCCGCTTGGGCTCTGCTGATGATTTGAGTTATTTATGATTATTTTTTATATTTTCAATTTTTAGACTGACCCTTATTCTTTTAATTTTATACATATTTCGTTTGTGAATGAGAAAATATTTGTGAATAATTTATATAATTCTTTTAAAATGTCATTGAGAAATATTTCATGCTCTTTTCATATAAACACAATATTAAAACGAATATGAGATCAAACTTTAAGATAAGTTCAATTCATAATATATTTTTGCTACTAAGGCCATTTTTTGATATTTTTGCTATATGATTTTAAAATTTAGGCAAAATGTGATCACGTGGACCGATGAAAGGAAAACAAAGATCACTTTTTGATGGATTCGTTTCAGAAATTTTAAATGAAATAATCGTCGCTTATACGTATATAGTTTGACAATAATTAAACTTTGGGAGATTAAAAATGGAGCGCGTGTGAGAACATGGGGAAGAGGCGCGTGAGAGCATAAAGAGCGCGAAAAAGGGGAATTGTGTCTTGCACTAAACGGGTAAACATCCGGGTGGTCCGCAAAGAGCATTGAACAACGTGTCGTTTTTTTATAAAAAACTTTGGTTTGATTCACGCACCCTTGTCGTTTTGTCTCCTTAAAACGATAGCCTTTTTCCTCCTTTCACAACCATTTTTTAATTTACTTTACCGCAATTTGTCACAGAATTTCATCATATTAGTAAAAATAGTAAATGGTAAAATTTAGAACAGTGACATTATTCTACAGTTTTCAGTCTACTATACAGTTTATATTCAACTGTTTTGTCATTTCATCATTTTAATGATATAAATAAAGAGAATTGTCATTCACTCATTCTACTGTTTTGCAAGTAATATATTTTTTTCGTTTTCTCACAATTCTAATATACTATCCGACTGATGTAATGTAACCATGCTTTGAGATAAGTTGATACATATAAAAATGCAATAAATTTCCATATTAACAGTCATATATCTAATTTTTTGTGTCTAACATCGTTACATATATTTTTGTGATAAAAAAAAAACTCGTACGTTTATATATTAACGGAAAGCAACAAAGTTGTAACTTTCTTTTTCATCTTTTTCTTAAAAGATTGTTAAAAATGTGTACAGACCATGCAATAATTCAAAATACTGTATTACTATTGGCTATCTAAAGTTAAATTGTGTGAAATAGTTAATTCTACAAATTACGATCTTTTATAAAATAAAGAAAAGATCGTATCTATCCTTTTTCAGGGTAAAGAGAAATCACATATTAGGATTAAGATAATCTTATATGTCTTCAAATGATCATTTACTCGTTTGTTATATACAGAGACAATATCCTTTTAATATCCAGTGTAAAGCATATCAATATCGACAATATTGTTTAGTCTTAAAGTCTTGACTGAAAAATTTCTAAGTCGGATGCTATGGTCCTTACAAAAACACTAAATTTTCTACATATTGATTTTTAGTCTAGTAGTATATGAAAGTATTAACAATTTATCACTTTCTAAAAATCATGACTAATGCTTAATCTTACTTTACATAATACAATCCTCTTGCAAATTAATACCTTATCATATATCTTTTCTTAATTAGAATAGTTATACATGTTACTGTTGGGATGTTTATAATATAAGATCAATCAAATCAAACAAATATATATTTACAAGCGTGAAGTCATCTCCATCATTTATCCTCAACATTTGATTACAAATTATACATCATGAATCTGCTTTTGTCTTTTCCTTATGATTCCAAATGATATTAACCTTCAACTTGTTGCACGTTGACAAGAGACAAACACAATTCACCGTACATTTGAACGATTTTAATTCGTTACATATAAAACTTTGATTCGTTGAAATATATACACAAACTAGATCGATTTAAAGATTTCAGGATTTTGAAAAAGCTTTACAAACTAAAAGAATGTATAACTACATGTAATTCTTGATAGTAAATGAGAAAAACTCACATCTACATTTTCATTCTCGAGTTAATTAGTGTCTAAATTAAACCATTTTTTGAGTATTTAGATCTAAGATTTATTTTCCCGGAGATAAGCTGGTTTCTAATATAAAAATTTGTTCTTACACGAATTCTATTATATTTAATGAACTTAGTAGTTTATGTTTCATTAAATCTTACGAATTCTCCCTAATTCCTAAATATTTTTTTTAAACAACATTCATTTATACTATATGATACTGTAGATTTATGCGGATTTATGCGGATAATAAATAGCTGTTTCGTATAATCTACTTATTTTCTTATTTTACCTTTATAGACAACCCCACAGCCCACTTGGGTATCGACTTTATAATTAAAGCAATGTTCGTGCCTTTTGTCCTATAAAGGAACGACACAGATAGCCCAAGATAAAATAAAACTAACTAACAAGTGAGTAAAAATTGCAAAATAAAACAAAAAAGCGAATATTAAAATTAACACGCAATTCTAGAACAAACGTAGATAACGTGAAAAACATAGAATCAAATATTTGATATTGACTAACTGGTAGTGTACTTGGAACTGCGAGAATAAGTCGCTTTGAAGTTTGAAGAGGTTCAGGTGCCTGAGTTTTCTAATAAAATAAAACACAACTTGTAATTCTTCTTTGGTTGTGAGATATTACTGTATCTCTTAATAGTTAATACTTTGAAATTTCTACATATTTTACTTCAACAAACTTTGATAACAATCTAATATATTCATTTTAAACTCTTAAAAGAAAGCATAAAATGATTAATCTGTGAACTCTTGTAAATCCATTATTATTGTTGCAAAATACAACTAGTAAAATTTTAGAAGAGAAAGATGATTTTTTTTAACATATTACAAAGAAGATGAATCTAAATTCTTAAAAAAAAGCGAAATTAACCGATTTTGAATTGTATGAACAATTGATAACTTGATAGCTTCAATAATGTATAACTTGTTTGCCAAAATTTTAAATTTCGTTCGTATTATATTACATAAATTTTACTATTTTAGTATCCAAGAGTTTTATGACCTTTGAAGCAAGAGATTTCAAACCGCATGAAACCCTCAAAAATTGTTGATAGAAGTTGTTGTTTGATTTTTTTTGTGAAATGAGGCCATATGGAGAAAACGAAAAAAAGTTGCGAGTGTGGCAGTCCATATCCCATTGAGTGAGGCAGTCGCGAGTTTACAACAAACATATGTTACAATTAGCTATCGGTTTAGGGATTAACATGTTAGTAGCATGACTGATAAAAGTTGTTTTAATGATTACAAAATAGTGTCGGTAAAAAATGTGAGATGAGTAATCAAAATTATGGTCGAAATTACTATAATTCTGTTTTTAAAATGTAAAAATTATTAAAGAAAACTAAGTTTGTTATCCTAGCAAATCCATTAATAGAGTATGAAATACAATGTTCTCATTTAGTCATGATTTTGATCAAAAGAGAAATTTCCACACATCAATTGCGATTGAAAAAGTTTTCAAAGGATCATCATAGCATATCAAGAAACATGATGATGAAAAATCTCATCACCACTATTTATTTAATAATTCCTTATTATGAAAACCAAATTTGTTCTCACTTTATTTGAAACCCATCATAGTCCTCCACGAAAAAAAGAAAAGAAAAGAAATGGCATATAACATTATTTAATGACAAATTAAATATTCGTTGAATTACATGAATATTGAATTGAAACTAATATAAAACGAATATGAAAATGTTATACTATAGTGGTATTTTCTTAATTACTCAAATCCAAAATAAAATTTCATCAGATACATAACAATCTTTAAGTTCAAACCATAATAACATAGTTGATGACAAAATATTCTAAAGATTAATATAATTTTTTGGAACAAAATGATTAGTCATTCCAATCAAAATTTAACAGTTGTGTACCCACTATCTTCATATATTCCAATAGTGATCTAAAATTCTACCCAAAATTCTCTTTTTCTAAACTGGTACTAAGCTATACATTTTCACAAAGTTAGCAGTTTTGGTGCCATGAACACGATATAAAGCATAGCTAGCAGATAAGATCAAACGAATACAAGTAAACCCCATATAGCAATCATCAAAACGAATACAAATTCTTGCAAAAATAGAAAAGAAAGTGTGATGTAAAACAAAGCTTTCCACAAATACAAAACACAAACCACAAAACAACAATTTTTATTTAATACAGTTTAATAAGATTTGTTTATCATTTTATAAACACAGGAGAAAACAATAACGCAAACGAGAGCACGACAAGTTTGATAATGTCGGGAAGAAAAGTTAAAAGAATTTTTGTAATAATTAGAATTAGAAATAAAAAAGTAAAAGAGAAGAAGAATGGTATTGTTGTTGGTATGGCCACTACCAGACATATGGGTCCTACTCTTCTCATCACTCTCTCCACCACCTAATCCTCTCTCTCTCTTTCTTCTTCCTCAATTCTTGAAACTCTCTTTCAGATTTCAAGAAACCCTTAAAATCCTCTCTCTGTCTCTTTCTGTTTGTTTGTTTTCTTGTTTCCTTAACTCTCTCTCTCTCTCTTTCTTTGTCTTCCTTTCCCAGGTTTTTTTTGCTCTCTCTGTCTTCTTGACTTTCAAAAGACTCTTTCTTTCGGGTTGATCTTGGATTCTAGGGCTCTTTCTTTTAGTAGTCGTTTTTGTTATTGTTGTGCGTCTCTCTGATGATTACTGAACTTGAGATGGGGAAAGGTGAGAGTGAGCTTGAGCTTGGTTTAGGGCTGAGTCTCGGCGGTGGAACGGCGGCCAAGATTGGTAAACCAGGTGGTGGTGGCGCGTGGGGAGAGCGTGGGAGGCTTTTGACGGCTAAGGATTTTCCTTCTGTTGGTTCTAAACGAGCTGCTGATTCTGCTTCTCATGCTGGTGCATCTCCTCCTCGTTCAAGGTTCGTCTTCTTAAGCTTTTGGTTTCAAAGAAAGATATTTTAAGATGTTTATTCCTCTGTGTGATATGAAATTGCTATTCTTAGAGCATAATCTGTTTAGGAGTTTCTTTAGTGTTTAGCTGTTGTTAAAGCTTTAGCTCAATTATTCAGAATGAATTAGTGTATACTTGATCTGAGTTATGTAGGAAGAAGGGCTCTGTTTTCGGAATTAGGAATCTTGAATAGCTGAATCTGTTCTTGATATTGCTCTTGATTCTACAAGTGCTGACTCATGTGTGCTTTGCTTGTAGCAGTCAAGTTGTGGGATGGCCTCCTATAGGGTCACACAGGATGAACAGTTTGGTTAATAACCAAGCTACAAAGTCGGGAAGAGAAGAAGAAGAAGCTGGTAAGAAGAAAGTGAAAGATGATGAGCCTAAAGATGTGACAAAGAAAGTGAATGGGAAAGTGCCAGTTGGGTTTATTAAGGTGAACATGGATGGAGTTGCTATAGGAAGGAAAGTGGATTTGAATGCTCATTCTTCTTACGATAATTTGTCGCAAACATTGGAAGATATGTTCTTTCGCACTAATCCGGGTACTATCGGGTTAGCGGGTCAGTTCACTAAACCGTTGAGGCTTTTAGATGGATCGTCTGAGTTTGTACTTACCTATGAAGATAAGGAAGGAGATTGGATGCTTGTTGGCGATGTTCCATGGAGGTAATAGATCTAAAAACTTTGAGTTTCTCATCTTCTAAATTCTTATGAATGTTTTATGATGGTCTAACTCGGTCTTGTTTTGGTACCATCTTAGAATGTTCATCACCTCAGTGAAAAGGCTTCGTGTGATGAAAACCTCTGAAGCGAATGGACTCGGTATGTAGACTATCTTGTCTAGATTTCTCCTATTGTTTGTTGAAAAGATGGAAAGAAAAGGTTGGACTGAAACATGTTAATATATGCAGCTGCAAGACATCAAAATCCGAATGAGAGACAACGAAACCAGCCGGTTTAGATCTCTTTTCAACAATACGCTGTTACAGGTTTTTATATTTTGGGTTTTTGCAAGTCTGAGATACTTCTGAAGCAAGCATAAATGAAGAAGCATAAGCTAGATTGATCTTATATCAAGTTTGTGTTTTCTCTTGGTTCTTCTAATGGTTTTTTTTTTACTGGTTTTCTTTAGGTTGTTTTTTTGGCTGTCTTTTAATTTCCGGTTGCGATGTCACCACATACTATGGATCGAAGAGAATGCTCTTTATTTCTTTTACTACACTGTAAATATTTGAAGCGCTTATCTAATATCGTCTTAAGTTTTTTTTTGTTTGTTTATGAGTTTGCTCTTATTGATCCAATAAACTATGTCACTTGTGGATACTTTTGTTCATCAAATTCTACGATCATAAGCATATAAATCAAATCATAAAAAACAAAAAAAACAAACAGATAGTGAAAATAATAATGTATTAACAAGTCAAAACATTCCTTACAGATAAACTTCTTCGTAAAGTAATGGAGTACACTAATCTATTAACGAACGTATTGTCACTTAGAAGCTTTTGGTGGTGACAACGTTTTAGAAATTCGATGGCCATCTCTCTAAGAAATACTTCTCCTTCTTCCCTCTTCTCTTGCCACTTCACCAGCATTGAAATATGACCAATGTCTTTTTTAAGTTCTTCTTTGTAAATTTCAGTAGAGATTAGTGCCATTGCTCTTACTGCTAAGCACTTATGAAGCTGGGGCAAACTGATGTGATTCTAATACAAATTATGCGTTAGAAATATCAAACTTTAGCGTGGATTTCACTTCATGATCTGATTGGCTCTTAGACATCATTTTTCTCCAATCCACACTGCGAAGACTTTTAGTAAGCTCCAAGTCTTCGCTGAGCATGATGACCACTATATTTCTATCCACTATATTTCTATCCACTATATTTCTATATATAGACCAATCTTCTGTCTCTTTTGATTAAACAAATATCAGTCTTCTTGAAAGTTTTCACGACGACCATGTCGGGTCTGCGTTTGTGTTTACTCTCGTCACTCTTACTCTGTTGTTTTTTTTATGCACGCTTCGTAACGACGGATGCTCTAGTTACTGGTCTTTCTGCTTGCAGTCCCGATCAGATTCAAGCCCTTATGCAATTCAAGAACGAGTTTGATTCCCGCGGTTGCAACCACAGAGACTATGTTAATGGTGTCCGGTGCAATAACATGACTGGTGCCGTCAAGAAACTGCAACTCCCAATTGGCTGTCTTAGTGGAACTCTGAAGCCCAACAGTAGCCTCTTCGGATTGCACCATCTCCGTTACCTTAATCTCTCTAACAACGACTTCACCTCCTCTTCACTCCCTTTCGGGTTCGGCAATCTCAACAAGCTAGAGGTTTTATCTCTTTCCTCTAATGGTTTCATTGGTCAAGTTCCTTCCTCATTTAGTAACCTAAGCCAGCTTTCCTATTTAGACCTTTCCCGAAACGAGCTCACCGGTAGTTTTCCACCTGTAGGGAACCTAAGCAAGCTATATTATATAAGGCTTTTCGATAATCAGTTCTCTGGAACTCTGAGTCCCAACAGTAGCCTCTTCGGGTTACGCAATCTCCGTTACCTTAGTCTCGCTCACAACGACTTCACCTCCTCTTCATTCCTTTCCGGATTTGAAAATCTCAATAGGTTAGAGGTCTTGCTTCTTTCCTTTAACGGCTTCCTTGGCCAAGTACCTTCCTCAATTAGTAACCTCAGCCAACTTTCCTTTTTAGCCCTTGACAATAACGAGCTCACAGGTAGTTTTCCACTTGTGCAGAATCTAACCAAGCTTTCCGTCTTAGGGATTGTCAATAATAAGTTCACTGGAACCATCCCTTCTTATCTCCTCAGTATGCCTTTCATGTCATATCTTGATCTTCGTGGAAACCATTTCACCGGTCCTATTGAAGTTCCCAACTCGTCTTTCTCATCTGGGCTTGAGCATCTGCTCCTTGGGTATAACCACTTTGATGGACAAATCCTCGAACCTATCTCAAAGCTTACTACCCTCAAAGATCTTGACCTTTCTTTCTTAAACATCAGCCACCCAATTGATTTCAGCCTCTTCTCCTCTCTTAATTCTTTGGTGCAACTTGATCTTTCCGGTAATAGTATATCACCGACCAGTTTAAGTTCAGATTCAGGCATCCCACTGAAGAACCTGGAAAACTTATTCTTGACGGACTGCAACATCCGAGAGTTCCCAAAATTATTAAATACCCTTCAAGACTTGGAATATCTAGACATTTCCAATAATAAAATCAAAGGGAAGGTCCCTGAATGGTTCTGGATTCTTCCTCGTCTCAGTGTGGTGAATCTTGCTAACAATCTTTTCACTGGATTCGAAGGTTCAGCCCAAGTTTTAGTGGATTCATCAGTGCAAATGTTAGATTTGGCAGTCAACCGTTTTAAAGGAGCAATTCCAGATTTACCTGTCTCTATCAACGCCTTACAAGCACGGAACAATCATTTCACGGGAAACATACCTCTCTCAATATGCAATCGAAGCTCTCTCCTTGTTCTTGATCTATCCTACAATAACTTCACCGGTTCAATTCCTCAGTGTCTAAGTAACTTTGTGGGATTGAAACTCCGAAAGAACAACTTGGAAGGAAGTCTTCCAGACATTTTCTCTGTGGGTGCCCCCATGCATGCACTTGATGTTGGCTACAATCGACTAACCGGGAAGCTTCCAAGGTCTCTTCAAAATTGCTCCTCTCTCAAGTTTCTAAGTGTTGACAACAACAAAATCAAAGACACGTTTCCTTTTTGGCTCAAAGCTTCACCTGATTTGCAAGTGCTTACCCTTCGTTCAAACAGATTCTATGGTCATATCTCTCCTCCTGATCAAGGTCCTTTAGGGTTTCCAGAGCTGCGGATATTTGAGATATCAGATAACAACTTTACTGGAAACGTGCCAGCAAATTATTTTTTGAATTGGAAAGCACCATCACTCAAGATGAATGAATATGGGAGGCTGTATATGTCAGACTACAAGAATGCGTACTTTGTTGATGAAGAAGTTGTAGATTTGCAATACAAAGGTCTAATCATGGAGCAAGGAAGGGTCCTTAGTTCCTACACCACCATTGATTTTTCTGGGAATAGATTTGAAGGACAGATTCCTGAATCCATTGGTGTTTTGAAGGTATTGATTGCACTCAACTTATCAAACAACGCTTTCACGGGTCATATTCCTCTGTCTCTGTCCAATGCTACAGTGCTCGAGTCACTAGACCTATCAAGCAACCAACTCTCAGGGACAATTCCAAACGGGCTAGGAAGTCTCTCGTTTTTGGAGTACATAAATGTGTCTCATAACCAACTCAAGGGTGAAATACCACAAGGAACACAAATCACTGGACAACCAAAATCCTCTTTTGAAGGGAATGCAGGGCTTTGTGGTCTTCCTCTGGAGGAAACTTGCTTCGACTCTAGTGTGCCGCCAATACAACCAAAGCAAGAAGATGAAGAAGAAGAAGACAAAGGAGAGGTGTTGAACTGGAAAGCAGTGGCTATAGGATATGCTCCTGGAGTGTTGTTTGGATTGGCAATAGTACAACTCATCGCTTCATACAAGCCGGAGTGGTTCGTCAAAATTATAGGTCCTGAAAAGCGCAGAAACCGTTAGAGGATTGACTTGGTTTTACGTGTGATCTTTGAATGTCTATCAAGTAGTTGCTGGTTGGTTCTATTTGTAATAAATAAAGCAACATGTATCAAACACTGTTTTTTTCATTTTCATGATTGTGGCAAAACTTATTGAACTTGAGTTGCTGCTATTCTTAACTAAATCAACGTTTTAATAAAACCAAGAACCCAATATCCGAAATACAAGAGAATTCAATTGTTATTGCTTAATGAAATCATGAGAAAAATGCAAAAATGAAATCACCTGGAGCTGTTGAAACAATCCACCAAAACTTCCCCGACTTCGAAGACTATGAGAGTGGAGTGACAATCCCTGCGCCGTTATCGCGTGAATTCCATTGGAGGACTTCACAAATACAACGATTTGGTTAGTTGAATTATGTGTACCGGTTGAGTGTAAACCGAAATGTGGACCCTTGGTTTCCAATCATCATTGTTCCATGTTGACTTTATGTATGGAGACAATATCCAATGAATGCTTTGCTTTAGTCCTGCAAACTAGGGCTGGGCCGGATCCGGATATCCGGCTTTTTTAGGGTATCCGGATCCGGATCCGGATCCGGCCGGATCCGCCTTTTCATTATCCGGATCCGGATCCGTTCCACCCGGATATCCGGATTTCGGATATCCGTAAAAAGAGCCGGATATCCGCCGGATATCCGGATCCGGGTTTTTTTATATAATTTTTTTTATTAATATAAAATTTCAAGAAAAATATTTAAAAACAAATAATTTAATATAAATAATTAAAAATATTATTAAAAAATATTATTCTTATATAAAATAATAGAATTTATTAATAAAATTTAAATAATAGTAATAAAATATTAAAAAAATATTATTATTATATAAAATATCCCGGATCCGGATATCCGGCTTTAAATTTTCTATTATCCGGATCCGGATCCGGATCCGGCCGGATCCGCTTTTTCATTATCCGGATCCGGATCCGCCCCACCCGGATATCCTATTTTTCGGAGCGGATCGGAGCGGATCCCGGATCGGATCCCGGATCTCGGATAATTGGTCTCACCCCTACTGCAAACCATCACATATCCATTTAACGGTCTCCAAACGGCTCAAAGATAATGACATCATATTAATGGCTGCGTATACAAATTATGATCACTTTGGTCAATTTCCAGAATAAATGGCAAACTTTTAAGATGACCAAAAGTTTTGACTTTTCTTCCGCATTCTTTTTATATTATATGTTTACGTCTTCTTTATACGCCAATAAGGCTACAACAGACCATCTTTCTTTGGAAATTTGACCAAGTCTTCTCCAATTTATAAACTGATTAATGTTAATCCGCATACTGTTACGCTACCGAGTACGAATCGTCATCGAACACGTAATAGATATCAACTGATACCGTGAAAGTCTTCTCCATCTCTTTGCTTAAAGCATATCATTCGTCTTCAAGCATAGTTTTCATGATGACCATGTCATGTCTGCGTTTGCATTATCTCTTGGTATGCTTATTTTGTTGCGTCTTTGCTTCAACTGTCTTTATGATTGATGCTCTTGTTGTTGGACTTTCTGCTTGCCGCCCTGACCAGATTCAAACCCTAACGCAGTTCAAGAACGAGTTTGATTCCAGCGGTTGCAACCAAACTGACTACTTCAATGGAGTACGGTGCGATAATGTGACGGGCATGGTCACAAAGCTACAGCTCCCACGTGGCTGTCTCATTGGAATCCTTAAGCCCAACAGTAGCCTCTTCGGGCTGCATCATCTCCGTTCGCTTGATCTCTCTTTCAACAATTTCAGTTCCTCTTCAATCCCTTCCGAATTTGGCAATCTCAACAAATTAGAGGTCTTGGCTCTTTCCACTAATAACTTCATCGGTCAAGTCCCTTCCTCAATTAGTAACCTAAGCTTGCTTTCTTTTTTAGACCTTACCTATAACGAGCTCACCGGTAGTTTTCCACTTGTACAGAATCTAACCAAGCTTTCTGTTTTAGGCCTTTCCCATAATCACATATCTGGAAAAATCCCTTCTTCTCTGCTTACACTGCCTTTCTTGTCAACACTTGATTTGACAGAAAACCATCTCACCGGTCCTATTGACGTTCCAAACTCCTCTTTTTCATCTAGGCTAGTGAGCCTACGCCTAGCGAATAACCAATTTGAAGCACAAATCCTAGGGCCTATCTCTAAGTATATCACCCTCAGAGATCTTGATCTTGCTTCCCTAAACATAAGCCACCCAATTGACTTAAGGCTCTTCTCCTCTCTCAAGTCTTTGTTGAACCTCCGCTTATCCGGAAACCAGTTATCACCTGCCAGTTTAGGCTCAGATCCAGACATCCCTTTGAACTTGAACTTGAAAAATCTGGCCTTGTCGGGCTGTGGCATCAGTCAGTTCCCAAACTTCTTAAAGAGTCTTCGCAACTTGGAGCTTATAGACATTTCCCACAATAGAATCAAAGGGAAAGTCCCTGAGTGGTTTTGGAACCTTCCTCGTCTGAGCATAGTGACTATTTCCAATAATTCTTTCACAGGTTTTGAAGGTTCGGAGGAAGTTTTAGTGAATTCATCAGTGAGGTTATTAGATTTGGCTTTAAACAAATTTACAGGACTATTTCCTAAACCACCACAGGCTCTCAACCTCTTATCTGCATGGAACAATAGCTTCACAGGGAACATACCTCTTACAATCTGCAACCGAAGCTCTCTTTCTGCTCTTGATCTATCTTACAACAACTTCACCAGTTCGATTCCTCAATGTCTGAGTAAATTCCGAAGCTCGATTACTGCTGTGAATCTCCGAAAGAACAACTTGGAGGGAAGTCTGCCAGACATATTCTATGATGGTGCCTTGCTTCGGTCATTGGATGTTGGTTACAATCGACTAACTGGGAAGCTTTCGAGGTCTCTTCTGAATTGCTCCTATCTTAAGTTTCTAAATGTTGACAACAACAGAATTGAAGACACGTTTCCTTTCTGGCTCAAGGCTTTGCCTCATTTGCAGGTCCTTACCCTGCGTTCAAACAAATTTTATGGCCCTATATCTCTTCCTGGTCAAGGTCCTCTTGCGTTCCCTGAGTTGCGCATACTTGAAATATCAGATAACAACTTTACAGGAAGCTTGCCACCAAATTACTTCTTGAATTGGAAAGCATCATCACTCCAGATGAATAAAGATGGGAGAATCTACATGGGAGACTACAACAACCCTGAGTATAACTATGAAGATACCACGGATTTGCAATACAAAGGTCTATTCATGGAGCACAAAAAGGTCCTTACTTTCTACAGCAACATTGACTTATCTGGAAACAGATTTGAAGGACAGATTCCTGAATCTATTGGTCTCTTGAAGGCACTGATTGCACTCAACTTATCAAACAACGCTTTCACAGGCCATATTCCTTTGTCTTTGGAAAATCTTAAAGCACTCCAGTCACTAGACCTGTCAAGAAACCAACTCTCAGGGACTATTCCTAATGGACTCAAGACCCTCTCGTTTTTGGCGTACATAAATGTGTCTCATAACCAACTCTCAGGTGAAATACCACAAGGAACACAGATCACTGGACAACCTAAATCCTCCTTTGAAGGGAATGCAGGGCTTTGTGGTCTTCCTCTCGAACAAAGTTGCTTCAGGACTAACGCACCACCAATACAACAACCAGAGCAAGAAGAAGAAGAAATATTGAACTGGAAAGCAGTGGTAATAGGATGTGTGCCTGGACTGTTGTTTGGATTGACAATAGGACATGTGATAGCTTTATACAAGCCGGAGTGGCTCGTCAAGATAATCAGTCCGGATAAGCGAATAATCCATTAGGATTGTTTCTAGTTTTGTGTTTGATCTTTGAATATCTGTCATTCTTTTGTAATCAAGGATCATATATATCAAAGATACTCTCTTCACCAGATTTTCCTATTTCATTTTCAATCTCAGCCAGGGTCAACGTCCCTCAAGCTGCAAAAGTAGTGGAAGAGGGAAACGTCAACATGGACAAAAAACAGCAACAGATGAATAATTTCAATCATTGCCCACAAAAATATTCAATGATTAAACAACGCAAACAAACCCAGAGAGAATCTATCTTAAGGTCTAGTTCTAGAAACTTATATTTCGTGGACGGACCTAAACCCTAGAAGATCAATCCGAGTTGTCCAAAATCCGAAAGAGCATATTTACAGGAGAATTGGATTGTTCTTGCTAATGAAATCAAGAGAAACGAAGCACAAATGAAATCACCTGGAACTGCTTGATTTCGGAAGTCTCCACAGAAACTTCGACGAGAGTGAAGGTGATCGCAATCGCTCCGTCGTAATCGGGCGAGTTCCTTCGTCGAGTTCACCAAATATTAACAATCCGGTTTAGTTGAATTTATCTATTACCGGTTGATCAATTTGCAGAATAAAAGGCAAAGTTTTTAAGATCAGGAATAAACAACTTCAAAAGCTTTTTATACCAAAAAATTACAGAATGTTTTGTTGATTTGCTATTACATTGTTTTTTTTGTATCAGCTTAAGCTCTAACATACAAAAATTTCAGTACATTGATGAAAAAAGGTACAACACATTTGTCAAAGAGAAGTTTTTACCCCCAAAAAATGGATGTCATAGGAGCAAACGAACAGAGAAAGGCTTTGTCAAAATTTTCTCCATCTGCATCATTGTTGTCACAGATTAATGCCATAGGAGCAAGACAGAGAGACCAAGGATATAACAACATTATGATGAGAAATTACCTCAAGGTTCAAGCTATAGCACAAAAACAAACTTTGTAAAATCTAGTTGCAGATGGCGAGCTTCCCGTTCACTTCATCTGCCAAGCCATAGTCCAGGCTTAGCTCGGCCAACGGTGATATGTTCTCCAGCGCAAATAGCATCACGCGGGGGAACATCAGGTGGTTGTGGTCGTACAAAACAAGCTGCACCATCACATTCGGATCTTTGCTGTGACTAATGTAGCAAGCCACGTTCCTCATCCTTGACACATCCATTGCGAAATCCAGGGGAGGGAGAGATGGATAATCCGGCCTAACAAAATCTGGGTATACTTGAGATAAATCACCCCAGTTACGCCATTTGTCTGTGAACCGACCAGGATAGACCATAACATCCCCATTCATTGACAGAATCTCGGCTTGATGTCTTGTGACAACAACACCTGCATATTCGCATATGAAAGCACCAGCTTCTATTAGATCGAGTGTCCTGACACCCCAACCGGTTTCCTTCGATCTGAAAACCTCCAGCCTATTCCTCAATCCCTTCTGTGTCACACGGCTCTTACAGTTCGGACCACACGTGCAGAATTCCCCACATTCAAATACCACATCCTTTCCTCTTAATAGATGCCCGTTATCATCATATGCAAACTCACCACCGTTCTTCCTTGCACAGAGACAATCATCAGTACAGGAGAGCTTACAATCGCAGCCAGTCCTGCTGATCCCCCCTTGACCAAAAATTCCAGGAGGAAAGACAGATTTTGCAATGTACTCATAGTGTCTCGGTTCTTGATCACCATCTACGTCATTATATAGAAACACAGGGACATTCTCCTTCTTGTTAGAAAGGTCAAAGCTAACATAACCAGTAGGCCTAACCATCAACGGCTTACTTCTAAGAGTTTGTGCAAACCTCATTACCGCACTGCCCATCATCGGTTGCCCTTCCGTTCTAACTAACCTAAATTTAAACACCCCAAAACCGGACTTCCCCACAGCAAACCACCAATCTACTATCTTATACAAACCATCATATACGTACACCTTGGAGCTAATACTGTTCTCATACTTAATACCTCTAATCACACGTACCTCAATACCGTAGTGCATACTCCTCTCCATTCCCAGATTCCCACCTACTAGCCTCTGGTTATCACACTGCTTGTGTTGCTTATCCTGACCACCATGACCAGTATAAACCAGAACATCTCCTGTATCTTCATCATCCTCGTAACCACCTGAGACAACAATGCTGGTAGCTATAGGCTCTCCAGTGGCACTCCGTTCAGCCGTTAAACAGTCAATTCCGGCTTGTGTCTGGCCGTGTAAGCCCACCACACACAATTCCATTCGGTAGAAAAAAATATCACCTATCTCAATCCCGGAGATTGGACCAACTATATGCTTATCATAGTTCAACCATAGTCCCCGATCCCTCATTATATACGCAGCCGCCATATCGCTCCTCCGTCTACGCCCTTGACCAAGTACAGGGTTCTTCATACTCTCCGCCATTAGATGAATACGAAGAGACTCATAAGTCATCCGAGTTCGTTTCATTACTTGTCGGAGTTCTTTCCGCTGATCATGACCTAGAATTGCAATTCTCGCCAGCTCTTTCGGTCTCTCGAATTTCGGAGGAGGAGGAGACGAGACAACGACGGTTGATACTCGATTATTCCCAAATCCTGAAGGCGGTTCAATCAATTCCCGGTTATCTTCCTCTGGTACAGCGACGATCGCACCGGAATCCAAACCGTAAACAGAAACGCCGTCTAATCCTTCAATCTGATGCGGCTTGAATGCCGAACGGAAGAGCTTGGAGATACGTATAAACTCGGCGATGAGATCGGCACTGGCTGATTGATCGGAGAATGAAGAAGGCGGAGTTTGACATTCTTCAATTGGCTCGGCCTTAACTTCTAGCTTCCCGGTGACTACAGTGTCGCCGGCTGTGGTTCCGGCGGTGGAGGATTGAGAAGCCGGCATTAGGTTGAGGTCAGGAAATGGTACCACTGTACTCATCCTTCCCAATGAACCGAAAACAGAAACAACACCTGCTGGGCTCCGAGTCCGAAAACTATTCGGGTCACGATTTTGACCCGGCTTAAAAGTGTGTTTTGCATTACTTCGAGGTTCTCTCAACTTGTCCACGAAACTGTTTCTGTTTATTGAAAAAAAAAATAATTCAAAATTGGTTTTAGTTAAATTAATAATTTGTCAATAATTCGTACCAATAGGCAGAGATTTATTACAAATGAAAAAGATGTTACAACAGAACGAAAGAATGACGTTGAAATTTTTCGACAAATCATATTTTGCAAAAAATTTTATATATTTGACAAATCTTTAAATCTGTTTGTAATTTTAATTTTATACTTTTAAATATTAAAAAGGAGATTTTCCATTGTATGTTTACAATTTTTGTTATTATTTATAAAATTAGTTTTTGTAGATGTTTAATGGAACAGTGACATGTATCTTTAAATGATATATGTTCGTTTTATTCTTTTGTCCTACCAATTCAAATATGCAAAATGCTTTTTATTGATAAAAAGTATTTTATTATTAAAAATTAAGTTATAATGTGACACGCTAGTTGAAAAAGTGATAACTTAAATTTTTTTATCATAAATATTGGATTAAACCCATTAACATCATGTCTAATACTAATGTGTTAAGTTATAACTTAGTTTTATTTAGAAGATTGATGGGTTTGAATTCAACTTTAACCCAATACTAATTGATGGGCTTGAACCCAATTTTAATCTTTATTTTTTTTAAAAGGATAAAATTGTAAAATAAAATTAACTTTCTTCATCTTCTTATAGTTAAAAAACCCTAATTTACAACGGCGACGACTCTATATCTTTTCTTTGTGATTTTGGTGTTTAACCATTATTTTTACAGTTAAAACCACAAGATCGTTACTGCAACATCAAAGATCTTGTAATAATACACGTAGGTCTAACTAAGGAAAAACTAAAGTTTAGAAAAAATTAAAAAATCTCATCGCGATCCACAAATTCATATCATAATGGTTCTGGGGACAGAGTTTTGGAATTTTGTGTTTTAGAATAAAATATTGTTTACAGATTAGTTTTGTGATCAAATAGATAATTTAAATATTAAATATATATGTATATATTTTAGAACGTAAATCATCGTAATTGATAACTAATAGAATTTTAAATGAAGGTTTGTACGATACCTCATTTCTTCTGCGAGTTGGATGTGTTAAGAGAAGGCAAGACTTTGTTCTTCACAATTTTTTTTGGTTTTTCTCTCTTTGCATACGAGTTTTAGATGCTTTGACAAATGACGAAAATCATATATTTATAGAGGAAATGACGAATCTTTTTAAGATTTTTTTTTATAATTTTGATCTTAACCTTCCGTGTTTAAATCATGATAATAGTTCAAAAAAATAAATCTGAATTATACTATCATAAAAACATATCTTCTATATATTAATTGCAAAATATATTTCAGACTAAAATCATAAAATTTGAAGGAAATTACCAAAATAATTTCATTATAATTAAATACAATATATTTTTAGTATATTTTTTAATTCAAATATAAATGTATATTTCCTTTTTGCTCGGAAAAAGATATTCATGTTTATAATTTATTAATTTACAAAAATTGAAACAAGTTGAATATTTATTTAAGAATATTTTCTTTGAGCTAAAAAGGAAATATACATTTATATTTAAATTAAATAAAGATAAACCAAAAAGATATTGTATTTAATTCTAACGTTATTTTTGGTAATTTTCTTAAAATTTTACGGTTATACTCTAAAATATATTTCTCAATTAATATGTAGAATATTTGTTTTTATGACATTACATCCCACATTTATAACTTTTTTTTATGTTATTACTATTTTACAAATTATGTTAGGATTTGTTTTATAAAATATGATAGAATTCTCAACCTTGTAATACGGTTCTATTATAAAATATCATATTTTAAAAATATTTCTCAACTATTGTTTTTAAATATTATTTTATATGAGATAACCAAAGAAAATTATTTCATTACCACATTCATTTCACAGATTTTTATCAAAAATGAAATTGTTTTGTAAATAATTAAAAATATAAATGGAAAGATTATCATATTCTATATATTATTACAATCTTTCAGCACTTTTGGTTTTTATTTTCAAATTTTGATGCATTTCTTATGTTTTCTTTATATATTATTTTAAACTGGTAGCATTTATAAAACAAAATTGTTAACATGAAGTCATGAACCTTAACAAGAAATGCAATATTTTGTATTTCCTCCTGCAAGAGTATTTAATATTTTCTAAAACATTAATGAAATTGTATCAATACTATTCTATATATTATCCAAAGATCATATGGTTTAAAATCTAAACCTAATTAATGTACATTATGAAAAAGTACCACCAATATAGACAAAAGCAATATTCAACATTTCACATCAACTCTAGATTTACAAAATATGGTAAACTAACCATACCTAAAATATGTGTATATCTCTTAATAAAGAAAGACTCAACTCTAGATTTGCACAAAATTGTAAAAAAAAAAAAGAGTTGAATTTAAATGAAAGTTGATAGTGATTCTGAAATAATTCACATTAGTTAAATAGAAAGAAATACTTTAAAATAATTCAATTTTGAATACTCAAAACTTCTCCTATTTATAGGTGAAGTAGATCAAATCAGCCAGCATTTAATTTACAAACAACTTTTTTATTAGGTGTATTCAAAATTGAAATCTTTCCAAAGATTTCATATATAAATAAAGGTAATGTATATTTTTATGTTAGAAAATATTTTGAGAACATAATTCTCTTATGTGGCATGTCATGATTCATCACTTTTTTTAAAGAGAAAAAATCAATTCGAAAGATTTCATATACCCTTATTAAAATTATTTTTTATGTTATAAAATATTTTCTATTTTAAATGAATAAAAAAGATTTTATACCATATATAAATATATATACATTTCCTTATATTAATATATGAGATCTTTGGATGTCATTTTTTCCTCAAAGAAAAATGACGAATCAAGAAATCAAGATATGCCACATATAGAAGTATATTAAAAAATATATTTTTTAACATAAAAGAATATAATTTAGGGGGATTAGCAAAAATACCTCTTTTCTCATGCCCCTTTTCAAAAATGCCCCTTTTAGATGTCCATTTTCAAAAATGCCCCTTTTTAAATCTGAAATTTTTATAAAGTTTTATTAGGTTTATAAGGTACTTATGGATTGTAACTACTACTTGAAGACTCGATCCAAGTATTTATAAGGTTTTATAAGGTGTTTTTAAAGGTTTTACAAGTTATTTTAAAGGTATTTTAAGGTTTTTCAAAGGTTTTACAAGATATTTTAAAGGTTTTTAAAGGTATTTAAAATGCATTTATAAGGTATTTATAAAGTATTTATAAGATTTTAGATACATAGAAATGTAGTTTGTGTATGTTTTAATAATATTACATACATATTTGGGTAAATCTTATATTTTTAAGAGCATTTTTTATAAGGTTTTAAAAAAGGGGTATTTTTGAAAAGTGGCATTGAAAAAGTGGCATTATTAACAATTTCCCTATAATTTATGATGATATAATCGCTTTCAAAGATTTCATATATTAATATAAGAAAATGTATAACATAAAGGAATATACATTTTCTTATATTGATATATGAAATCTCCGAAAGTGATTATATCAATTTACATAAATTTTAACTTCTTATCAAAATAAAAATATGAAGAATTTTATACTTTTTTGACCCGGCTCACTTAGATGATGATGTTCATATCAAAATCTTAAAATTTTTTATTAAAAATAAATTCCTAGGATCCTGTTTAGATTATGAGAGAAAGTTAGTGTATTCGGATACCTTACTAGAAAAAGTTGAGAGTATGACTTGGCCATTGACCGTCGTATCGTTGATCAGCAAAAAAACCAAACGGGTCTGACTTTGATAAACTTGGAATCTGTGGCCTCCACCTATATTTTAATGTTGAATAATATTAGAATATGATCTATAAGCTCTAGAGGATGGTTTAGATATACGTGTTAGAAATCTTACCAAAAGAGTTTACTCCAAAGAATGAACTTTGAAGATGATGGTTTCTCATTTTCTCTTACTGTTATCATGTCCTACATGATATAGAAACATCAAGGACGATCAATATGATTGAAAAGAGGGAGAGAAAGACTCAAAAGAGGAGGAGAAAAACTTGTTATAGTAGGTGATCGGAGGTGGAAGAGCCAACGAGGAAGAGAGGATTTCGAGTAATGAAGCTATAGAGAAGTCAGAGTTGCTCTTAAATAGAGAACTTAACTATGCAAAAGCAAAACAAAGCAAACATAGTATTTAACTTAACCCTTCATGCAAAAACCATTAAGCCCTAAAGTGACACCTAATTCTCTAGGTTCCTTAAATCACAACCACAAGATCATTGGAATCTTTTAATCTCAGCCACCGAAATTTCTGATTGCTTTTAATTTTCTTATGCAATATTCCAATTTGCTATAAAATCTATCACATACCAATTTCATTACTATTCAAAATTGTCTAACCTAGACTTTATTTCACATCCTAAATTTTCTTTCATTACATACCAATTTCATTACTATTCAAAATGGTCTAACCCAAACTTTAAAATTTTATTTCCATGTCATTTTTATTCTACTACGAGATGTTACACTGTGCATTGGCTTGCCGCTAAACTTGCAGGCTTCTTGGAAGAGATGAGATCTCATGTCTCCAAACCAAGAACGATGAATGAAACAGTGGAGAGAAACCTTGTGTTGCTGCACCAAGATTGGTGTGAACTGAGATGTAACATTGCTTTGTTTGGATTTATGAGATTCTTGACATTTTTATGTTACCAACTCACATCAGTATCCATCCTTACTTGGCACAAAATCTTCTCCTCCCAAGAAACAATGTTGTATCAGCTCAAGAACTATCTCTAACTATTAACTCAAACTGATTCTTGTTTATGTTTCTCTTTCTCGACGGTAAGCAAAAACTTCCTGACCGATGACTCTCCCTACTCGTCTATTCCTTCTGCTTTTCTTACTCATAGCTCTCTTTCCTTCTTTCTCAAAACCAGGCTCTGACATTGGAACATAGTGAATAAACCACAATGGCACCAAAGCTGCCAAAGACTGTATCAGAATTCCTGCAGGGAGGTTTGTGTAATTCTTCGATGTTATCCCGATCATATTAGCCATTCCAACTCCAGCAAATGCGCTAACAACTGATGATAAACACAGAGTTGAAGCAAGGAATGAAGTAATGGATCCTTCGCAGCCTCGAGGGCATATATTTGCTAGCAAAACAGAGAAAGGAAGAATCTTGAACTGTGCAAGGATTTCAGCTACACTAGAAAAACAGAGCGCAAAAGCCGTGTTTGAGATCCCGAACGCGAGATTTATTTGCTTCACCAAGATATAATCGAAGAGTAACGAAAAGGCGTAGAGGAGTTGCACGATATGTATCAGTGACCTCATGGGAAGTGTCTTCCAGTAGCGGTCATAAACCACGGTTAAACAGAGAAGCATCAATTGTCCAATAACCTTCGACATTCCAATAACCGAAGGATCGAGATTTAGAACTTGAGTTTGGTAGCAGAAGACTGATCCCGAGAGAAGAGGGACCATTGCAATGGAAGCTACTATCCAAGTTAAAGGCTGGGAGATTTCATCTGCCTGAACAATTACCATAAGATCCAAAAACTGTTTCTTTACAATCCCCAAAACAGAGCTTATCTCTGGAGTTACTTCTTTGATCCGTGGCAAGTTAACAGATTCTTCTTTAGAGGATAGAGAAACAATGAGCTGAAGTGACAACAACGCTGTAAAAGCAAGAAACAAGACTCTAGGAGGTGTCTTGAGTAAGCAATATCCACCGAGTAAGTTTCCAAGGATTCCTCCAACCGCTGAAGCCATAAGTGCATAAGACTGAAGACCATTAATCTGATATCTTAAACCGTATTCCGCAACAAGAGCGTCTTTAGCAACTTCAGTAATGGATGCTCCAAGGTTACTAAGCAGAACTAATGCCATAAGTGAAGGAAGAACTTCTCGAGCGCCCGGGAATATCGCCAATGAACCCCATGCTAACCCCTGCAAAAGCACTGAGACAACACTAAATTGGACCATTTGGAGCAGAGAGTAATACGAAAGAGACCGGTTTTTTTTCAGGACAGTTGGAGAAAGAAAACTAACCTCCAATGGAGATGTAAGGAACTCTACGAGCACCACCAATATAGAGAACATCAGAGAGAACTCCATAGAGAGGCTTAGCCACCATGGGAAGACTAGCAGTGTACTGCACAAGCTGAAGCGTCGATGGCTTGAGATTAAGACAATGAGCCATATGGAAGTTAAGAGCAAGCCATGGGAAACATCTTGACCCTTGGATCCAATATCCTAAAGCACACAACAGAACCGTTTGTCCTTTATCATCTCTACCCACTTTCCTAAACGCAGTCGTGTCATCACCACCATTGTTGTTTCTCCTTGTAACCACCGAGACACTACTAGTCAATGATGTTGTTGACCTTTTGTTGGATTTCACGACAAGGGTTTTGCTTTGCCGCCTCTGTTTAGTGTTAATGGCTGATGTGTTTAGGCTTATATCGTACGGAATTGGTGGTTTCAAGAACTTGACTGGGTTTGAGATGGATAATAGTGGATGATTGTTCATGATTCCGTAATGACTTCTTAAGCTTTGTTTTTTGTATTGACTTAGGGATACTGGGGAAAAAAACTTTTAAGAGATGGAACAGAGAGAAAAGAGGAGAGAGATTCACGGGTCGGTTCTTAAGAAAACTAGACCACAAGGAAACAAAATTAGCTACAATAATAATGTGGTGAACATTAGATTAACAGAAATTTTAGAAGATAAAGTATGAAATTAGCACTCTATTTGTGTTTATGAGAAAGCCCTAGTTTAGAGAGAAATTTCTAGAATCAGAGAATGATACGGAATAAGATTTTGTCAAATTTTCTAGCATTACATTAATATTCTAGAAAAGAATATGATTTTTAGATAGAGAAAAATCTAGAAGAGTGATCAATAATTAAACAAACTACCAATGAGTTTCTTAGTGTTCGTTAACTTTGTTTTCAAGGGACCTACTTCACGGAGTGTTTAGTTTTTGTAAGATACGAGTGGGTCCCATTCTTACATAAACTCCTCGAAACTATGACTCTGGCTGATTCGATTGTGACTTATTTAACTTTGTCTGAAAATATCACATCTCACAATGTCATGTAAATTCGACACGTATAAATTGGCATGGGTTAGTGTTAGAGAAATATGACTCTATAACCAACAAAAATTTAATAATTAGGAAACTAACACCAAACAAAAAAGAAGATGATATTCTCAATATTTTTTGTATTAATTCTACTTTTGCCCCTACTAAAACAGACGCACCTCTCATCTCTTTCTTTCTACCTCTCTCACCATCTCTTCTTCCTGGCCAGACCCTAACTCTAATCCTGATTCTAGTCTTCTAGATATGTCGCAGAGTGATCGACAACTCCACGATTTCATCTCTTTATCTATTCAAGTGACTTAAATGATTGTTGCATGCCTTGAAGCTTCGAGTAGATCTCCGACGGAACTCCGAGAGCAAAAAAGTGCGGCAGCCAAAGTAAACGAGTTTCCAATTCAGTGGCAAAAATCGGTGGAGGAGTGGTTGCGGATGTGACTTCTTTCAGATGAAAGAGAAACGAGGCTAGATATGGTTCAGAAATCTCCGATCATAATCGGCGCTAGCAAGGGCTTCTTCTGACGGTGGTGGCTGAAGCAAGCCGGTCTCGGCGGTTTTCAACGATGCAGGGAATGTAGACCTAAACTGACGAAATTCAATTTAGCCGCATCAGAAGTCACAGCCATCGTCGATCTAACACCGGAACGGTTCAATTGATCGTCGTCTATCTCAGCTTGCTCCACGACCTTCCAACCTGAGACTCATGCGAAGTAATACTAAAGAATATAGCTCAATTCCCTACTTCCCCAAACCTACCTGCTTCATTTTTTTCGATTGAGTTTCCGAATCAACTAAATAGCATGAATGTACTATACTATTTTGTCGTTATGGAATTAGCAATGTATTCAATAGAAGTTTATACCAATTTTGGTGTTCCTACATCTTTGTTTTGATTGGTCTTACAAAGAACAAATATGTAACTAAGATGATGACGAAGACGAACTATACTATTTAAGATGATGACGTTACCATCTGTTTTCACTCTCCTCGAGCACACACGTACAAAAAGAGAAACGAGTGAGGACTAATTGGACTTTTTACTCCTCCTTTGTGTTACTCACTTAATTTCCTATTTTATAGTGCTATATCCTTAAATATATTATCAAAAAGTGTTATTTCTGCAAAAGACCCGTAGTGTTACACTACTCTTTTTTTTTTTTTTTTTTGCTAATCAGTTACACACTTACACTACTCTTTTCTTTCCAATAACATGACAACATACATTATTTTTATTATTAATAATGAGATTACACGATGATAAAATATTATACATACGAGTCTATCTCCATTTACATAAACAACAAACTTTAACACAATGGTAATTCCTTCCCCAAATGAACCTGCATTACATTATTACACATATGCAGACGACTACTCTAGATTGTGTCTCTTACGCAAATAAAACAACAACGCTAGACCATTCCTGCAGAACTAACTAGTAGAGAATGTTCTACTTCTTTTTGTTTATTCGAAGTTGGAGATTTCGGGAGAAATATATCTTTTTCTTTTTGCTCTTGGATATTTCCATTCGATTTGGGTTTATAATCGAATGATAGGTCTTTATTTGCAGCCATGGCGACAAGTTCTTTCTCCTCAAGCCCCTTTGTTTCTCCAATGCTACATTGCTCCCTCCCATGCTTCTCTAATGCCTCCTTGAATTTCTTTATCTGCAAAGAAAAAAAACGTGCAATTCATGAGTTAGGTTTTGACTATTACAAATGCAAATTTTATGTTGCGTCTTTTTTTTTTTTAAATCACATTTTAGAAACATATTTTTATGTAAAATACAAGAACGCCGGAAGAAAAAATGAATAGAATCGTACATACCGTGGCATTAGTACAACTGAAGCTGCAAACGCGGCCTGAGGAACCGCGGTAGAAGCGGAAGAAGGGAAGAACATGAACGTTAAGACTTTGACATAAACTTCTATGTTCTTCATAATTCACTTGTAGAAACTCTACTTCCGGATTCTTTTCTGCAATTTTACATATCTGAAATATATATATCCAAGTCACATTTACGATGACAATATAAAATCCAAGATACGAAATTCGATCCAGTACTTTTCTTATATCTAAAGTAACAATTCTATAATAACATCTAGCTACTACCTAATTCAAATCGTCTAAAAATAGTTAATGCTTAATCCGGTAAAGAGTTTTTTTAGGTCTTCGAATAAAAAACTGTTTCCGGTTAACTCTTTCGAGATGATTCAGACCAGTTCACCTTGGGATGAAGAGCTTTGCAGCCACCACAACTAGGCGAGAAGAAATCCACAACGACAAGTTTATCTCCGGCGTTACGTAAAGAACCGACAAGATCTTCCGGTGATGTCACCGACTTCATGTTCGGTTGCAGTTCCTTCTCCCACCATTTTTGGTTCCTTCCAATCCCAAGACTTGTCTGGATTGAACATTTCAAGAAAACTATTTATTAATTCCTATCAATGAAAAAATAAATTTTCTGACAATTTTGACCTAACCTGGCATCGGACAAACGCGGGGATCTTTTTCTTGGGAAACAATACGTTATCATTCTCGCCGGAGATCAATGTTCTCGGGCTGAAATGGTTGCAAGATATCATTCTTGGGCTAATGCAGCACAAAGAAGAGATGCTTTTAGGACTTATGCCAGCAAAATCTCGGAGGTCAAAGCGGGTACGGTTAATGGCAATTGGATTTAACTTGATGAACGAATCTGTCGCCATGAATTTTACTTAAAAACAGAACTGCCTTGTTCCACAAGAAACATGTCACATCCAAGAAAAAACTTGAATGAACGAAGAGAGGAGAGGTTTTTTGAAGGGAAATTTGATATCTCTCTTCTACTCTCTCCCAACCCTCAAAAGCGAGATTTTGGAGAATGACATGCGCTTACAAACCATAACTTTTAAAACAACAACACACAATATTTATCTATTTTTAGCTTTATATTTTTTTTTTCCCGTTTTAGTAAACTTAAGGTTTTTCTCTTCCTTTTTCTTAGGAAACTCCTGCGATCTTAAAGAAACAATTGCTGCATGTGACATGAAACTCTATATATTATCCATCTGGTTTTATCAATTTCGGTTCAATCACTCAATATAGCTATTTAATTTATTTTGTAATTCCGGTTTGTTTAGATCGGTTTAGCAAACACTACTGGTAACTTGTAAGTTCCTCTGTTTGCCAGCAGAATCTCAATCAACCAAATATTAACCATCTTCCTCTTTCTCTCTACAATTCAAACCCGAACCAATCCAATCCTGTTGGTTAGACCAATTAATCTCTCTTGTCTGGTCTAAAGATGTACTGGTTAAGTTATAACTTTTGCTAAACATTGTATGACCTGTACAAGTCATCATAGTCTCTTTGTAATCTTTAATTTCATTAACTTTTTAACCAAAAAGGTACATTTTTGGTATAATTTCTGTTAAACAAAGTATACTTTTACTCTCAAAATGATTAGTTTTAGATTTACATACACTTAATATATAGTAAATGACATTTCATAAACTAGGATAGATACAATTCTATACATGTCTAAACTATATACTTTCAATATCTTTATTAATTAATTTTTTGGATCTTCTAGATCGTAAAATTCCTTTTTATCTGTTATAAAATTACCAAACAAGTAGTCCCTAAGACTTTCATTTGATCTTCGAAGAAACAAAGTCTAAGAAAGCGTTACGTTGATATGAGGATTCGAAAGCAGACGAATTACACTTTTGAGATAGATTACTTCTCCAATATGAACTATGTGATACAATCTCCCTATTTCTCAAGCGGCGGCGGCTGCTCATGGTAAAAAGACATGAATCTGTTCTCTCTGTCTTTCTTAAACTCGTTAGCTAGATTCAATAATAACGTAATCTTGAAGATCAATGTAATGTATTTGGTATTTCGATGGTAGATTAGAAAGGGTTTATTTAATTTAACATTATAATAAAAAAAAAAAAATTAGAAAGGGTTTGTTAAATCTTGTGTGTGTTTTTTATTTCTTTTCTTTCTCAGGTTTATTTCCGTTTATCCCAAGGGAATCTATAGTTGTGATCACTTGTCAGTGTACTTGAATGTTGCTAGGCCTGGATCATTGAGAACTGGATGGAAAAGGAGAGCTAGTATTTGTTTCGTTTTTTTGGATCAATCTGGCAAAGAGCTCCATAGAATAGATGGTAATATGGTATAGTGTTCAAGTAATTATACATCCTATCTTCTTGATTAAAAGGAAAAGTTTTTGGTTCATATATATATACAACTCTGTCTTTCTCTTACAGAAGGATGTCAGTTGTTCTGTGCTAAGGTCTCAGCCTGGGGTTATGCCAGAGGATTGCCTCTTTTCAAACTTGAAGACCAAGGGCTTCTAAAGAGCAACAAACTGATCATTAAAGTCCAAGTAAAAGTAGCTGAAGTTGTTCATCAAGAAGAGGTAACTGGGGAAAAAAGGTTAGATATTAATGGTTTCGACGTTCTTGATACTCAGGTATGTTAAGTAATAAGTAGCTCCCATTGTTTTTTTCTTTTTCTTATATAGATAACCAGATCTCATAATCTATAAGATACATACTGAGTTTGGATCTGGTTAACATAATTAGTTACATCCTTATTGTTGACAGGCTCCTTCAGTGAACTGGATTTTCATGAAACACCCAGACTTTGCAATAAATTTCAGACCAAAGAGTAAAGGGGTGAAGACAGCATACATGAATCTTCTCCTTGGTCTCATCGAGACACTGCGCAAGCCGCCTCAGAGATTCTCTGAGGCTGAGCTAAGCAACGCTCACAGCGAGTTGAGTGAGCTAACGGAAGCGGGCTTCAAGCTGGATTGGTTAAAGACAAAGCTTGAGGAGGTTTCCTTGGAGAGGAAGAAAGCAGTTGCTGGTGGTCTCCGGATCCAAGAATTGGAGGAACGGGTCAAAAATATGGAGCTGCTTTTGTTGGAATTCAAAGTTGAACTGAACAAGGAGAAGGTCAAATCTGCTGCTGCTGCTTCTAAAGTCTTGTCGTTTACCGACATTCTTTGATTTCGAAATCAAGCTTTAGATCATATATTTGGCATAGAAAACACTACTATGTTCATCCTTACATTCTCTGTTTTGTGAAACTCACTATTGATTTGGCTTAATGGGGCAAATGGTAATCAGTCCAATGATTAGACCACTCCAATCAAAGGCACAGATAGATATTGTACCTTCAATATGTTTCTAAACCAATCAATTCCTTTTGGTTAGACCAATCCCTCATGTCTGGTTTATTAGACAAAGCCCTAAAGACACTAAAGAGTAAAATAGGTATCTTCACAAAACAGTCTTAAGATTCCAAAAATTTGATAACAACAAAATCAAATCAGGTCCGCTTGACAGAGAATTTCACACATTGCATCAATGGCTCTTCCTTTTCGCCAACATTCTCTAGCTCCCATTGCAACAACGCCCACGCTTTCAAAATCCATTCTTTTTCCCCAAAATGTCCTCCTTCGCACACTCTCTTATCGCCGGAGTTTTCCCAAGTTTTCCGACTGTCGTCATATTCGGAGTTTGCCTCCAACCCACTTTACCAAAGATTACCGGAAACCCATTTCGCAGAATGGCTCTCTTTACTCAGCTTTCGTTGTCAAATGCAGAGACTACGACGAACCTCACTCAACTACCGTTTCTTCTGAGTTCGTCGACGATGAAAAGTCGGAAACTTTACAGAAAATCGATGATTTGGAGATTACCCATGAAACGAAGAAGGGAAAGAGTTTCTGGGCTGCCGTTAGTTTGATCATCGGAACCGCCGTTGGTCCCGGAATGCTCGGCCTCCCAGCTGCAACTATCAGATCTGGTTCCATCCCATCGACCATTGCTTTACTTTGTTCTTGGGTTTACGTCATTTCCTCTATTCTTCTCGTGGCTGAGCTCAGCTTTGCAGCTATGGAAGAAGACAATGCAGCAGAGGTTAGCTTCACAGGGCTTGCAACTAAATCCTTTGGGAATAAATTTGGAGTTTTTGTGGCTTTTGTGTATGCTTCACTGAGTTTCTCTTTGATGGTTGCTTGTGTCTCGGGTATTGGCTCCATTGTGTCTCAATGGTTTCCTTCAATGAATCCATTCTTGGCCAATGCTATATTCCCTCTAGTTTCTGGAGTCTTGATCGGGTTTTTCCCTTTCGATGCCATTGATTTCACCAACAGGGGTCTCTGCTTCCTCATGCTCTTCTCTATAACTTCTCTTGTGGCTATTGGTTTATCTGTGGCTAGGTCCAATGTGTTAGCCTCATTTGGTCAATCATGTTGGAAAGTCTCGACAGTTTTACCCGCGGTTCCTGTTATGGTACTGACACTAGGGTTTCATGTCATCACTCCTTTCATATGCAATCTCGCAGGGGATTCGGTTTCAGATGCTCGGAGAGCCATTCTTGTTGGCGGTGTTGTGCCATTGGCTATGGTGTTGTCTTGGAATCTAATTGTTTTGGGGCTTGCAAGAATCACTGTGCCTGTTGTACCTTCTTCATCCATTGACCCAATCTCTCTTCTTCTATCTGTGAACCCTTCTGCTTTATCTGCTGTTCAAGGCTTTGCTTTCTCAGCCTTAGCTACCAGTTTAATCGGATACGCTGTTAGCTTCCCGAAACAGCTCCTCGATACATGGAAGCTTGTGTCTAAGCAATCAAATGGAAATGGAAGACTTGGATCTGTAAGTTTCTCATCGAAAGAGGGTAATAAGAGAACTAATGGGAGAGCCTCATACAGTGAACCACCAAGAGCTCGTGATGGGTTTGAAGCAGTAGTGATGCTATTTGTCCTTGGAGTTCCAGCTCTAATTGCAACATTCTTTCCCTCAACATTCTCGAGAGCTCTGGATTTTGCTGGTGTTTATGCAAACTGTTTCCTCTTTGGTGTCCTGCCTCCTGCAATGGCTTATATTCAACAGTCCAGAAACAAGCTCAGGTAACTTCACCCTACAACACCAAACATATTTCTGTAGTCCTCTGTTTCTTCATTTGAACTATCTTTGGGATTGATATGAAACCAAAACCTTCTGATTTTGCAGGTCATGGGTTCTTCCCGGAGGTAACTTTACCTTGTTGATCTTATTCGTTATCGCCATTATTCTGGGAATATGGCATTAGATCACCATCAAATATAAATGTTTTGTTTGTATCATTCTACAAAGACATATGCCATGATCTGACTGTGCTAACCAGACGCTATGGAAGCAAAAAGACCCCACTGGGACCTTCACGAAGATGTATGCGTTCTATGGTTCCTTGTAAAAACAGTACTAGCGATTGAGAAGTCTTTTTTTCTTAGCAAGATCACATTTCACACTAGATCTATCATTGTTGGAAGACTTACTAAGAAACAGATTCAGTCATTCAGAGATTAGAGATGATATAAAACAAATTGAAATTTTGGATTTAACAAACAACAATGTTTGCCCCCACACAGATGTTCGCTAGACGACAGTGCAGGAACACAATTGTGCAACTTAAGATAGCCAGTGAATAGAATTATGTGGTTTGACATTTATGGCTATCCTGAACAGATACTGTGTTCAGTAGGAAACTATTTTTGGTCACTGAAACTAGATGATGAGGAACTTGGAAAAACTATGGGTTCAGGTCGAAATTCGTCTCCAATAGGTTCTGAATTTTGGACAAGGAATCAACCTTAAAATCAGGTTGCAGACCAGAAACAGAAAAATCGTCTGGTCCATACCTTCCGGTTTCATCTAGCAAGCAAGTGAAGGCTCCAGCTCGTTTCCCACATGCTATCTGCAGAATCGAGTAAAGAAAGATCTATTACCAGTTGTAACCTTCAGTCAAGATGTAAGAAACATAGTCCGGGAGCATCCTTTCCACATAGAAAATCTTTAAGCAATGGCATGAGAAGGTCAAGTGTTTAAGCTTCTTTCATGGGCTTGAACGCGGACCTTCTTTTGGCATTGCTTATCGATTTGCTATGCAGAAAGGGTCACCCGAGAAGGCTTGTCATCATGTCTGTCACTCACATCATCTTTTAAGCTGTCACCAACCATCATAACTTCATTAGGTTGGATGTCCCATGTAGAACATATATGCAACAGCGGGTCTGGGTTTGGTTTATATGGACGAAACTCTCTACCTAGTGCTGGTGAAAAGATAACCTATACAATGAAAAATAATTGTAAGGAACAGCCTTAGATTTCTTCTCTCTAATAAACAAAATGACCCAGCAAAAACCGATCAGGCAGCCGGTTAGACAGATTTGTCAAAATGTCTTCAATTCTATTTTTTGACTAAGAGTTTCAACATTCTTACCTCAAAACGTTGGTGGAAGATGTCGATTGCCTTCTGAACATTGCGTGTAATTAGCCCTCTCCTACAAAGTTTATACAAAATGTAACAAGAGTTGGTAATCTTCTTAACATCGAGCATGGTTATCAGGACAAAAAACAAAAAAAATTCATAGACAGAAGTATATGAAAACCACCGACTTTATCTTCTTGGAATCAAGAAAGCCACATAGTTCAGCAGCACCTGCAACATAAATGATCACATATCAGAAGAGAATTAAACCTCTAACCACCGAAGAAAAACAGTACTACTTGTAGATTTTCAACTGCTAAATCATCTTATAGAACTCAACTTGTGAATTGTGATCAACAGCAAAAAGTCAATGAAAGATCTGAAATCGTGATGTGTGGGCTCTAAGACAAAATAAGCATCCGATTTAGTAAAACAAAAGTCAAACTTCCATTAAACCAAAAAGTCTTCACTTTACACAAATGTTCATTTTCTCTTTCAACCTTGAAATTGCAATCTTTTCTCAACTGTAATTCTACGAAATTCTCAATCTTTAACCCATTCTTGAGAAAAAAAAAGTCTCAATAAAAAAAAAAAAAAAAAAAAAAAAAAAAAAAAAAAAAAAAAAAAAAAAAAAAGTCTCAATTTCTTTTACGATAGATTTAACAGACCATAAATCCCAAATCTAACACTTCCTCAGCACGAACACAAAAATCAAAAATCAAGCGGAGGAATCTGTACCAGGCATGATTTGAAGCTTATCTATTCCCTGCTTCTCATAATCGGCAATGATTTCATACGCTTTCTGCTGTTTCTCAGGACTCCACGACTCGATATGGTGCAGAATATCAATCCCACTAGGACTCTCTGCTTTGATTCGCTTGTAAGCATCTTCACCAAGAACAGCTCTATACATTGCGGCGAAATCGATGACCGGTACAGTTAGGGTTCCGTCCATATCGAATACAACGCCTCTGAGACGAGATTTAGCGTTCGTCGTTAAATTCGCCATGGAAATCGAACAAGAAGGTCTGAGAGTGAGAGAAATAAATGTTCTTGATAAGAGGAAAGTCATGGAAAAAAGAAATGGTAATGCTGAAACTGAAATTGAGGCACATACGTTTTTTAAACGGTTCTTAATTATTCTCTATTTTTAACCGATTTCGGTTCGGTTTGACTGAACAATTTGGTTTGTTTTCGGTTTAGTGAAATGTTCTTTTGGTTTTTTCACTTAAACATGTTTGTGTAGGTGCTTAAGAATGGAAACAACGACACCAATAATCTCAACAACAATGGTTCTGCTGCTTTTTCTCTTCTTACTCTCTTCCTCTTTGTTAACGGTTTCTTCTTCGGTTCGCTTGTTCGCTGTTCGGGAATGGTACCGAGCACGTCTAACTCGTCCCACCCACCAAACTTAGAAGCTATTCCAGCTGAACTACGGTTAACTCCGCGGCCATTGACATTGTTTCTAACGGTTGATGGGTTGTATCGAATCCTGCTACTTTTTCTCTCCTCAACTTCTTCTTCTTCCTCTATCCCGAATTGATTTGCAATCGATGTTTTTCTGCGTTTATCCCAACCAATCAACTTCTGGAATGCGTAAAACAACAATGATGGCACGATGGCTACGGATAGTGACACGAGGAAGGCTTTGGGTCCGGTGCTGAAGAAAAGCGATAAGATGATGAACGGCAGGAGATATCCATACGATCTGAATGCCTAAACACAATAAAGATCCACACCAACAATAAGAGAGCAAAATCTAGTGTTGCAAATATAATGCAGCTATAGATCAACAAGACATTTTTCTCAACTTTTGAACAGAAAGACACTAATCTAGTGTTTATTTACATGTACCAGTAACACCCACAAGTATGAATATTCTCAAGTATCCATCTCATTAGAAATCAAAACTAGCTCAGATTCACTGCACAACAATGTTCACTGATCTCCATAACCATTATTAGCCAAGGACCAATTTTGATACTTTAATCAATCCGCATTTTCAATTAACAGTAGTAGATTCCCAATTTAAACCAGCAAGTTATTTTCTTTTGTCAGGCTAATTTCATAATTAAGACTTAATCACTTAAAATGCGTAATTTTTGTTTTAAACGAAACTTATCTAAACTAAATTACCTTTAAAATCCAGACATTATCAACAATTTCCCCTAAAATCTTCCACAGGTCAAAATTACCACCACTACCACCACCACCAACTTCGTCATCGTCGTCTTCAACATTATCTTCAAAGAGTTCTTCCCAAAGCTCCCGCCGTTTCCTCCCCCTTTTACTCCTTTCCGTCAAACGGTATCCCCTACCGTCATCCGCGGCGGCGCATATTATATAGCTGAATCTCCGGCGATTCAGCTGAATTATCTCCGCCGAAGCTACTCTAGAGCGTGAGGAAGAGAAACAGAGGAGATGAGAACGAGAGGGAGGATAAGATCTAGGGTTTTGGAATCGCCAGACATGGAGGTTTGAGAAACTAAGAAAGATAGAAGCTCGCGGTAACAGAAGAGCTCCTCTATCCGCCATTAACGTCTGGCGAAGCCAGAAGAGTGAAGAAAAATATTCTGGTCCATGTATAGACACACTCAAATTGCGCCACGTTGTCATCATCTCCTCCATTAGAATCGAATACCATTAACCGGATTGGTCCACGAGAAAGTTCGAATTGATTTCCGGTTTAATAGCAGGGGTAATTTCGGACTCACAAGCTTAATGTCTGACTAGACACGCCTACGTGGATTCTCTGCTCTCTTCCTTTTTCCAGAAACCAGGGAGAGAGAGACGAAGCATCAAACAAGGGACAAAAAAAAAAAAGCAGGAGAGAAAATTCCGAGGGAAAACGCGAGAAAATTTCTTACGTTCTGCGAGAATCTTCAGCTTTCCTGGAAACTTTGGAAAGGGAAAAGCCGGAAGGGTTTAAGGTCTCTGTTATCGTCGGAGAAATTTGAAATTTCGTCCACAAAACGTGAATGTAGCTTTAATCTTTCGCATTTTTAACGTCGATCAGAGATTTTGAAGCTTGGAGAGAGAGAAGCGTTGGTGAATTATTTGTGTCTGATTATCGTTTGGATCCATGGTGTGGAAACACCATCTGATTGGGTTCTCAGGGATATTTTCTAATGTTTCTCCCGTTGGAAATCTTCATTCGGGATCGTTTGTAGGAAAATCAGACCAGATTTGGCCGTGATTATGGTACGAGTCCCTCTTCCCTAACCTGCATTGTGATTTCTTGGTGTTCTTCATTTTTACCTGTAACCATAATTGCTATTTGAGCTGATTTTTATATTTTCCATTAAATTTGATTGAAATGTGTATTTACTTATAAGTGGACTAGAGGAGGAAATTATTTCTTGCAGATTTCATTATAAAATTGTGTAAAGAGAACAAAAGAAACAGCTAATGAAGCTTGACACATTTTTTTTATTTTATTTTTAGTAATATATTTTACTTGAATCAGGCTTCAGTGAAGGTAACTGTGGGATCACATGTCTGGGTGGAAGATCCAGATGAAGCCTGGCTAGATGGAGAAGTAGTGGAAGTCAATGGTCAAGAGATCAAAGTTAATTGCCAAACCAAGACGGTTAGACAATCTGTTTAGTTCTTAAGGTACATGAAGATGGGTATTGATTAGTGAAACATAAATTGCTCATATTTTGATGCATTTGTTTGTAGGTTGTGGTAAAGGTTAATGCTGTCCACCCCAAAGATCCTGAGTTTCCTGAACTTGGCGTGGACGACATGACAAAGCTTGCGTATTTGCATGAACCAGGGGTTCTTCTCAATCTAAAAGCCAGATACAATGCAAATGAAATATATGTACGCTTCAGCATGTATTCCTTGTCAGTTTTCCTTCTTTCATTACACCGACTTATGAATTCTTTCATTAGATTTCTTCCATTGTTTTGCTGAAAATGACTTCTTTCGTTTACAGTTATCAAATCCTTTGATCTTACGGTTTCTGCACAACTATAGCTATATCATCTATTTTTTTATGAAGTGTCTGTAGCAAGCTAATTTGTTCTTTATGGTTACAGACATACACAGGGAATATACTGATAGCTGTGAACCCCTTTAAAAGATTACCCCACCTATATGGAAATGAGATAATGGAGCAATATAAGGGTACAGATTTTGGCGAGTTAAGCCCACATCCTTTTGCAGTTGCTGATTCTGCATACAGGTAATTTTCTGTTGTATCGATAAAACTTTAACTAATGTCGCACTACCATTTGTTTGGGCCTCATAATCATTAAGAATATAAATTTAGAAAAATGATCAACGAGGGAGTAAGCCAGGCGATCTTGGTGAGTGGAGAAAGTGGTGCTGGGAAGACAGAGAGCACAAAGATGCTCATGCAATATCTTGCATACATGGGTGGAAAAGCTGAGAGTGAAGGACGATCTGTAGAACAGCAAGTGTTGGAGGTAGATAGACTGTTTACAATGCATCACATTCTTACTAAAGACAGACTCACTGAATTTCTCTCTGTAGATATCTTCTTATTCTTCTCGTATTATGTTCCTGTTATGCAGTCAAATCCAGTTTTAGAAGCTTTTGGTAATGCAAAAACCGTCAGAAACAATAATTCAAGGTGGAATATCATTCACATTTCTTGATTTTTCCAGTTTATGTATGTTTTTGAAGTCAAAACTTGACATATATAGGCAAATCTCATATTGCAGTCGTTTTGGTAAATTTGTGGAGATTCAGTTCAATCATATGGGAAGAATTTCAGGAGCTGCTATTAGAACATATTTGCTGGAGAGGTCACGAGTTTGTCAAGTTTCTGATCCTGAAAGAAACTATCATTGCTTTTACATGCTTTGCGCTGCGCCAGAACAGGTAAACATGGTTCCTTGTATGGGTACATCAGGTTGAACATATGAAGGCTCTGTATGTCCAGTGCTTGACCATAAATGAGATTCATACTCAGAAAACTAGCCTCTGTTCTGAAATTTCAGGAAACTGAGCGGTATAAGTTAGGGAAACCAAGCACATTTCACTACCTAAATCAATCGAATTGCCATGCATTGGATGCACTTGATGATTCCAAAGAATACCTAGCTACGAGGAAAGCTATGGACGTTGTTGGGATTAGTCCTGAAGAACAGGTACTTTCTGGTTTTTCATTGACATGATCAATAATGAGGATAACTCTTCTTACATTTTACTTTTGTAGGATGCAATCTTTCGGGTAGTTGCTGCTATCCTTCATCTAGGAAACATTGAGTTTGCAAAGAGCGAAGAATCAGATGCTGCAGAACCTAAGGACGATAAATCCCGGTTCCATCTAAAAGTGGCTGCAGAACTTTTCATGTATTTGCTTCACTATTATGTGTTTTCGGATAACCAGTTTCTTGTCTAGGGGAGGTAGAACCCTGATTGCCTCTTTTTTGGTAGGTGTGATGAGAAAGCTCTAGAGAACTCCTTGTGCAATAGGGTGATGGTGACTCGTGGTGAAAGCATTACAAAGCCTCTTGATCCCGGTAGTGCAGCACTAAGCAGAGATGCTCTTGCCAAGATTGTCTATTCTAAATTGTTTGATTGGTAGGGTAACAATATTGGACTCTTTCCAAAGGGCTTATTATCAATCTTGGGATATATATTTTATGAAAATTTATTGCTCCCAGGCTTGTGACTAAGATCAATAATTCCATTGGCCAAGACCCAAGTTCTAAGTACATAATTGGAGTCCTGGATATTTATGGATTCGAGAGTTTCAAGACAAACAGGTGCTTAACCGGTACGCTACCAAAATGTTCAATTTCCTTTTGCGAGTTGATTTATTAACCCCTTATACTGCTTCCTGCATGGCTGTCTAGTGTCTATATGCTCTCTGATTTAGTCTTCTTCAAACACTGAGCAGATGGTTTACTATTGGATTTCTTAAGTTTTAGTTACTTAGGTAGAAATTTTTTTCTGGTTTGGGACAATATGTTATGTGGTTCAATTGATAGCAGTTTTGATGCATGTGTTACAATTACAACGTTGTCTTTCCCTTTTCACATTTTTGCAGTTTTGAACAGTTTTGTATAAACCTGACAAACGAGAAGCTGCAGCAGCATTTCAATCAGGTTGGAGACTGATGTTCTTTTCTTAGTTTTGATTCTTGATTGATCTAATTTTATGCTTATCCATATTCATGCATACTTTCCTCTCTTATACAGCATGTGTTTAAGATGGAGCAAGAAGAATATACTAAAGAAGAGATTGATTGGAGTTACATAGAGTTCATTGATAATCAAGATGTCCTTGACCTTATAGAAAAGGTAAGTAGTAGCACAATGAGTGGTGTTGGAACCTTTATTACCTTTTCTAGCAGTTCCAGTTTCATACATTTCATTGATTTCTAGTACCTAATACAGAATTGTTTAATGTCAGAAACCTGGTGGAATCATTGCTCTTCTCGATGAGGCTTGGTAATGTACCAAAGCGTCATGTTCTTTCTTCATTGATTTCTTTTATACTTCTTCAATAAGTGGCTGAGTTTGTGTATGCCTCTACAGTATGTTCCCAAGATCAACACATGATACACTTGCAGAAAAGCTATACCAGACATTTGGTAGCCACAAGCGTTTTACCAAGCCGAAATTGGCTCGGACAGACTTTACCATCTGCCATTATGCTGGTGATGTTAGTGATTTAATTTCCACAGGAGTGTGTGCTTAAAATGTTTGTCTTGAAGTAATGGCAAAATGTATTCATTAAAATGTGGTGTAATGACTGTATTCATGTTCAATTTCAGGTCACTTATCAGACTGAGCTGTTTTTAGACAAGAACAAAGATTATGTTGTTGGAGAACATCAATCTCTCATGAACTCTTCAGATTGTTCCTTTGTCTCATCGTTGTTCCCAAAATCGCGAGAGGAATCTTCCAAATCATCAAAGTTCTCATCAATAGGCTCTCAATTCAAGGTCTAATAATGATTTTAAATTCATTAAATTCTACTTATATTTTATTTGCCCGCGATTCTCACCATGTAATAAATTACAGCAACAACTACAATCTCTGCTCGAGACGTTGAACACCACAGAGCCACACTACATACGTTGTGTTAAGCCAAATAACGTTCTTAAGCCAGAAATATTTGAGAACGTTAATGTTCTGCATCAACTTAGGTGTGGGGTAAGCTTAATGTTTCAGAGAACCATATACTGTCATTTTTGCAACTGCGGCAAATTTTCGGTCTTTACATGATGTTGTGAAACATACTTTTCTGACCTCAGGGGGTCATGGAAGCCATTAGGATTAGTTGTGCTGGATATCCCACTAGAAAGCCTTTCAATGAATTTTTAACCAGGTTCCGAATTTTGGCCCCAGAGGCAACGGAGAGAAGGTAGATTCTCCAATACTTATTTTGCAGTTAAATTCTTAGCCTAATGTTAAATAGACGTTAAGGTATTAGACTGATATAAACCCTTTTCTCTCTTGCCTTTATATTCTATAGCTTTGATGAAGTTGATGCTTGCAAAAAGCTTCTAGCAAGAGTGGACCTTAAAGGTTTTCAGGTGCGTTTCCATATACTTATCTCACAGTTCCTGGATTGCTGCCTTTATATTGTGATTTCCAAAAACAGACATACAAATGGTACTGGCAATATGTTACATGGTTACACTGCACAAGATTCATTAAAAATTTTAAATCACAGATAGGGAAGACAAAGGTGTTTCTTAGGGCAGGTCAGATGGCAGAACTGGATGCTCACCGAGCGGAAGTTCTTGGGCATTCAGCAAGGATTATACAGAGGAAAGTCCTTACGTATCAGTCTCGCAAAAAATATCTGCTGTTGCAGTCCGCTTCAACTGAAATCCAAGCCTTTTGTAGAGGTAATACATGTTCTATGCGATTGCTCGTCGGGTAGATTATCGTCAAATATAGTCTAATGTCTTACAAGGCTTCTCCCAACTGATTGCAGGACATATTGCACGCGTTCAATTTAAGGCCACGAGACGAGAAGCTGCTTCTGTGAGAATTCAGAAGCAGGCACGGACATATATATGTCAGACAGCCTTTAAAAAGTTGTGTGTTTCAGCTATTTCTATTCAGACTGGGTTGCGTGTAATGGCTGCCCGAGTTGAAGTTCAATACAGGACGAAGAGAAAAGCGGCAATCATTATTCAAGCAAGTTTAAAAACTCATATTGATGATAAAGATCTCTCCCTTTTCATATCTTAAAGTTGTCGATGTCAAATACTTGATTTTTGTGTATCAATAACATGTAAGTTATTGATTCCTCAGAGTCAAATCAGAAGATGTTTGTGTCGACGGCGGTATTTGAGAACGAGGAAAGCAGCTATTACCACTCAATGTGGCTGGAGAGCGAAAGTTGCACACCGAGAATTGCGGAAGCTTAAAATGGTGACATTCTTTCTTAGCTAACAATAGAAGCTCTTACTTTCTCTAAACCTAATTTATATGATCCTACCTTCCATGAGATGTACATGAATCTTCAACATGATTGTCATCAAGATGTTGAAAAATTGTATACTTGTGGATTGCAATTTTCTCTCAGTATTTTTGTATCTGTCAAGGTTCTCTTTTGAAAGCTCAAGTTGATGATCTATAGTCAGTTTTATGTACAAATTCACTGATTCTTATATTTTCTGAGATTTCATAAGATTTCCTAAGATATCTTTGTCTTCCAGGCTGCTAAGGAAACAGGAGCCCTTCAAGACGCTAAAACTAAGCTAGAAAAGGAAGTGGAAGAACTCACTTCATGCTTAGAGATTGAGAAAAAAATGAGGGTACACATCTCACACAACTTGCAATACTAGATCTTTTGTTGCTGTTTCCCTTTTTCTGTGTGAGGCATCTGATCTGCCTACTGATGCAGATGGAGCTTGAGGAAGCCAAAACTCAAGAAGTCGAAGAGTTGCAGTCAGCTTTAAATGATATGAAACTTCAGCTAGGGGAAACTCAAGTAACCAAAAGTGAGGAGATTTTAAAGTTGCAGTCTGCTTTACAAGACATGCAACTAGAATTTGAAGAACTTGCTAAGGAGTTGGAGATGACAAATGATCTTGCAGCAGAAAATGAACAGCTCAAGGTAAGGTCATAAATATTTCAAATATATGATCGTGGTTTCTCTGTCTTATACATTTTTTCCTTCTAACTTCTAAGAATTTGGTGAGCTCATTGCAAAGGAAAATTGATGAATCCGAGACCAAATATGAAGAAACAAGTAAGCTAAGTGAAGGGCGGGTAAAACAGGAGGTTCCCATAATTGATCAAGGTGTAATTATCAAACTCGAAGCTGAAAATCAAAAATTGAAGGTAGGATTTCTTGATATTGATTTATGATAGACGATCCAGATTCGTGGCAAAAGAGGTTCATTTGAGATTTCAATGTTTTCTCTCAATAATTGATATCTTATCAAGCACAACATTTCGTAGGCATTGGTCACTACATTGGAGAAGAAAATCGACGCATTAGACGGAAAGCACGACGTAACAAGCTCAAACATCTCAGATCAGTTGAAAGAGAGTGCTACATCTGATTATGATATGTTGAGTAATCTTGCAGCAGAGAATGAACGTCTCAAGGTAAAGTTATAGCGATGTAGCTCTACTCCTGCTCCTTTTAGTGTTTTCAGGTTTGATTTTCTCATTGATCTGATGTATGACATTTCTCAGGCACTTGTGAGTTCATTAGAGAATGAAAATAATGAAAACGATGGGAATGAATCATCAAACGAGCAAAAGGAAGGACCACACATGCTCGAAGAAGAGAGATTAGCAGAAGATTTTTTGATTGATGATGAAATGACCAACAAGCTTGCTGCCGAAAACAAAGATTTATACGTTAGTTTTCCATAAAATCTATTCTTCTCCATTAAAAGCTTGTGGGTTATGTCTGTCTTAAATTTGTTGAAATTCTACAGGATCTGGTAGATTTGTTGGAAAAGAAAATAGAAGAAACAGAGAAGAAGTATGAGGAAGCAAGTAGACTTTGTGAAGAGAGGCTTAAGCAGGTTATGGACACAGAGACAAAACTAATCGAGTTAAAAACATCTATGCAAAGGTTATCGATTTGCATTCTCTATTTTTCCAGTCTCAATCTTTCAACCTTTTCTTTGCTATATGTTTGCATTTTCAACAGTAACTACGTATGCATTACTTATTTACTCTCTTCTTTAGGCTCGAGGAAAAGGTCTCTGACATGGAAACAGAAGACAAAATTCTTAGGAAGCAAGTTCTATCTAATTCAGCTTCCCGGAAAATGTCACCTCAGGTGTCATTTACAAGACCACCGGTAAAAATCCTCTATGCAATTTCTCATATTATTTTTTCAAGAAAATTCTTGACCTCTTCCTTTTCACGTACCTCTTGCAGCCAGTGGAGAACGGACGTCATGTAAGTGAGAACTAGATGAACTGTTCTTGTTTACACTTAATCATATTCGCAAGTTTTTGTTACTAGAGCTTTATAATAGAAATCTCTTTCTTACAGGAGTCATTTGCTCCTATACCATCAAGAAGGTTCGGGACAATGTCTTTTAGGCGATCTCAGATTGAACAACAACCCCATGTATGTGCCGACCGAATTCATCAGTCACAGTACTGTGATACTTATTTGCATTGGTTAATTACTAATGTTATGCTGTTATGATGCAGGAATTTGTTGACGTCCTTCTCAAATGTGTTTCGAAAAATGTCGGTTTCAGCCACGGAAAGCCTGTTGCAGCATTTACAATATACAAATGTCTCATACACTGGAAATTATTCGAAGCAGAGAAAACCAGTGTCTTTGACCGTATTGTTCCTGTTTTTGGTTCTGCTATAGAGGTAACCTGGAAGTTTAAATAGTAATCGCTTTTATAGTATTTATGGTCAAAGAATCAATGGAAATATTGTGTCTTGAAATATACTTCTCAGATTATCTGACAATATGAAACCTAGAGGTTTAGATATCGTTTCATCATGATATACGTTGACATACTTTCAGAACCCAGAAGATGATAACAATTTGGCTTATTGGCTAACAAACACATCTACACTCCTGTTCTTGCTTCAAAGAAGCTTGAAATCTCATAGTACAACCAGTGCAAGTCCAAAGAAACCTCCTCAGCCAACTTCATTTTTTGGGAGGATGACACAGGTAACAAAATCCTGTTTATAGACTCTAAGAATACCTTAAGCATTCTAATGGCCATAAAGCTTTAACTTAAGGGTTTCTGTGTCTTGTGGGATTTCCTCTAATATGACTTCCATATGTTTTAGGGTTTCCGTTCAACTTCCTCGGCCAGCCTTTCAGGTGATGTAGTGCAACAAGTAGATGCTCGATATCCTGCTTTACTTTTCAAGCAGCAGCTTACAGCCTACATTGAAACTATATATGGAATATTTCAAGAGAATGTGAAGAGAGAACTCGCCCCTGTGCTTTCGTCCTGCATTCAGGTAGAACTATTTATGGTTTCCTTCAAAATAAATCAAAATTTTAAGATCATGATCTCTGCGTGATAAGGTCATCTCACTTATTAGTTCTCAACTAATGGATCAGGGACTGAAAGATTCATCAAATGAGTCCTCTGCAGAGACTTTATCAGCTGAGTTATCTGAACAGAATTCACCAGAAAAGCCATCTGAAGAGAATCCACCGGCAAAGCTGTCTGAAGATAATTCATCAGCAAAGCCATCTGAAGATAATTCACCAGCAAAGCTGTCTGAAGATAAGTCACCAGGAAAACCATCTGAAGATCATTCACCAGCAAAGCCATTTGAAGAGAACTCACGGGCTAAGATATCCGAAGAGAATCCACAGGAAAAGCTTTCTGAAGTGAATCCACAGGCAAAGCCATCCACAGAGAATTCACTGGAAAAAACATCTGAAGAGAATTCACCCACAAAAACTTGGCAAGACGTTATAGATGTTTTAAATCGGCTTCTCGGCACATTGAAGAAAAATTACGTAAGAACTTTTCTGTATTCGAGGATTAAAGATTATGTTTGCTTCTGTTTACTTCAAGATTTCTACTCTGACAAACTTCTTCTTTCAGGTTCCTCTGTTTCTTGCTCAGAAGATTTTCAGCCAAACATTCCAAGACATCAATGTTCAACTCTTTAACAGGTAAACTATTTACATTCCCCCATCAACCTTTAACGGAGTGAAAATCACCTAAGCCACCATCAGCCAATAACCTTAAAGCTGTAATCTAACTAATGCAGCCTTCTGCAACGTGAATGCTGCACATACATCATGGGCAAGAAGGTGAATGTTTGGCTAAATGAACTAGAGTCTTGGTGTAGCCAGGCAGCTGAAGAGGTAAGTTCAGTTGTTCTAAATGATTGTAGTAACCAAACGGTTTCAATCGCTTGATTTCACTTGTCAATTAAGTTCTCCTGAATGCAGTTTGTAGGATCTTCATGGGATGAACTCAAACATACAAGACAAGCCTTAGTGCTCTTGGTCTGTTTCTTATGAACCAAATAACATCAACTTAAATGAACATCACAACTCTCTTGCTTCTTTCTTGTTCCTGAATGTTTCATCGTAATCCTCTTCCAGGTTACAGAACAGAAGTCCACTATTAAATATGATGATCTTACAACTAACCTCTGCCCGGTAACTACTCTCTGCTTCTCTGATGTAAAAAAACGTATTTGAATATTATAAAACATGCCTGGAAAATGCTTAGGGGGATTTGTTATATTAACGGTCTTATGATCTTTTTATCTCTCTTTAATCTTTCAGGCTCTTAGTACTCAGCAATTGTATAGAATATGTACCCTCTGCAAAATTGATGATCACGAGGATCAGAATGTATCTCCAGACGTATGTACTCTGAACATTTCTCAAATAAACCAAAATACATTTTACCAATCTCATATTGGCTTCATATTTCGGTGTGTGCAGGTGATTTCCAACTTGAAACTTCTAATTACAGATGAAGACGAAGACAGTCGTTCGTTCTTGTTAGACAATGATTCCAGGTATTGAAAACCTCAGAATATTGCGTAGATTAATTTCTCTGAATGGTTCAAACATCATCACCATAACCTTTTGAATATTGTCTTTGTGAAACTCAGCATCCCCTTTGCAGCCGATGAAATCTCCAACTCTATGCAAGAAAAAGACTTTACCAATGTAAAACCAGCTGTGGAACTCGCTGATAATCCGAACTTCCACTTTCTGAAGGACTGAGATTGTATAGTAATCCCTTGCACAGTTTTACGATTTGTAGTATCTTGATCGATTTCGTCGTCTAGGCTTTTAATAGGGCATGTTTTTATTTGATTCTTATACGTTAATTATAGGGTGGTGGTAATGTTAAAGCCAGCCAGTATTTTACTTGTAATGCAAGAAACTTCTCTATGTAGAACAAAGATTAGAAATCAGTTTTGTAACCTTAGTACCCCTTATTGGGTCAGAGATTCATAATTGGCCTTGCGATATAGTTCAAGTTTGGATGGTCTTGTTGCATTTTCCTAAAACTAAAGTTTAATACATCAGTCAAAATGAAATGGAAAAAAAGGTAGTAAATTAACAAGTATCGAACATCCTTTTTTGGTGTCAGTAACATGCATTATACATGTTTGAACCTAGATAGTGACGCATCGACAGTAGTATAATATCATTTGATTACATGTACTGGTTTTTGAATAATTATTTCTAAACCACATTTTTATGGTAGTTTTAGACCTTTAAAGTGATTGCTGTAATTTAAAGTATTTTAAAAGTTTTGATATTTTTTTAAAAATGCTAACTTAGTGAATACCCTATTTCTAATTTTATTTTTGAAGGAAAATGAAAATTGATGGAATGGGGTTATAGTTAAGTTAGTTTACCAATGGTGAAAACACCTGATGAGTCTGAGTCTGAGTCTGAGTGTGACACTGAGGAGGATGAGGAGAAACATGTGAATCTGATCACATGGTCTTCCCATACTCTTTTAGTTATTACAGTTATGGAGGTTTGTTTGCATTTATCATCTTCTATTTCTTTTGTCCCTTTTCTCCATTCTATAATATATACACCTACACGCATATCTATAAATGTGTTTGTGCAATGATTTTTTCCTAACAAGTATTGTGAACCAAGTGTTTTTCTTTTGATTTTGATCCTCAAAGTCACAAATGAATAAAAACTATATTATCTGTTTCTTGTTAATGTAAAACTATATTGTCTTATATCATATGGTGACTATGGTCCTTAATTTCACGCTTAAAATAAATTTTGAGTGTAAAGTATTAGCCTTTAACTATAAATCAAATACCGTAGATAACGATTTCAAATGCTAACTAATTTGCTACTATTCAATAATATGTTGGTCAAGCAAGCCGTAACACACATAGAGGAATGAAGAGATGTGCTAGTTTTGGAATATATTCATGTTACCCATCTGATATTCGAAGCATAAAATTAGTAGAGATATAAAGAAAATATTGTGTCATACCAGTGCATATAATGAGGTTGCTACTAATGAGCTAAATTGAAAATAGTAACATGGGGTTTGGCTCTCTTAATCAACTAGATTTCTTTGAGCAAAAAATTCAAAGATACCTGATTAAGAGAAGCTGACTATAGCAGAATCTGATAGATTATTTGTCAGAAAACAAAACAATAATAATGGCCATATATACAAATATTTTTAGATATTCCATTTTAGCAATAATTAATCCTTTTGGCACCTAGTATAATATTCATTTTACTGTTTGTTTCTCTTTGTTTTTGTTAATAGATGAAAATGTTTAGAAGGTTAAGTATGGTTCCGGCGAGTCTGGAACCCGTGGCTCATGAGATTCACAGCAAAAACTACACTAATTTGAACGAACAAAATTTTTTTTTTTTCCCTGATTATTGTTGTTGTTTTGGTTTAAAGTATAGTATATAATCGTTTATTTCAAACGCTATAATGTGTTCAGTGATTGGCTATAATTAATCTATGTAGGTATGCATATTCCCACCACGTGATTTGAGCACTATATTTGTCTGAGTTTGTGTCTATGATGATAAATGGTTTGGTCGTTTCATGCCAATAGTCGAATTATCGACTGCATTTACGAGTACTATTACATTTCTATTCAAATACAAACGAAATATTACCTACAGCTTTTAGGATAATCTTTGTAATTACTGAATCCAAATTATTTTTAACTGGATTCAAAATTACGACTGTATTAGTTTTCTTAATGGGTATTTTTCTTTTCTAGGAATTGTATATTGTAAGTTGTTTATAGATAGAACACATAATGATCACAAGTTTTACTACTATATATAAAGTATAAACGACTCTCAAGTATGCGATAGTTTTTTTACATCTAGGTTGTTAGTGGCTTTGTTTACTCGATGTACTTATAATACCATGTGGGAAACTCATTTAGTTTAATTTTATTACTTCAAAAATGAAAATAGAACTATGCGTACTCATCGATATGATAAATAATCTCTTTATCCCATGAGCCATGATTTTCATAATTATCAACAAAATCTAAAGTTCATCTATGAAACTAAAACTATTATAAAGGTCAGGCACGTCATATGCATGCATATATACACATTTTCCTTATATTAAACTTTAAAAGGCCCTCTAAATATTGGTGAGAAAAATCTTTGCCCGATTCAACTCCACTACATATATCACTCTCTCGATCGAGGTTTCCTGAATAAATCTTGTTTTCATAAATCATGATGCTTAGTTTCTTACACAACAAGATTCCATATTATCGATGTGAATCATTTATAGTAGATTGGAAGGAATTATAATATCCGTGCTGAATCTGTGAATCCTAGGAAGTTATGAAGGATATACAAAGATAAACAGATAAACGTACGTAAAGAAAACAGATTAGTTATGTTGTTCATTCATCATTGGGCCACTACAAAAAATACGGGTATTAATAGCACTTGATTATAGCAGTTTATGTGTTTCTGCTATAGTTGACTTATGTATGATTTTTTCATAGCGTTTCCAATAAAAGAAACGCTATGATATGTTGGACATAAAAAAACATTATGCTCAGCCTTAATTTTTGGTTTTTCAATTACTCAGTAATAGCATATACAATTATAAACGTCATCGTATATTAACCACAAATAAGAAAATTTCACTGTCCGCCCAATTTGTAAAGAAAATTTATCTAAAATTTCATTCCCCCGCCCAAGTAATAAAAAAAACAATAATGAAAAAAATATATTTTAATCTAACACTTAAACGACACACATAGTCTAAACATTTTAACCTAACACTTAGCCCTCTTTCAAATCAACTCATCTCCTTCCTCCAATAATCAGCATCCTCCTTCTCCGAAAGTACCACAACACAAACCCTCTCAAATCTGATGACCTAGTCGGGCATCCTCTCTTCCCACTACCTTTAGTTCTCTTCGTCAATGCAACAATCTGCTTCAGATCTTCGAATTCTGTGACGAGTCATGATGAAAAGTCCTTCAATCCAATCTCAGATTCGGCGTCATTTACTCGGATTTACACACCGGCCTCTTCACCGTCTCAATCTCCTCCGTCTTCATCGAGATTCAACAGAATTGTAGATTTGGCGTTCTAGATTCGCAATACGTCGTCACTCATCCCTTCACACTCTAAGATCTATCTCCTTCTCCGAATTCCCGATCCAAAAAATCCTACCCAATCACTTCCCAAAACGAGTACTCTCTCATCTTCACGAATCGCGTCTCTGATTTTTCTCTCGATTGGTTTGATAGCGTGACTGGGATTTCAAGTATTGAGGTGAATTTTGTTTCTGGTTTTAGCTAATTTTGTTGGTTTATTTTCAGATGTGTCATTACATTTAAATTAGCTAAAAGAACCACTTGTTTGCTGTGATAGGATCTAATCTTCAGTAGTGGAGGTGTTTTTATGACGAAATGGATTGTTCCAATGTTACCTCAATCTTCAACAGGTCCATATATATATTTTAGATAATCAACCTCTTTTGATTCGGATGTATTATATGTCTCTGTTTTTGTTTTCAGATTTCTTTCACTTTATCTTTGTAGAGTACAGAGGCTGAAAGAAAGCTTTATGTTGTTGTCTTTTTGTTTTTGTGGTATGGTTTAATGCCTCAAAATATGTTACTAATCTATTCGGGTGTTTATGTATGTCAAAGGCACCTAAGGACATTTCTCTTGGTAAAGGAGGAAGCTAATAATTTTGATGATATGGAAGAACAAGTTTCAAAGATTGGAGGTTTGGTGATATGGAAGAAGAAGTTTCAAAGATTGGAGGTCCAAGAGCGAAGAATTCTCAAGTTTAAATACAAGAGTTGTATGAAATTTCTTTTAATCTGTAATATTACTTTGTAATATAGGTCTTTGTGTCATGGTTTTATATAAATGTAATAAAATATGGCATTTTTCTTTTTTTTTAATTTGTCGAATTATCCAAAAATCAAAAGCCAGAAACAATTACAGGAATTTATATATATATATATATATATATATATAACACTAAAAAATGTGCTATGAATAAAACAATTAATAACAAAATATAATTGCTATTATAAAATATATGACTGCATAAAAGAAAACGTTATATTTGGCGAACATACGATAACAATGCTAAAAACCGCTATTCAAAGTGGCGGACCTATTATCATGGGCGCAGATATAGCGCTTTCTACTCCGCTATCGTCTCGTTAGATAACATTATTCGGCCGCTAAGGATACTCAATTTTCCTGTAGTGGGCAAAACTCAAAAGATATCGATTTTTTATTACTAGATCTAGATGCATGATAACAAATTTTTTTAAAAATACAACGATGATTAATTAGGATAAACAAAAATATTAATTCTTATTATCCCTAATCAAATTGGATATGCAAATAAAACTCCAATTGGGGGCCATTTCACTTTTTCTGTGTGGATTCCAATGCATATTTTTCACATACACATAGGCCTATTATTTTTACACAATATACAAATTGTTTATATATGTGTGAGGTATATATATTAGGAATATGTTGGAAATCAGTACGTTTTTCAAACATAATTAGAGAAGTGGTACGGTTACTATTTACATTTGGGAAAAACACCCAGTTTGCACTGTACACTACTGTTTATATGACTTCCAAACCCTCATCAAACCATTTTATTTACAAGCATGCCATCCAAATTAAAATAAATTATTTTTCTCTTTTTTTACACATTTCGTCAAATCTCTTCGATCTTCTCTCAATTTTATTTTTTCCTTTTCAAAATCATCAAAACCCTAAGCGTCGAATTCAATTTGCTTCCATAGAACAATAGATTTTCAAAATCACAGATCCAACTCGCTTCTTCAATGGCGTCCAAAACAGTGGCTGCTAAAGATATCATCACTTTACACGGATCTGCTGCCATCGTCAGCGAATTCTTCTGTGCGTATTTTCAATCTCTCACACTCAAATTTCGTGTAATTTCACATTCCTTCTCTTCGATTTAATGCTTTTTGTTCTTCTTCTTACAGGTTACGCAGCGAACATGTGAGAATTGAATCGAAATTTCAAATTCAGTTTCCGATTCTGTGATTTTTTCAGTGAAATTGACTCGTTTTTGGTTTTTGGGGTATAGTATTTTTTATAATCGTGCAGTTTATCCAGAGGAAAGTTTTGTGAAAGTGAAGAAATATGGACTTCCGATGTTGCTTATTGAAGATGAATCCGTCAAATCTTTCATGTCTAATCTCACTTCTCAGATCTCCGGTAATGTATTTTTTTTAGCATTGTTAGTAATCTTAAGAACAGAACAATAGATATATAATTTGAGACTTGATTTTGTTTTGGTTTAAAGAATGGCTTGAAGCTGGGAAGTTGCAGAGAGTAGTGTTAGTGATAATGAGCAAAGCTACAGGTGAAGTTTTGGAGAGGTGGAATTTTCGGATTGAGACTGATAATGAAGTTGTTGAGAAAGGGTCAGTCTTTTTTTTTGAAAATTGTTGAATGTGATGTTCTTGGTTCTTGTTTTCCCAAAAGGGTCTGACACCCAGTTTGAAAATTTTGTCTCTTTCTTATTGGTAATGTTGCAATTGAATGTTGAGTAATGTTCGACTAATGGAATGTGGATTTGTTGAGTGATAATGTTTATTTTTTTATTATGATTCGAGAGTTACCAACTCATTGTTCCAAATGCTTTTTGCTTGTCATTATTGCAATCTTGATGCAAATCTGATTCCAGTTTATGGTTTTAGCTTAAATTTGAAGCTTTTTTTCATTTTAGTTATGTGAAAATGTTGCTGTGATTTGTTTGATGGTTTCAATATGCCTACCACTTGGTTCTATTTTGTTTGAGAAAGGGAAATTAGTGTGTCGAAACACTCAGAGACAAAGCAACCAGAAGAAGCAAAATCAAATAAAGGTAATACCGTAATATCAATGTCAAAGTTTGAATTTTAATCTGATTTTAATAAACATGGATATTAGTGATGCTTATGCTTGAAGATTGATTGATTGATCTTATATGTTGAATTGCGTTTGATTTTGTGCTTTCATGTGGGACTATGAAGGAGATACTAGATTCTCGAATTTTCCTCCGCTAATTTAGATCGTTCTCAGCGGTCCGAATGGAGTTGGCAAAGACGCAATGATTAACAAGCTTCGAGTAGTGTTGGGATCATGTGTCTCTTAGGTTAGGTTGGACGGATAGTTTGATTTGTTCGATATAGTTAAGAGAGCAAGTGGGGGAGATTTGATAAAAGATAAGTGTAGATTTTATAGTTATGCATATTCAATACCCAAAATGATGGGTGTGTAGACAGTTTGATCTGTACAATATATGTGGCGGACGAATAGTTTGATCTGTACACTATATTTGGCGGACGAATAGTTTGATCTGTACACTATATTTAGCGGAAAAATAGTTTGATCTGTACAATATATTTGGCGGACAGATTGTTTGATCTGTACACTATATAGGGCGGACGAATAGTTTGATCTGTACACTATATTTAGCGTACAGATAGTTTGATCTGTACAATATATTTGGCGGACAAATTGTTTGATCTGTACAATATATTTGGCGGACATATAGTTTAATCTGTACATCAGATTTTCTATTCACACATCCATCATTTTTTGGTTTTGATTATGCACACATGTTGAGTCTACATTTATCTTTTACCAAATTTTTCCCACATGTTCCCTTTACTATATTGTTCAAATCGAATTATCTAATCTTGCAATCACAATGAATGAAATCCTAGAAGTCAGCAAGGACTTTAAGGATCTGCTACTCGTAGCTTTGCTTCAGGAAAAGCATGCACTTCTTAAAGTTTTACTTGAACTGGTAGGCATATTCAACAAGCTTATCTTAAATCTAGTTGTTGCAAATCTTATTATAATCCCTTCTTCCTGTAAATCTACTTGTTGCAAATCTTTTAAGAGTGGTCCTGTTGAATTTGTAAAATGTATGCATTAGTTAATCTGTACGGTACATTTGGCGGACGGATAGTCGATCTGTACGGTACATTTGGCGGACGGATAGTCGATCTGTACGGTACATTTGGCGGACGGATAGTCGATCTGTACGGTACATTTGGCGGACGGATAGTCGATCTGTACGGTACATTTGGCGGACGGATAGTCCATCTGTACGGTACATTTGGCGGACGGATAGTCGATCTGTACGGTACATTTGGCGGACGGATAGTCCATCTGTACGGTACATTTGGCGGACGGATAGTCCATCTGTACGGTACATTTGGCGGACGGATAGTCCATATGTTTTGTGATGGGGTTCGATGTAATTTAGACAAAAACTAAGCTCACAGTATTTTACACATATATTTAGCTCACAATATCTGTACAGTATATTTAGCGGACGGATAGTCGATATGTACGGTATATTTGGTGGACGGATAGTCGATCTGTACGGTATATTTGGCGGACGGATAGTGGATCTATAACGGTATATGATTTACCTTAGCAAGAGATGATCTTTGATAAACTCCTTCTTTAATGCTCCTATCTTTTATATTGAGAAGCCGATAAGATCTCAAGAAGAACGAAAATATATAACTGCGGAATTTCCACCATAGACAGAGAGATAGATCCAAACAAACATGGAACTGTTTACTTAAAACAATGGAACAACAACAGAAAGAATATAGAACAAACAAAATGTTCGACTAATCGTAGTCACTTTTTGATTTACCTTAAAAAAGCTTCTCAGCTAAGAAATGTTTATGAGTCAATCCTCACAAAGAGCGAGGATGATAGCCTCACAAAGAACCCAATCATTTCCATCGCCATTGTCAGTTTCACTGAAAATATGAAAAACGTTCCATACGTCTCAGCTGAAATGCTCCTGCATCAACAATGGAATGTTTTGTCAATAAAAGTGCATCACATGAACAATGTTTCCGATAATCGAATGGAACAAAAATGGAAGGAAAACTAAGAATTATCAATCATTTTCCAAGGAAAACAAAGTTGATATCCAATTTTGCTCAGGCAAATACATTATGTGTTGGGAATCAAACAAAGATAGTGAAGTCTCTTAGAGCAAAGCTTAGTTCCAGATTCATAAGCAAGGTTTTGAAGGGTTAAGAGCAATACCAAATCTCTTGGGTGAAAAGTATGAGCCATGAGATATCAAGAAGCAGAGCGCAGAAGAGAAGAACCGCGTAGGTGCGGCCGAGACTTTGGCTATTGCTCTCGATTGCAACAAGCGCGAACAACGCAATCGCCAAATTTATCAACAAAACTCCATTGTATAATGCTCCTAATGATCCGATTAATGCGCACCCAATCTGAAACCACCGGAAAATATAATAATCAGCGATGAGACAAATTCAGAGAATCGATGAACCCTAGACCCAAAACAGATTTGAATCAATCGCGGAGAAAGAGATAGAAACCTGAGCGTAAATAAGGAAGACGGCGAGAGATTGGAGCCTAACAAATTTGATTGATTGTCTCTCTTCTCAATTTGATTTGCAGGTTGAAGAACATTACCGTAGTCTCGTATAGCGGCGTGTCGGCTTTCAAGAGCCTAAGAGGTTCGATCTCAAATTGCCCAAATTTCAATTCGATTTTTTCGGAATTCAATTCAAAAACTGATTTAAAATCATGAGAAAAATCATGTTTTGCAGATAGAAACGAATTTTGAGAAAGAGATGGAGTACCCCAAATAGTCTTGATCCAGTAGACAATCTTTGAGAAACAATGATTGAGCTTTGTACAAGAGAGACGATAAGAGAGAGAGAGGGAGAGAAGAAACGTTAGATAAAAACAAAGCGTCAAAAGCCCTTGGAGAGAAAAAAACAAATAAACAGTCAGAGGCCCTTTTCTGTAATTTCCCAATTCCACTACAAAACCTATCTCACACGAGATCTATTACACAAACAGTAAAAAGTGGGGGTTTTTCCAATTGTAAATAGTACCCGTACTAGTTTGCCTATTATGTTTCTAAAACGTACTATATTCCCAAGAAACCCTATATATTATTAACAAATATGAAAGGCTAATTGTGAGAACCTTTGAATCATTGTACTACTTGATTCAAAAGGTTCTTGATGATTTACTACTAAAACTAAATGAGATTTCTTAACTTATTATAGCAAGACGATAAATGTTTTAAAACAACGAAAAAGTATTGAGATTGTTTAGGAAGTAAATAATAGCGTGGTCAATCCCAAGGCTTATTCAAATTATTTTTTACCAAAAATATGATATTGACAAATTTGAAAGAATTTGTTATGGTAAGAAAATAGAAAAGAGAAAAGATCTTTCTTAAAAAGAAAATACAAAAGAGTGGTACAATGAGATTGTTTGGGATTTATGTGTTCAATTCCAAGATTAATAGTTCTATAAATATGGCTTATTCATAATCCAGAAAAATACAGACCATTTTTCTCCGATAGACTTCAAAATTAAAAAAAAAATAATGGGTTTTACAAAAATCTTAGTAACTTTTTCTCTTGTAGTCATATTGGCTGTTTCATCGCTCCAATACGCTATGGCATCAGGTACTTTTTATATATAACAATTATTGCAACTATATAGTAGTTAACTAGTTTTGATTATATAAATTTTCAAAAGAGATATTATAAAAAAATTGAGAATTTTGAGAAGAATATAGGAAAGTTTCATGTTGTGGTTATATATTATTGTTAGATAATTGTGTATATATGTGCAGAGATCAAAGCAAGGATTAATGGCTTAGAATGCTTTAATACATGTACGCCTTCATATGATGATTATAAATGCAATGAGGACTGTATATCATCGGGGTATCCGGCAGGAGATTGTCATATGTCTCCTTCTCAACCTAAAAAATGTTGTTGTTATTAATTAAAGTTGATGATCCGTTAATTTCTTATGTTTTTTCCTATAACTATGAGAAGCATGTGGTTACTCTTGTAATAAAAATGCCATGAAATTAAAAAAAAACATCTTTCAAATACATTGGATGATCTAAATTAGAGATGAAAAGTGCTAATTAAACATTAGAGATATGAAAACAATAATAGCACTGCATGAGGAATTATTGTTTAGAATTATTGTATCAATATGCACTGACATTTCATAATTGCATTAAAACAGGAATTGACTGATTTCAACAACAACAGGGAAAAAAAGGAATTGACCAAATTAACTTTAAACATTGAAGAACCAAATTTCACACTCCAGCACATGAATATATTTCACATTTCCCTTTCAGCCTCATGTTATGCGTATCTAACCCTAGATTTGGTTTGTGCATTGATCGATGTAGATCTTCTTAAAACATTCCAAATCTATAAGATTAACTTATCACAAGAAAGATATGTTTAACTTTAGGATGGTATTTAACCAAAAGAAAACTTTACTATGATGTTCTTCTTCCGACGTCGTAACACTTTGCGTTTAATGACCGGATTAAAACCCTCGGTTTTAGGTTTAATTGGACTCATAAGAGAGGTCGTTTTCATGAAAAAAAACAATAGAAAGGCTAAATGGACCCTTTTAGGATCCTGTCTCCTTTTTTTTGTAGAATGTCTACTCTCTTTTTCTCGAAGACTGGATTAGAGAATTATTTCTTAACAACATATAATATGTGGGTTTGATGCATTCGAATGGTGACACAACGCCAATTCTAATTTTAACACAAATAATTAGGATACATGTTTTGGTCGAATTTAACACAAACCATTATGATACAACAATGGTTTTAACACAAGTCATTAGCCACAATGTAATACTATAATTTAGGCAAACACTTTTCTATAAGTGTCAATTTTATTCTTATAATCCGGTATACATGTATATTCTGGTGTTGATCTCTTTATATATAGCATAAATTCATTAATAAATGCCGCTACAAGCCAATCATTTGAACATTTAGAAGTTAAATTAAATGGAGTAAAATAATCAATTAATCATCTTGAGAAATAATTTTCCAAAAACAAAATTCCAAATTGCACAAAGCTCTTCTCTATATAAACCCTCCTCAATCCAAACCAAATCCTCATCAATATCATCATTACATCTTTTCTGGCCCTAAAAGTAAGTATAAATAACACTAAAAAGCTCCCAATAAGATGTGTAATAACAATAACACAAGTTGTGTCAACATCTCAAGTATGCTTCAGCCTGAGGACATTTTCTCCCGTCGTTGCATCTGGGTGAACGGGCCGGTCATCGTTGGGGCTGGACCATCAGGGCTAGCTGTCGCCGCCGACCTGAAACGCCAAGAAGTTCCGTTTATAATCCTCGAGCGAGCTAACTGCATAGCTTCTCTGTGGCAAAACAGAACCTATGATCGTCTCAAGCTTCATCTCCCCAAGCAATTCTGTCAACTACCCAATTTACCCTTCCCGGAAGATTTCCCGGAGTATCCAACAAAGTACCAGTTTATTGAGTACCTTGAGTCGTACGCAACCCACTTTGATCTCCGCCCCAAGTTCAATGAGACTGTACAGTCAGCTAAATATGACAAGAGGTTTGGGCTGTGGCGGGTCCAGACTGTTTTGAGAAGCGAGCTGCTCGGTTACTGTGAGTTCGAGTATATTTGCAGGTGGCTCGTGGTGGCGACAGGAGAAAATGCTGAGAAAGTGGTGCCGGAGTTTGAGGGTTTAGAAGATTTTGGTGGTGATGTTCTTCATGCTGGTGATTATAAATCTGGTGAGAGGTACCGCGGAAAACGAGTTCTGGTAGTCGGATGTGGAAACTCTGGAATGGAAGTTTCTCTCGATCTATCCAACCACGATGCAAGCCCATCAATGGTCGTTCGTAGCTCTGTAAGTAAAAATTCAGTAAATTATACCCACCAAGTTAAGAAAAACAGAGCACCTGATTCATAGTAGTTCCTCTGTTCTAATAGTTATACTCTGTTTTTCCTTGTATGCTATATCTGATCGATCAGGTTCATGTATTACCGAGAGAGATTCTTGGGAAGTCGACGTTCGAGTTAGGTGTAAAAATGATGAAATGGATGCCGGTTTGGCTTGTGGACAAGACTCTGCTCGTTCTCACAAGGTTACTTCTGGGGAACACCGATAAGTACGGGCTTAAGAGACCTGAAATCGGACCGCTAGAGCTGAAGAACACCGCAGGTAAAACTCCCGTGCTAGACATCGGGGCCTTTTCAAAAATCAAATCGGGAAAGATCAAAATCGTCCCGGGAATAGCTAAGTTTGGTCTGGATAAAGTCGAACTAGTGGATGGTCGAGTTCTGCAGATTGATTCAGTCATTCTTGCCACTGGTTACAGAAGCAATGTCCCTTCATGGCTTAAGGTAGACAAAACGATTATCTTTCTCAGATTTTGTCTGAAAAGATACATTTTATAGGACCATAGAATACCGGTATTGATAAACACTAACTAAGACGTTGTTTGGTGGTTGGTTTATTGTTATGCAGGAAAACGACTTGGCGGAGATTGGGATAGAGAAAAACCCATTTCCAAAAGGGTGGAAAGGGAACGCCGGGTTGTATGCGGTGGGGTTCACCGGAAGAGGACTCTCAGGTGCATCCTTCGATGCAATGAGTGTAGCTCATGATATTGCCACTAGCTGGAAAGAAGACACTAAGCAACAGATCAAAACTGTTGCTACTCGCCACCGTCGTTGTATTTCACACTTTTGACTCTCACTGTTTATATAAAACTTATATGAAAAGAGGTAAAAAAGAGAGGATTGATTAGTGTTTTGTGATGTGAAAATCAAAGAGATAAGCCCACTCCGTGGAAGAAAGAACTGTGACATGTGTTTGGGTTTCTTTTGATGTAAGGAAGATGTGGCTTTCCATGTATTTAACGAATTCTTTTACCTTTCAACTTGTCTTTTGTTAGCAAATGTGTTAGATTAGAGCTGAACTAGAAAGTTTAAACTTGATTAATTTAAACAAAATATTTGAAGATGTGTCTGAAACTGATTTTGTCATTGACAGAAATATGTGAATGAGGTAAAAAAACAGAAAATGTTCCTCAGTGCCACCAATACATGAACTGTGTATGTATCATTTCTCTTATTATACGACGGAAAAAGAGAGACAACAAACATCAAGGTTCTAAAATGCTTAAACAAACATTCATTCATCATCATCAAAAGGAGCCATTGATATATTTTACCAGACATCAGGACGAAGCTCTCCAGTAGCTGGAGGCATCCAACGACCAGAATTGTACACGTTTTCACCGACTTTCCATCCAGGAACATCCTTCATCACATCCGCCTCGTACTCTAGATACTTCTTCCACTCAGACACAAACCTATTTACAAACACATGGAGATTCATTGTTAGACTTTGTACCACACAAGCCTTGCTCTATGTCCAAGTTGAAATATTAATGAGTTTCTGGAAACAAAAAAACAGAATTTCTTTTGTTTTTCTCTACCTTTCATCTTCTTCAGCTTGAAGAATCGGTAGAATTGCTCTACGGGCAGCGTATTTCTCTTCCTTCAACGCCCTACCATCACAGTAATCTATCTTCATTAGAACTTTATAGTTGATACATTGTGCTCATTTTGACACTTTTGTCATCATTATGCAAATGAGAGTCTACCAATAGAAGACTATTAGAGAAAGTTACATACACACACCAAGAAAGATAACACTGTGTTGTCTTATTAGTTGCAAATTACTCAAAAATCAACACTAATCAAGCGAATAACTCACAATGTGACCAAAATCTAAGTAAGTAGTAGTATATCATCTTGCAATTTGATTGCTTTCTTCACCACAGCTCAAGAGATCGTTAATTAGCTATAAAATGGGTTATTAGTACCGAATTTCAGACTAACTACACAAATATAAAAGCATCAATCCCAAATTACTCAAAATTTCACAACAGAGAATCTCAAATTCCAGGAAAATCCGATAGAGAAAAAAAAGTGAAATGTGAGACATCTCATTTTCTAATTACCTGCGGATTTTGTTGCCCTGACCGACTTGGTACATGCCCCAAGCAAAAGCACCGGAAACGGTAAGGAAAATAGCCATGGCGCTTGGACCCGTGTTGGAGATCCGGCGAGCATATCGGACCGGCGCGAACCCACCCGGTGGTGGACCATCCTGAAGCAACGGCATATCCTTCACACTCGCCATTCCTGGCTTCTTCCTTATCATCGCCTCCGTCATCTTCTTCCTCGATCGATCACAAATTGATCCCCAAAATCGATCTTTGATTCGTTAATCAGTGTGTGTTCTAGGGATTCTGAGAAAGACAATCAGAAATGAAAAAAAAAAATCTTTTTTGTTTGGTGACTTTTTAAAAAATGTTGTAAAATAATGAAATGGGCTTTATAAGGCCCATATTATAATCGTACCGGGTCAAAACTCGGAACCGGATCCAAATCGGAGGCTAAAACTCAACCAAGCAATGAGCTTGGAGAAAACGTAAAACCCTAAACCCTACTTACTGCTTCTAGAATCTTCGACGATCTGCTTCATTTGTCAATTTAGCTTCTTCTTTAGTTCGATCTGATCTGAAGCAATTGCAATCTTCTCGGTTGTGTGAGAATCAATCACCATGTATCGTCTTGTCACCAACGTTGCTTCCAAAGCTAGGTAGATCTATTCGACTTTTTTGGTTTTCTTTGTGGTTATGATTTGATTGCTGCTTTTTTCTTCTCTGATTTTGTTTCTGATTGGATCCTCGAGATTGTAACGGTATAATAAATCCCGAATCAGTACTCACCGAGAGCACGAGATAAGGGCAAATCAAAGCCCAGAAGGTGAAGGATCACCTCGAAGATCTTAGATTTGGTGTAAATGGAAGATGATGATGATCGAAAGAAATAAAGGAGATTGAAGAAGATAGTTTGTGTTTTTGATTGATTCCCAGAAAATGGCTAAAACCCTTTACATATAGAGTTACGATAGTTTGGTGGTCTAAACAAATGACCAAAGAAGATTAGTGAACCGGAAATTAGAAAACTAAACCGGTTACCGGTTTATCCTATTACACTACTCCCCTGTCGTGAACATCCTTGTCCTCAAGGATGAAAGATTGCGAAACTGCCAATGAAAGCTTGAGAAAACTTCACAGTAGCGTGTTCCGGTGGGTACCATTTCCATAGAACAAGGGCTTTAAGGACAGAGATGTTGTGATGTAACTGATGTTTAGCCATCCCCTTATAAAAGTACACTTTAGGCTCCTTAGCTTGGCCTGCATGAGAGATAGAGTGCCTAAATTCTTTGAAGAAGATAAGCAAAACTTCCTTGGTAGTGGTCTCATCTAGTAAGTCCTTAAGTAAAGGATTGTAGTACTTGTCATCAACGGTTTGCTTGATGATCCTTTTATAATCATCACACATTCTCCCAGTTCCATTCACAAACCCAATTAGATGACCCCACAGCCTGTGTTGTTTCTTTTCGAAAGAACCCATAGACTTCTCTCCTTTGATTCTTCCATGAAGATCAGACTCTCCTTTGATACCTAGAGCAGCGGTATTAATCAAACAAGCAATATTCTTGCGATTCTTGACAACATGTAACGCTCCCAAAACAGAGACAACTCCATACATGGCTTTCCATAGTAGATATGTAATCAAACCACCTACAACCTTTTGTTCTTTCAGCCATAAGACCACAAGAGCCCCTGTACCTACCTCAAATCTCATTTTACACTTAATGTTCCTTCCTGCCATGAGTTTACGTTGTTCATGTATGTACTTGAATTCCCAGGTCTTGTGGTACGACCACTTTTTCTCTGACCATTTCATTAGCTTCCTCCAATCTCTAGAATAGCTTAAAAATAGCCTAAACTCTTTAATCAATCTGTCCACATGAGCAGCTCTGTTTCTTTCACTGCCCATGTAACAAAACTGTACCAACAAGCTGCGGTGTTTCTTCATCAGATGACTAGGAGAAATCGTTAGCGTAAGCTTTCCATGAAGATTCAAACCTTTATTGTCCTCTAGAGATGCAGTGCTCTTGGCCACATAAGTCGTATTCTTGCAATTCTTGACAGTTTGCAGCACTTGTGAGAACAAAAACCTCTCATCGATAACTTGCAACGCTGGCTTCTTAAGACCAAGCAAGTGGATTACTAACCAGTGCTTCCATTCAACCACAATACCAATACCATCAAAATTTGTTGTTCTCTTACCTCCAAAACTCAATAACCGCTTAATTCTTATAACCACATTAGCATTAATAGAGACCAATTCCACCAAAAAATAATACTCTGCAACCGTAATGTCTTTAACAAATATCACTTGGCAGTGTTCTTTGCTTTCGCTTCTCACTTTGTGTCCAAGTAGCAAAATATGTAGAACTTTAATCCCACCAAGCAGCTTGACACAAAAGAACAATGCTCCATACGTATAATTGTTGACAACCACCATTATATTCCTTAGAATTGTAATAGAACCTTTGAACCTTTTTCTCAAGGAATGAATGATCAGTGGAAACATCTTGTTTTTATCAAAAATTTCTGAAACCGTAGGACCAAAACCAGATGGATCCTTTGGAGACTCTTTGATGACCATAATTACTGTGAACTTCCTTAGCTCTATTTGTGCCCATCGATGCCTCAAAGATTTCTTCATAATGTGATATATTGTTTGTTTCCGGTGGACATGAAGTTCTACCTCTGCTCCTAACCTCCTGTTACGTACTCTCATGCTGACTAATAACTTCCACACATCATCTACTATTGCCTCTTGAAATTTCCTATCAATATTAATGATTCCTTGTAAACGCATCCCATGAAACTGCTGCTTTATTTTCAGATCACTACCACCATTATGAGATTCACTAATCCAATCCCAGTGGTCTTGTACACAAAATAATTTACCCGGCTTCCAGACGTAGTTAGCTAGAGATAATTTACCGGATAGTTTCTCTTCAGACCACTTACTCATATCTCTAATGCAACAACAGACTTGGAGATTCAAAGCTATCAAGCTATGATCAAGTTTCTTATCCTTCATAATATCTTTTTCAACATTCATTAGCTTCTTCTTTTCTACACCATAAACCAGTTCTTTACAGAAACCATTCAAGCTAATATGACCTTGATTTAGCTCCTTCTTATACTCCCAGCCATAGAGCTCTAATTTTGCTTCCAAACTCCTATTATAAGCACCCAAACGGACCCATAATTTCAAAACATCACGAGCAACTAAGCAGTTTAATAAGATCAGTCCATCACTTTGTTGTGCTTCCAATAGTCTGACATGTGATCCCCATACCATGACATACTTTTCATTTGATTTATCCACAAAAGAGAACCTATCATCTAGCAATTTTCTTCTCTTTAAACTGATTTTGAACTTGAATTTCCAGCCCTTAAGATATTTCCTCGGCTTCTCCTTACTTGTTACTCTTAATGGCATTTGATCAAACAGTTGGCGTGCAACGTTTTTACCATTACCACTTGTTAATTGTTGAGGCAATTCTTCCTCTTCTTTGACATGTGAATCCACCTTATGAACAAGTAACACATCTGAAACTGAACCTAACTCAGGCTCCAAAGGTTTAATGAACGACTCTGAATTCTTCGTAATTTCTACGATCGGCTCTGGATTAGTCACAACTTCCTGGATTTGATGAACCTCTTCTTTAACATCTGAAACTTCATCATCCTCGCATTCCGTCATGAAAATCTGTAATCCTTTGTGCTTCAGCTGATGGTGGTCGGGAGTATCTTGCTCTTCACAAAAGATGCATAACCCATTATCCATTCTTTCATATATCTCCTCACATGAATACTTAAGACGAATCATGTTTGAATGTGAGAGATTTTGGTCCGACGAGCTCGAATGCTCTGATACCAATGTAACGGTATAATAAATCCCGAATCAGTACTCACCGAGAGCACGAGATAAGGGCAAATCAAAGCCCAGAAGGTGAAGGATCACCTCGAAGATCTTAGATTTGGTGTAAATGGAAGATGATGATGATCGAAAGAAATAAAGGAGATTGAAGAAGATAGTTTGTGTTTTTGATTGATTCCCAGAAAATGGCTAAAACCCTTTACATATAGAGTTACGATAGTTTGGTGGTCTAAACAAATGACCAAAGAAGATTAGTGAACCGGAAATTAGAAAACTAAACCGGTTACCGGTTTATCCTATTACAGAGATCTGAAAGTTGTGAGAAACTGTTGGGAATTGGTTAAAATATGTATTGAGTTTAGTTCTGATTTTCCCAATTTTGATCAACATTTTAGCAGCAATTGGATTGAATTGAATCTTTCTCTGCTCTTGAAGAGTGTAGCGTCTTCCATTTTCTTTGTATTTCTGAAAGTTGCTTTTCATTTATTGATGGGATTTATCTTCCTTTGTTTCAACAGGATTGCCAGAAATTGTACAAGCCAGGTTCATGTTCTTCACTTTTGTATTTGGTTGTGCTGTTTTAGCCGTTTGTGGGTATGTATTGATGTTTATTTGTGTATTGTTAGATTGGAAGTAGGCTCAATTCCACTAGGAATTATGCTGCAAAAGACATAAGGTTTGGTGTTGAAGCTCGGGCTTTAATCCTTAAGGGTGTCGAGGATCTTGCTGATGCAGTTAAAGTCACTATGGGACCTAAGGTAATCAAATTATGTTTCCGATGTTCAAGAGATTAATATTGTGGGTGAATCTAGTTAACAAAAGGATAATGTGATTACATATTAATAAGTATCAATAGTTACCTGTTTAGTTATCCCACAGTGTTAAAACCGTTTTCTAAATTTCTTTATCTTTTAAGGGTCGTAATGTCATCATCGAACAAAGCTGGGGTGCACCAAAGGTGACAAAAGATGGTGTCACTGTTGCCAAGAGCATTGAGTTCAAGGACAGAATTAAGAACGTTGGTGCCAGTCTTGTCAAACAGGTTGCTAATGCCACAAATGACGTAGCTGGTGATGGTAAGGGTTCCTTTTCATTGTATTAAAACGTTTTTTCTTTATTTGGTAATTTGGTTGTCAGTCTCCTATCTACTCTCTTATTGATCGTTGTTTTTGTTTCTGACAAAAAATTTGGTATGCTTCAGGAACAACATGTGCTACAGTCCTAACTCGAGCTATCTTCACGGAAGGTTGTAAATCAGTTGCCGCTGGAATGAATGCAATGGACCTTAGACGTGGTATCAAATTGGCAGTTGATACTGTTGTGACGAACTTGCAGAGCCGAGCACGCATGATTAGCACTTCTGAAGAAATTGCCCAAGTTGGAACAATATCAGCTAATGGAGATAGAGAAATTGGTGAACTGATTGCAAAGGCTATGGAAACTGTTGGCAAAGAGGGAGTGATCACAATTCAAGTGAGTTGAATTTGATCCCTAAATGTCAAATTATTTTGCTTATTCCTTAACGGGACTAATGTTATCATCTATTGATTCAGGATGGCAAGACCTTGTTTAATGAGCTGGAAGTTGTTGAGGGTATGAAGATTGACAGAGGATACATCTCCCCATACTTCATAACTAACCCGAAAACCCAAAAATGTGTAAGGATTCCCACCTTGTTGCTTTATCAATTTAAGGAACTTCTCATTTTGATTTGTTCTGCATGGGTATGGGTTGCAGGAACTAGAAGATCCTCTTATTCTTATCCACGAGAAGAAAATTTCCAATATAAACGCTATGGTGAAAGTCTTAGAACTGGCCCTCAAGGTATAAATAATTTGGCGATGTCTTGGTTGTCATTAATGTCTGATATTCATCAAGTACTTTGTATCTGATGATCGAAATTTATTTTCTTTGCCGTTTTCAGAAGCAAAGGCCGCTGCTGATCGTTGCTGAGGATGTGGAAAGTGATGCTCTTGCCACCCTCATTCTGAACAAACTTCGTGCTGGAATCAAGGTATTTCTTTTCAGCCTTTTTTTACGACGTCTTATTAGGAATTTAATTTGCTTGGATTGATGTGAATTGTATTGCGTTACAGGTCTGTGCTGTGAAGGCCCCTGGTTTTGGAGAGAACCGAAAGGCCAATTTACATGATCTAGCTGCCCTCACCGGAGCCCAGGCATGCCCATGTTTCTTTTTATTTTGTCTGCCAAAGACCATCACACCCACACTAATCACATGAGCCATAATGTGTCTTTGGTGATTCCACTTTGTAGGTAATAACAGAAGAGTTAGGTATGAATCTCGACAACATTGACCTCAGTATGTTTGGAAACTGCAAGAAGGTTCGTTTGGTCCAATTCCTTCTGCTTTTTCTCTTTCTCCCTTGTACCTTCTGATACATTTATATAACTTGATTTTCATTTGTTAACAGATAACTGTATCCAAAGATGATACTGTTGTTCTCGATGGGGCTGGTGACAAGCAAGCAATTGGGGAACGATGTGAACAGGTTAGTGTGCTTTGTGCTTTTTTATCATTTAGTAGTTCAGTGGTATATAACTTTACCTTTTTTCCAACTCGTAAGAATGTTTAATATGTTTTAAAATTTTAATAAACCACGCAGATACGATCCATGGTTGAAGCGAGCACGTCTGATTATGACAAGGAGAAGTTGCAAGAAAGGTTGGCTAAGCTTTCGGGTGGTGTTGCTGTACTAAAGGTAATGCACACCTCTTGTGAATATCAGAACAAAGGGATATAAATGCATTATTAGTTTATTACTAACGTCGGGATTACTCACATGGGTTTTTAGATTGGAGGAGCGAGTGAGACAGAAGTTAGCGAAAAGAAAGATAGAGTAACTGATGCTCTAAATGCCACTAAAGCAGCCGTAGAAGAGGGTATTGTTCCAGGTAAAAACTATCTCAAATCTCTAGAACAAAGTTTGGTTGAGTTCCTGCATGAGAATTACATTACTTTGTGTGTATTGCAGGTGGTGGTGTTGCTCTTTTGTATGCTTCGAAAGAACTTGATAAGCTTTCCACAGCTAACTTTGATCAGAAAATTGGTGTTCAAATCATTCAAAACGCTCTCAAGGTGTGTTTCTCTAATCACATTGTTCTTCCTCTTAATATAAATAGCTTCTTGAATCTTACACACAATCTTGCTTTGATGCAGACACCTGTTTACACGATTGCTTCCAATGCTGGAGTCGAGGGTGCAGTTATCGTAGGCAAGCTGTTGGAGCAAGATAATCCTGACCTTGGTTATGATGCTGCTAAAGGTTACACTCTTATATGCATTAGATAATGAACTTTCTATAGTTCTTGATCCACCTTGTTATTTCCCTATATTCCGAAATCTGAACTAGCTTCTTTTGGCATTTACTTACAGGAGAATATGTCGACATGGTAAAAGCCGGTATTATTGATCCTTTGAAAGTGATCAGAACCGCATTGGTTGATGCTGCAAGGTACACAGAGTTTGAAAGATTGGTCGTCCAGTTTTGTATTTTATTTTATTGCAATGTTTTGCTAATATTGTTGTCTTTGTTTATTCTATTGGTTAGTGTCTCGTCTTTGTTGACAACGACTGAAGCAGTTGTGACTGAGATTCCAACGAAAGAGGTTGTGTCTCCGGGTATGGGTGGCGGCATGGGTGGCATGGGCGGTATGGGAGGAATGGGTTTCTGAGAAGAATCATAAACGCTGACTAGGTTTCTTTGGAATCTGTTTGTGAGATGCTACGGTTGCTTCGTTGACAAGGGACTAATGGATTCTTTACTCATGATTGGAAGAGAGAGAGAGAGACCTTTAGATTTTCCATGATTTTCAATTCACAAACGATTTATAAACTATTTTGAAAAATATCCTTTTCGGGTTCATGCAAATTTCTTCCAGAAAAAAATCAGATTAGAGAGTTCAGTGAAACTTCAAGGAGGTTGCGCGCATATGGAGGAGATTTCTTAGTTCTTGCCAACTATCACCAAACCCTTATATCTTATTAACACGATATTTAGCTGTTTATTTATGTGTGGTTCAATTAACAGACTCTTATTATTTCTAATAAAAAATGGGAAAAGATTTTTCATAGAAAGAACCAAACTATATAGTTTAAATTATGTTTCCCGAAAAAGAAAGCAAATCTACTTAACACGGTCCACAAATCGCGTGGTTATAATTGGGTACCAAAACATTTATCTCCCAAAAGAAAGTCATGATTATGAACCAAACTCTTTTGTCTTCACGTATTTGTCCGTTCGATAACCCATAACCTGCCATACTCATTATAGCAGTAATAAGCCATAACCAAGGAAACCGTATTTGTATGTACTTTAATAATTTTTCGGATTGATTACAGCTTGGATACACATGAACATGATGAAGGAACTGATTCAATTTGGCTAATTGGTCAAACGCTTGTTATAAATCCACCGAACTAGATGACAAAAACAAATACAATCTGAAGATGTTCTTTAAAAGTTCCAGTTCAAATGTATTGTAAATAGTCATATTCTTTTTAGGAAAGATAAAAATAAAAGTAGTAAAATAGAGAGCGAATGAAGAAAAATACTTAGCTATATGATGAATTAGCTTAACGAGAAAAGTATATCTGTTTAGGCAAGAAAATTTCATGTCTCGGTTGATTTACACACTTCCAAAACTTTTAGTTAAACTACGACAAGTAACCATAGATGATTTACTTTTAGAAAGTTCCACAAACACGACGTGGCTTCCCATTGTAACATTTCCTCGTGTTCATGGAATGTTTCTTCTTATTTTATTTGTTAAAATTACAAAATGTTCAAAGTTCTGAATTAGCAAGTTTCATGTGGTGTGATCAAAATCATTAAACATAAAAAATCAACACACAAGCGGAAATCCAACATGTGTCTTAAAATTAATATATTCATTCAAAATTTTCTTTCTTTTGGAGATAATTAGTGGTCAAAGCAAATGAAGATAGTGGTCATCAAATCGTACGGCTAGAAACAAAAGTGCACAAAGTCAATACGAAATCGTAACATCAAACAAATCATACACCAAACGTTTTATTTTAAATCGAGTTTTCGAACCGCTCTGCTTCTTCTTTACTCTCTGCGTGATTTTCGTGTGAGAGAACATTGAACTCACACTTCAACTCTCAAGCTTCTTCTTCTTCTTCTTCCTTCGCTTTCTTCTCATTTTTTAGCTTCTGTGTCTAATTTTACATAGCCAAAATCCAGCCAGAGCCAATAAAGGTCAGATTTTTAACCGGAAGTTTTAAGTTTTGTTTCTTTCTTAATTACTGATAATGGGTCTGATTCTCTGCTTTGGAGTTTCTCTTTTGACATTCTTGTTCTTTCCTTTAGATTCTAGAGATTTTGTTAATCACTAGGCGGAATTGTGTTGTGTTAGAGAGACATCATTTGGCATTTGGAATTGTGAAAGGTTGTTCGATTTCAATTCTTGTAGGTTTTGGCAATGAATGGATCAGTGGAAGCTGCTACACGAACGAGACCATTGCAGATCAATCCTGGTGACTTAGAGGCTGCTCATCTAGATGAACTCATAAGGGAAATAGAACAGAGGAGTCTCTTTTACTACCAAGAGAAAAACAAGTCTTTGAGAGCTCGTTATGTCTACGGAACCATCTTCTTGATTATAAACCTATGCGCTTGGTTTATCCGTGACTACGCACAAAAGGCTCTGGCCTTGCTTCCATGTAAAGTCACAAATCTTTTGAGATATATCTAATGTTGAATTTAAAGAGATACTTTTAAGTTGAAATCATCAATGCAGATGTCAGTAGTTGTGGACCAGAAGGAAGTCATTGTTTCCATACGCTTGGAGTACTTCGCGTGAGTCTAGGATGTTTCGTATCCTGAAATATGAAATCTTTTGCTGATAGGATCATAATGTTAAGTAATAAGTATTAAAGTATGTTATATAGGTTTTGTGTATCCTTAACAATGAAGATATTTTACTTTATTATGTTCCTCTCAACATGGAACACAATGAAACTCCACGAAGCTCAAAACAGTTGGCACTCGGATAATTGGATCTTCAAGTTTTTTCTGCTGGTTTTAGTCACGGTAGCTTCTTTCTTCATACCTCAGCTTTACATCCAAATTTACGGTATGTTTCTGTCTCACTATAGCTCTATATTCTTTTCCATTTGATCTGATCGGATTGGATCACGATAATGATGTTTTCCTTACAGGGGAAATCGCGCGTGTTGGTGCAGGGTAAAATCATCTTTCAAGTTGCTCTTTTATAAATGACAGAGAAACACATGATTCTCTTACCATTTCTATTGTTGCAGGATATTTCTTGGTCTTCAACTTGTAAGTGTTATCGAATTCATCACTTGGTGGAATAACTATTGGATGCCTCATGACCAAAGTAAGCAAAGGTAAGCAAGTATCAGTCATTACAATAGGGTTTTCTCTATGTGGATATATATCACCTGTTGGTTAATACTGTTGTTTTCTGCAGCTGCTCTTTTGGTTTGGTCATGTCAATAGTTTTCTACATCGGTTCTGTTTGCGGGATTGCAGTGATGTACTACTTTTATGCAGCTTCGACTGCTTGTGGCCTCAATATGTTCTTCATCTCATGGACTGTTGTTCTTTTAATCGTTATGATGGTTATGTCCTTGCATTCAAAGGTACATTTCCTAAGTTTTGCTTAAAGGTAACACAATGATTGATCTTTGCTTCCAATTCTGATGCTTTGCATTAAAGGTGAAGAATAGAGGACTTTTGTCTTCTGGGATTATGGCTTCTTACATTGTCTTCCTATGTTGGTCTGCGATCAGAAGGTAAAGAGGAAAAAACAAAATCTGACTTTTGTTTGGTTAGTTTTTCAAAACAATACTAACGTACAAGTTTTGTCTCAGCGAACCTTCACATACAAAATGCAATGCACATACTCAAAACGGTCATACTGATTGGACTACAGTATTGGTAAGAGCTCTTAGCCTCTTCTTGAGTTCTTGCTTACTTAGAGTTAATCTAACTTCTTTCTTTTTGTTCTTTTATCCCTTTGTTCAGAGTTTCCTTATAGCTATAGTCGCCATTGTGATGGCAACATTCTCAACCGGGATCGATTCAGAATCCTTCAGGGTAAGTTTACATTCAATCTCATCTTGAAAATCAATATGTTTCGGTCACAGACATTATAGAATCTTTATTACAGTTCGAGTTCCGTAAAGATGAAGCGAAAGAAGAAGACGATATACCATACAGCTATGGATTCTTCCACCTTGTGTTCTCCTTAGGAGCAATGTACTTTGCTATGTTGTTTATCAGCTGGAACCTTTCACATTCACCTCAAAAGTAAGGAAAATTCCAATCTGCATATTCTAATCTGAACCAATAAAACTCAGAATCATGACTATGAATTGTATTATTCATGTAACCCACAGATGGAGCATTGATGTTGGATGGACAAGTACATGGGTGAAGATAGTGAACGAGTGGTTTGCTGCAGCGATTTATCGTAAGTTAAAAATATAAAACTAAATGGTTTTAGCTCTTGATCTAACAGATGGCTCTAAACTAGAGATTTGCAATCAAATTATACCAACTGGGCCAGTTAATGCCATATTTGGTTAGTGATTTTGGGTTTTTATGGGTTTGAATACAGTTTGGAAGTTGATTGGTCCTATTGTGAGACAGCCTAGAGTTCACGAACAACCTCAGCCAACAGCAGCAGAAGTGGACAGATAGATAGACATTTGCTAGAAGTTTTGAAGTTAATACAGAATCTTTGAGGTCATTCTTTAAAATGTTGTTCTTATCAAGTTCATTCATTTTTACCTTAGATGTGATTTCATTATGAACATAATACAATGTACAACATTTGGTGAAGTCAGAGCAAAAGAAAAGATTCTTGAATTCTTCAACAAGATTGATGAGATACAATACTAATAGTCGTCATCAACTAGATTCTTGAAACTGTGCTTAATTTGCAAATGTGGATGAACAGAACATCAAAGAGTAGGGGACGAAAATACTAGAAAATAGAAAGGAATCCGAGGTTAAATCATTTATTATCAGATCCTGGAACAAACCAGCGAATGTTGGACAAGCAATAAGCGAACCGAGACCAGCGTTTTTCGGTTGTAGAAAGATCATAAACACCGGTACTACTTTGAAAGGGTTGATCACTCAAAGGGTCCCAAGAATCATCAGAAACAAAATAAATCAAATTGCCCTTGATGAAGCCATCACCAAAAACAAGCATCTCATCACCTAAAGAATCTACTCTTTCCCATTCGGTTCCTTCAACATTCATCTTAAAGATCTTAAAGAAGTATGGTTTCTCTTGATTCTCTATTAACGTTTTTCTTATGCTCACAATGATCAGAACATCTCCTGAACTTGTGATTGCGACTCTCTCCCTCCAAGATTCCCTACTATGTTCTGGAGTGTAGTAAACCCGATGATTCAGATACGGATTTTCTTCGACTATCTCTTTCGGGAAATCATCAGAGAAATCAAGAATCTTAATGTACTGAGACCATGTATAAACACAAAGCTTTTTGTTTTTGTAAGCCATAGCTAAACACTTTGTGTCTTCAAGATGCCACCAAGAATCATCCCCTTTCTTGTAAGAGAACAAGTACTGACTGTTGTAAATCAAACAAACCACAAAATCTTTCGTTTTCTCATCAATCCATAAAACAGCTTTCATGATATACCAGTTCATGATTGTCTCACGATCCTTAGGAGAGTGTTCGAGGAAGAGTACTCCGCCATCGTCTTTTCTTTGGAATCTCACTTTACCTCCTTGGAGTGAAAGAGATGGAAGACTGATTCTCTCGCAAGTAAACACATTTAAGACGAAGAAATCGAGACGAGGAGTCAACATTAGTAACCAGTTACCGTAACTTGCAAGGCAACGACTTTTTCCGGGATTTCTTGTCTTGTAGGTCTTGTTTTCAACAGGATCGAACAGTGTACAAGATCCCGAAAAGTTTGGGAAAAGGATCAGCCATGGATACCTGCTTCTTGATCCCGCAACGCATGATTTAGAAACAGAGTACCAGCTTGAACAAACGGTTCTTGCTCGATGGAAGTCGGGAAAGCTCAAGCTTTCAAGAATCAATTTCATGGCATCGGAACACATCTCTGACCAGTCGGCGTCTCTAGGTTCCATCTTTTTTATTGAAGTGACTTTAGATACAATGGCAATATCGATGTTAAGCGAGTTTGTTGTGATGGCTTCTCTGGTCGTCGGTGATATTGTGCCATTGTGAGCCATGGAAGCGGTGGCGGCTAGATAACAAACCCTTAATATAAAACCTATACATAAAAAGTCTTCTCTTAATTAGGGTAAGTTTCCGTATTCCTTACGAAAATTAGTTAGCTAGGTTAAAGAGTCAAACAAAAGTACATTACCTCAAACTTTAATAATTTGCAAGATAAACTTGTCTTTTTTTTTCCCCCCTTTTAAGATTATAAGTTTCGAGTTTGAATTTGAAGCAGAAGCACCAAAAGAAAGAACCAACAAATATGACAGGTAAATTCTAGCTTCTAGTAACATTTGATAGTGGAGTAATGAATTAGGGTTTCATACCTGCTTCTTTATCACATGGATGTCTATTAGTCTTAGAGCCTCAATTGTACACAAGAGACATTGTAATTCTGCTGCAACACGATTCTAAAATGGTGGAACACATCGAGCTTGAAGTTGACCCTTATTATCGACAAGTATCCAAGCTCCTTCGCAGAAACCGGCTTATTGATCCAGAGAAGTTAAAACAAAAAACTATAAGCATTACCATTCAAGAGAAATCTATGAGCTTTGTAGCTAAAATTGTGGTCTTGATTTCTGTGAGTTTGTTTCATAAACTGAGTGATAAACCAAGTTTAGAGGATTTGTATGTTTTGAGATTGGGGTCACTTATCCTTGAAAAGATTGCTCTTTAAAACATGAACTTCATCAACGACTAAACCGCGAATATCCCAAGGAAAAATCATCATGTCGATTAAATCCATAGCCAAATAAAAATCACGAGTCTCCAAAAAAGATGGATACTATTACTGTGAGTCCATAGCCAAATATCACCAAGAGAATCTAGAAGTTTTAAAGTTAATACAGAACCACTGAGGTCAATATTTATAAAGTTGTTCTTATCAAGTTCATTCATTGTTAACCGTAATGTGATTTCATTATGAACATAATCCAATGTTCAACCTTTGTTGAAGTCAGAGCAAAAAGAAAAGATTATTGAGTTCTTCAACTAGATTGATGAGTTACAGTAGTCGTCATTTAGATTCTTAGATTCTTGGAACATTATATGAAGAGAACATCAAAGAGTAAAGAGAAGAAAATACTAGAAAATAGAAAGGAGTCTGAGGTTAATCATATCTCATCAGATCCTGGAACAAACCAGCGAATGTTGGACAAGCAATAAGCGAATCGAGACCAGCTGTTTTTGGTTGTTGCAAGATTGTAAACACCGGTACTACTTTGAAAGGGTTGATTCAAAGGGCTCCAAGAATCAACAGAAACGAAATAAATCGAATTGCTCTTGATGAAGCCATCACCAAAAACAAGCATCATATCACCTAAAGAATCTACTCTTTCCCATTCGGTTCCTTCAACATTCATCTTAAAGGTCTTAAACAAGTATGCTTTCTCTTGATTCTCTATAAACTTTTTTTTTATGCTCACAATGATCAGAACGTCTCCTGAAGTTGTGATTGCTACTCTCTCCTTCCAAGTTTCCCTATGTTCCGGATTATAGTAATACCGATGATTCAGATACGGGTTTCCTTCGATGATTTCATTCGGGAAATCCTTAGAGAAATCAAGAATCTTGATGTAATGCAACCATGTAAAAACACAAAGCTTGTTGTTATTGTAAGAGATAGCTGAACACTTTATGTCTTCAAGATGCCACCAAGAATCATCTCCTTTCTTGTAAGAGAACAAGTACTGATTGTGGTAAATCCAACAAACCACAAAATCTTTCGTTTTCTCATCAATCCATAAAACAGCCGTCTTGATAAACCTGTTGATGATAGTCTCACGATCCTTAGGAGAGTGTTCTAGGAAGACTCCGCCATCGTCTTTTCTTCGGAATCTCACTTTACCTCCTTGGAGTGATAGAGATGGAAGATTGATTCTCTCGCCAGTAAACACATTTAAGACGTAGAAATCGATACGAGGAGTCAACATTAGTAACCAGTTACCGTAACTTGCAAGGCAACGACACTCGGAAAACTCGTTTCCGAGATCTCTTGTCTTGTAGGTCTTGTCCTCAACAGGATCAAACAGTGTACAAGATCCTGAGACAGAAGACTTTTCCGGGAAAAGGATCAGCCACGGATATCTGTTTCTTGATCCCGCAACGCATGATTTAGAAACAGAGTACCAGCTTGAACAAACGGTTCTTGCTCGATGGAAGTCAGGAAAGCTCAAGCTTTCAAGAATCAATTGCAAGGCATCGGAACACATCTCGGACCAGTCGACGTTTCTAGATTCCATCTTTTTTCTTTTTCTTCTCTGATTCTGATTACTGAGAGCAAGCTTTCGAGACAAGGAAGGTAGTGAGGTGTAACCAGTAAGCGAGTGTTTGCGCTGAGTGGACTTGTTCCCTTTGTTCCGTTGTTTGCACTGAGTCTTCGATTGCTTGATATGCACGCGGCTTGCCTTGGCATACAAGTAAGCGAGTGTTTGCCAGATCTGAGCAGCGGTGGTGACGCGAGAAAGGAATGGCTGGAATGGGATTGAAATTGCTCCAATTAAGGCATTGTAGATGAGCTTGTCCTGTCTCTTCCAAATTTTAAAAACCTGATTGACATAGATGGTGTTATTCACCGTCACAGTGGCTGGTGGTATGACAATTGAGCCATCGAGATAGCCAGCGAGGTCATAATCATCGAGCAAGGAGTAAACCTCAAGGCTCCACATGAGGTAGTTTGTCGAGGTGAGTTTGGATACATTGGCAATATTCATGTTAAACAGAGCTTCTCTGGTCGTCGGTGATCTTGTGCCCCTGTGAGCCATGAAAGCCGGTGGCGGCTAGATTTAGGGATTAACTACTTGCATAAAAAGACCCTTTTAGGGATTCTTCTCTTAATTAGGGTAAGTTTCCTTACTCCTTACGAGATCTAGTTAGGTTAAATAAAGAGTCAAACAAAAGTACATACCCTAAACTTTAATAATTTGTCAATTTTTTCGCCTTTTAAGATAGTAAGTCTCGACTCTCGAGTTTGAATTTGAAACAGAAGCACCAAAAAAAAAGAACAAATACGGCAATTAAATTCTAGCTTCTAGTAACATTTGGAGTAATAAGAATTAGGGTTTCGTACTCTGCTTCTTTATCACATGGATGTCTCTTAGTCTTAGAGCCTCAATTGCACATAGGAGACATTGTATTTCTGCTGCAAAACGATTCTAAATTTGTGGAACACATCAAGCTTGAAGTTGACCCTTATTCTCGACAAGTATCCAGGCTCCTTAGGCAGAAACCGGCTTATTTAATTCAGACGAGTTAACAAAAGAAAAAAAAAAAAAAACAAATATGAGCATTACCATTCAAGAGAAATCTATGAGCTTTGTAGCTAGAATTGTGGTCTTGATTTCTGTGAGTTTGTTTTATAAACTTGGTGATAATTGATAAACCAAGTTTAGAGGATTTGTATTTTTGGGATTGGGGTCACTTATCCTTGAAAAGATTGCGCTTAAAAACATGACTTCATCAACGACTAATACACTAATATCCACAAGAGAATCTACTCTGAATGACCTAGAACCTCTCCTGTGTGAATTACTATTCTCATAACTTGGCCAAATATCATCTTCCACCAAACATCTCCTCATACATAAGAAATCCGAATAGAGCTCTGAATTAAAAAGAACATTATGCATCATTTCTCTTTAATAAGTTTTGATACAGAGACAAAAAAGAATTCTCAATTAACAAACTAAAATATAGAGACTGAAAAAAAAAAAAACGATTGTGTTCTTCACCTAAGTCTAGTGATGTAGATTCTGTCGAAAGGAATAAGAATTCTTTCTAGTCTAGTCCTAGCTTCTTCTTGAACAAAGCCTTGGAACTTTGGTAGATTTGAGGCTTTGACATGACAAACAATTCACTCCAAAAGTCAGGTGTGGTGGGATCTACACCTTTGTCATCTGTAAAAATAAACGAATTAAATAAGACAACAACAATAAAAGATTTCGAGAAGGTAAATAAACTATCACATCACTTACACACTTTCGTTCCACTCAGAGCTATTGTAGATAAACGTTGGTAAGCAAAAATTTTGGGTTTTCAAGTCGCCTTAGAAAATTGGATATATGGTAGCACACAAGTGTGCTTGATTTGTGCAGCATTGTTTATCATCCTATGTATAGATATCATCCTATGTGTAGACCGAATTCTATTTTTTTTTTTTGTCAACTATAGACCAAATTCATATGCAATATTTCACAATAATTTCTAACTCTTTGACTAAACTTTTTTCTTCATAATCCTTATTATCATTTAATCTCTTATTTGTAGATTTTGAAATTCATGTAAGGTCATTGTGATGCATTTTCAGCATCTTAAGAGTCTTCCATTTCCCACTCCCAAATTAAGTAAGTCAAACATATTAGAACGCACAAAATTTACAAGCCAGCTCAATATTTTCAAAATTAACAATTTACGCAAATCACAATTTTCAAAATATATATGAAACACTCATCTTACAAAATGAAATTCATGTCTTTTCTTTTGTGACAGTGAGAAGGGGTTGTTCAAATAGTATCAAGAAACATAGTTCCTTTGCTGCCTATGTCTATGCATTTTGTCACAATTCATCCGAATCTGTTCCAAAAATCAGGTATTATTGACATTTTAATCGCTCTAACATATGCAAAATTGCAAACGTGATGTAGAATAATAATTGAAAGAAAATGTAGTAATAGAAAAATAAGTATTGGTTTGGGGAGAAGCAAATAAAACTAAAGTTGGGCCGAGTATTGGGCCGAATCTCATATTGGACCTTTTAAAGTTTTTTAAATGTCATCTATCCAAATCCATTCGCTCACAATTTCTTGCAGGTTATGGCAATGAATGATCAACGGGTGAGATCATTTCTTGCAGATTAGTCCTGGCGACTTAAGACTCTTCCGTACTATCAAGAGAATAATAGGTATTTGAGAGATCGTTATGCCTACGGAACCATCTTCTTGATCATAAATCTATGCGCTTGGTTCATTCGTGGTAAAGTCAGAGCAAAAGAAAAGATTCTTGAGTTGTACTTTTTTGCACAAAAAAAAAAAGAGTTGTACTTCAACTAGATTGAAGATATACAAAAGTCATACAGATTCTTGAAACTCTGCTTAATTGCAGTTATTGATGTATGTAAAGCAAGACATCAAAGAGTAATGAAATAAATTTTAAGAAAAAACTGGCAACTAAAAAGGAACCGTGGTCGATCATTGTTTATCAGATCCTGGAACAAACCAACGAATGTTGGAAAAGTAACAATAATGTAGAGACCAACTTATTTCGGTTGTTGCAAGATCAAAAGCACCGGTACTACTTTCAAGGAGTTTATTGGTATGAGGCGGCCAAACATCATCAGCAACGAAATAGATGACTCCTCCACGAACATCTTCTTTAGCTGGTGCTACTGCTAATGTGTACCCATCACCAAAAACCAACATCTCATTTCCCAGAGAATCCACTCGTTCCCATTCGTCGCCTTGAAGATTCATCTTAAAGATGTAGAACAAACGTTTCTCTTCGTTCTCAAGGGTCTTTTTTAAGCTCAGAATGATTAGAACATCTCTTGAAGTCGTGATCGCTAATCTCCTCTGCCAAATGTATTCCCACGGTTGCGGATCATAGTAAAACGGATGATTTAGATAAGGGTTTTCTTCGATGATCTCTTCCGGGATATCACCTGAGTAATCAAGAATCTTGATGTGATGATTAGAGGTATAAACACAGAGCTTTTGGTCCTTGTAAGCCATAGCTAAACACTTTGTGTCTTCAAGATGCCACCAAGAATCATCTCCTTTCTTGAATGAGAACAAGTACTGATCGTTGTAAATCCAACAAACCACAAAATCTTTCGTTTTCTCATCAATCCACAAAACAGCCGTCTCGATATACCTATTGATGATCGTCTCACGATCAAACCAAGAGTGTTCGAGGAAGAATCCACCATCGTCTTTTCTTTCGAAACTCACTTTACCTCGGAGTGATAGAGACGGAAGATTGATTCTCTCGCCGGTAAACACGTTTAAGACGTAGAAATCAAGACTCGGATTCAACATCAGTAGCCAGTTACCGTAACTCGCGATGCAACGGCTCTCGGATAATTTGTCTCCGAGAAATCTTGTTCTATAAGTCTTTCCGTTTCGAGGATCACACAGCCTACAAGAATTCGTGTCAGACAACTTTCTGAACAGCTTCATAGAAGGTTTCGAGTCGGAAGATTTTTCCGGGATAAGTATCAGCCATGGATATCTATTTCGCGACCCTGCAACGCATGATTTCGAAACAGAGTACCACTTTGAACAAACGGTTCTTGCTCGATGAAAGTCTGGAATGCTCAAGCTTTCGAGAATCAATTGCATGGCATCGGAACACATCTCCGACCAGTCGACGTCTCCAGGTTTCATCTTTTCGTCTCTCTGAGTCTCATCCATGGATTCTTTATTCTTCTCTTAGGGTTTCCTTGCATACCAAGTTAGGGTATATATAGCAAAATGAAAAATAAAAACCGACCTTTATCTATTTTAATTAATTACGTTTTCTATCGTAAAAGCTGAATATGTATGTTGAGTGGGATTAGGATTTACTTATCCTTAACAAAGATTGCTATTAAAAACAAGAACTTCAACAACGACTAAACCACAAATAACCCAAGGAAATTATTCATGTTAAATTTGCAACAAAATAAATAAATAAATACAGAAGAAAAACAATAAATAAAAATAGAAATAGTCTAGCTAACAATACCTAATCAAATTATTAAAATATACAATGGCTCTGCTTGAGCAACTTTGCTTTCTCTGACTAAGAACTTGGAACAAACCATCGCCTAGTCTCCGCAAGACTATGACCTACTGGCTTAGGCCATGTGATTGTACTTGTCGCAAGATCAAACACCCCGCATTTTCTTTGACCTGGCCAAAGATCATCTTCAACAAAAAAGATGGAACCACCATTGATATATGTTCTTAGTGTGACTCCATGACCAAAGAGAACCATCTCATTTTTTCCAAGAGAATCTACTCTTTTCCACTTCCTACTCTCAAGATTCATCTTAAAGACTTGAAACAAAAACTTCTCTTTGTTGTTCCCTCCTGAGGTCTGAATGGCCATAACATCTCCAGATTTTGTTATCATTACTTTCCTCTTCCAAATACATTCCATCAGTCCCATTTCGGAGCTGAACTGATGATCATAATACGGACTTTCGACGTCTTCTCTCGGGATATCTCCCGAGAAATCAAGAACCTTAATGGAGTTATCAATAGTAAACACATAAAGCTTATTATCCTTAAAACCCATATCGTCACATTTTGTGCCTTGAAGATTCTTTCTCCACGTTTCTTGTAAGAGAACAAGAAGTTTCTTTTGTAACCCCAAGCAACTACATAGTCCCTTTTACTCTCGTTAATCCACAGAACAGCTGATAGGATGTCACTACGCTCGATGATGTCTTCATTTTGTTGGAACCCGGGAAATGATAACTCCATTGATGGAAGATGGACCCTCTCGCGTGTAAACACATTCAAAATAATGAATTTAAGACGAAGATCTACCATGAGAAGCCAATGGCTGGAACCAGCGATGCAATAGATTCTGGAAAATTCAAGATGTGGATAATATTTGGGTCCTTGGAGTATTGGGCTCATCAAGCTCATATAAACGGGCTCGACTCTGTGACTGTTTTTCAATTAACCAAGTTGAGTATTTTGAAATGCAATTTTGATAGCTGTTCCATAAACGAAGATCAGTTGCAAAGATTTCTATAAGAACTTTTATCAACCAAAAGGTTCACTAAACTACATGATTCCGTAGAAAAATCATATACCAAAAATCCGCAAAATAAAGATGAACAATAAAAGGCTAGAGCTGTTACAATACTTGAACAAATCGATAGTAATATCCAGATTCAAAGTAGCCAAAAACACTTGGCTCTGCTGATTCTCACTGAATTCTGTAGACTAGACCAAATGAGAAACCAATCTCCTGATCAAATACTTAAGCATATCCTGGAACAAACCATAAAATCTTCAAGAACGAAGCATCTAATTTTTTATGCCATGTGATTGTACTTGTCGCAAGATCGAATACACCGCATTTAGGTTGTGTGATGGGAATGATGGGATTAAAAAGATGACTAGGCCAAAGATCATCACCGCGGAAACAGATTGAATCACTCTTGATTCCCAAACCATTACTATCTACGATCGGTGCTCTTATTGTGACCCCATGACCAAATATCAACATCTCACCTCCAAGAGAATCTACTCTTTCCCAACTACAACTTCCCAAATTCATCTTATAGATGTAAAACAAACGTTTATTATCTAACCCTTTCAAGCTCACGATCATCAAAACCTCTCCAGAGTTCGTAACCGCTACAATCTGCCTCCAAGCGTATTCCCCGGGTTTCGAAACAACCCGAAAGCTAAACGGATGGTTACGATACGGATTCCCTTCGACAATCTCACTAGGAAACTCACCAGATAAATCAAAAATCTTGATCGAGTTATCTAATGTATACACATAAAGCTTGTAGTCCTTATTCAAAGCCATAGACACACACTTAGTGTCTTCAAGATTCAACCATGAATCATCTCCTTTCTTGTAAGTGAACAAGTAGTACTGTTTGATACTCCAAGCTACAACATAATCCCCTGTTCTCTCATTTATCCAAAGACAAGCTTGTTTCTTGTTGGAGTTTATGTCCGTACGCTCGATGAAATGTTTCCACTCAACTTCTTTTTCCAATCTCTCTTTACCAAGAATCGATGACTCCATCGATGGAAGATTAATTTTCTCACGAGTAAACACGTTTAGAAGATAGAAACCTAAACCAGAATCAACCATCAAGAACCAATTGCTGCAGCTAGCAAGAACATACCTATCAGAAAATTCGATTCCGGGATGCTGAATTTCGTGAATCTTGTCTTCTACGGGATCGAAGAGTGAAGTTGAATTCTCGTTGAATGTGATTCGCCATGGATACAGAGGTCGCTTACATGTTGTGGAAACGGTGTACCAGTGTGAGCAAACAGTTCGGGCTCGATGATAATCCTTGTAGTGCAAGCTTTCGAGAATCGATCGCAAAAGATCGTGACAAAGTTTTGACCAATCATAACGAGTTCTCGACATTGTCGTCTTCTTCAAATCATTCCGATGGTTGTGATGTAAGAAAGAAATTAGGGTTAGGTTTTTGAACAAAGGAAACCATAAATGGGCCTTAGCCCATTACTATGGGCTATATATTTGACGAGCAAAGCCCGCGAACTAAAACATGGTTAAATAAATTTGTATGCGTAATCAAGTGTTTGATAATTTGTCTGAGAAGTCTATTAGTGTTTGTTTAAGAAACAAAACATACTTCATCAACGATCAAAAAACAAAAAATTTCCGTTGTGATTCATGTGGATTATGTCTTAGTTTTACTAAAAACAAGAACTTTAGTCGATGGTTGATTCAAATATCTCCGGAGACTTAGCAAAAAAAATTCATTGGGAAATAATGCGAAATCTTCTAAAAATGATTATAAGCTAAAAGAAAGCATGTTACGTTACAATCCAAGTACTTATTCAAATAAAACCAAAATCAGTGACTGAGGAGGAGATTTTTTGACAAAGCTTATGAAGACTATGCATATCCTGGAACAAACCAACAAATCTTGGAAGACAGATCTTCTAATCTTGTATGCCATGTGATTGTACTTGTCGCAAGATCGAACACACCGCAAACTGGTTGTGTCTTCATTGTAAGATGATGATCAGACAAATGGTCATCATAAAGGAAACATATTGAATCACTCTTGAGTCCTCCGCCACTAATATCTTTTCCCGGTGCTCTTAGTGTGACCCCATGACCAAATATCAACATTTCATCTCCCAAAGACTCTACTATTTCCCAATCACCAATCTTAAGATTCAGCTTGTAGATGCAAAACTTTCTATTTAACCCTACTAAACTCAGAACGATTAGAACCTCTCCTGCTCTTGTGACCGCAAGTCTCAACTTATAAATCGTATCTACGAAACGAAAAGGATGACTAAGATAAGGGTTTTCTTCCATGGCTTCTTTAGGATAATCTCCACAAAAATCAAAAATGTTGATGTAATGATCAAAAGTATACACATAAAGCTTGTTATCTTTATAAGCCATATCCTCGCACTGTGTGCATGTGATACTCCATCGCTTATCACCATCACCATCACCAACATCATCATTTCCTATTTTCTTGTATGAGAAGATATAAAACTGTTTGATAGCCCAAGCAACGATGTAATCTCCATTTCTCCCGTTTACCCACAGAATAGCAGTTTTTTCAAACCTAAAATCGTTCCACGTCAAGAGAAACTTAGTGCCGTAGAGCTCAAGAAAGTATTCAAACTCGTCATTTCGTATGAATCTAAAAGGACGATCACCACGTAGCGATGACTCTAATGAAGGAAGATTGATCCTCTCTCGAGTAAACACATTCAAGAGATGGAAATCTAGACGAGGATCAACTATTAGTATCCAATTACCGTAACTAGCGAGACAATGGATTTTGGATAAGTCGATTCCAAGAAGATTTTTTGTGTAGATCTTGTCTTGTATTGGATCAAACAAGACAGAATTCTTACCTCGGATTACGATTCTCCATGGATACAAAGGACATGTTCGAGAGACGTCATACCAGTTTGAACAAACGGTTCTTGCTCGATGAAAATCCAAGCAGCTTAAGCTTTCGAAGATCGATCGCAAGAGATCAGGATAAAGCTTTGACCAACCATTATCATCTCTAGGACTAGACATTTTCGTGTAGCATTTTTTGGAGGCGTGCGCCTATCATTTTAGGGTTTTTGTTTCTCGTGTGAAACAAACGAATCATTAATTTCGGAAAAATACCGTTTCAATATCCTTCATGTACATTCTTTTACAATTCATTTGCTTAGATTAATAAGTACAAGACTTTACGATATTTCGATGGAGACGATTGATCCATCTCAAACGAACCAAAACTAGGATTCGGTTTCAATTAATTGTTCATATTAACCAAACCAATTAAAAAAAAATTAGTTCTTTTGTAAAACGGTTTAATCTATTAAAATAAATAAATAACCAATCTAAGCCACACAATGGAATCAAATTTGGTGCTGTAACGAGTTTACCGCAATGGTCCTATAGAGTAGGAATAAACAACCTCACGCAACCCAACTTTAGACTCGTGAAATACTTTTGAATCACTTGCGATCGAGTAGAAATATCGCCACAATAAACATTCATGTCTCTACAATAATAAACCGAGTTTGGCTTGGTGCCATTAACTGAAGCTCGTACAGTCACACCAAGATCCGCAATCCAAGACTCATCCCCTAATGACTTCACACGATCCCATCTTGTCCCTTCTAAACCCATCTTAAAAATGTTGAAAATTTTCTTCAACTGATTCTTAACGATCAAAACATCTCCAGAGACAGTAACACCGATGATCATAGCCCTCCCTTTTCCATCATTCTTAAAAGGATTATGGTAAACATTATCCGAATTCGCTCTAGGGAGTTCTTGAGAGAAATCTAAGATTCTGATTCGGTTTTGTTCACTCAAAACATAAAGCTTGTTGTATTTGTAGACAAGGTCTTGACATCCATGGAGAATCTCAGGACCTTCTCTTGTAGGTATCTCTCTCCAGTTATCAAATCCACTCTTAGTGAACATCATATACAAGAGACCTATCGACCAGACGACAACGTACTTTTTGGTTTCCTCGTCCACCCATAAAACTGCTTTTGTCTGGTTTAATGCGTTTCTCGCAGTAATACTCGATTGCCTGATTCTTAACATGAAGTTGTCTCGGCCTAGCTTATCTCGGGTCTTCTTAACAAAAATCCTCCCTTGGTGTGACTTTAATGGCGGAAGATTGATTCTCTCGCGTGTGAAAATGTTCAAAACATAAAATCTTGATCCAAAATCAAACATTAAAAGCCAGCTTCCCGAAGTCGCGATACACTGGCTAGAATAGAAGTCATTAACGAGCTTGTTCAATTCGTAAAACCTACCTTCTTGGGGATCGAATAATTGACATGAACGTTCCTTTGTTTTTCTGGATGGGAAGATAATCATCCATGGAACCTTTATCAAAGACTCTTTACTAACTCTGTACCAATTCTTGCAAACGGACCGAGCATTGAGTCTATTGCGGATGCTCAGACGTTCTAGAATCAATTGTAGAACATCCAAGTTAATCTCTGACCAGTTTTGCATTGAGATTCGCCTCACAAGTAGTAAATTCTCTGTTTTGTAATAATTCTAAACTTCTTTTAAAAATATTCGAGTTATACACAACTAGAAAGAAGGTAAACCTAATGCTAGAAAAAAGGAAAAATATACAATGAGGAAATATAGGGATTGGAAATTATCTACAAACAGAGAATATATATACGGATCCAATAGAATAATAACTTTTACTTTTCGTTTTTTTCTAAGCCCTATCCATAATCAAATTCTGCTTTAATATTCATTTATGTAGTAATTATCAAATGTATATTATTAGTTATTAAAAATAAATATATTGCTAGTCTTTTGGTTTTGGGTTTCTAGAACGATGTGTACTTTGCTATAAATCAATTTTAGATACTCTCACACAGTTTCAACAACTCATAAGCATCATCAAGTCACATTAAGCAGCAAGAAAGATCGATAATATTTCCAAATAGACAAAATGGAAAATTTAGAAATTTGCAGGACTATCATCGAGTTGCTTCTCATCTTCAATCTCAACCTCCAAAATCTCAGGGATCCTCTGTTTCAAGTAGTTCCCAATTCTAGCTAGAACCATTGCACGCGTATGCCAAAACTTGCCTCTTAAACTTATCTTAACGAATGGTCCGTCTAGTTCCACTAACTCTACTTGTCCTGTTATCCCAACCGATGAGTCGAAGAGTTGTGCTAGCTACCGTACAAAACCAAAACATGATTTTTGATCAAAAATTCACAAAATCGAACCTCTAGTTTAGTTCTGTTAAAAACCGAAAACGAACTAAGATTGTTTCCTTTACAAGCAACAATGCTCTGTTTGTTTTTTCATGCGGAACACAATATCTCAATGTGACCTAGAACCGGTTCGTTACAGTTTCGGTTTAAACGAATTAACGAACATAACCAAGCAGGAAGAAAATCGGACCAGAAACGATGGTGCAATCGGTTTAGTTGATACCGGTTCTGATTTAATTCCGTACCAATCTTGAATTAAGCAAAAATGGTTAGAAGAAAGCTTTACCTCTATACGAGCTTCGGATAGTACCAGATGGATATTATCCTCCGTCAAATCCAGCGGCGGAAGCGAAACTCCTCCGCCGGAAACTGCTTCCACCGTCGTTAGTGCTCTTGCTCTTGATTTCTCAGATATGATCGTTCCTATAAACACCGGCTTTCTCATTCTAACATTGCTGAATCGTAGAGCTAGTCCAATCCGGTTAACTGCTGGATTTCCGGCTATATGTGGTGGAAATGTTGGCGGACCCGTACGGTGGTGGATCGGAAGAGCCACCAGTTCCATGGCGACTCTATCACAAAAATCTGACCAACTGGCAAGGACTTATGGGTTCTTACTTCTGATAATGTTTCTGGTGACGTGGCAAAACTTCAACCGTTCGTTTTTCACTTCAGTCGAAATCTGCAGATTGATGGGCTTAAGGATTACAAAACATCATGGGCTTATCAGTAATCCTTTAATAGCCCATTAGGTCATACTTTTAGTACCGTTTACATTTTTTGTCATCTCTCTTTCAAGTTACTACAACTCACACAACACATGTAATACAATTAAAAAAGTTTTGACCAACATATATATATATATATGGCTCCACGTAGTGAAAAAAAGAGAATATAGTTAGATAAATTGATGAATTAATACGCCAAACTTTTATTATTTGTGAATCTAACGTTGTAGAAACCAATAGAAATAAATAAGAATGGTGAAATAATTTAAATCTGTAGATAGAAATACCCTTACAGAGTAAGTGTTGTTGAATGATATGGGAGTCTTTGACAAGTCACGTGGTTACAAATGGTATAGTGGAAAAAATGGGATTGGATTGGTGGTGACATGGACATGTGTGGGGTTTCATTATCCACCATATGTATCGTTCTCACGCTTTTGGCTCCTACATAGAGACGTACGAGTACGTATATATCCATGTATGTATTACATCATCGTATATATACATATTCCATCCGTCACGGTTTCATTCAAAGCCTTAGATTGTGAATAAATTTGCATATAGAGAACGTTGAATGATTATTAACTAGAATTTGAATGGTGTTATATTAAAAATAATGCTCAATTCATGGTAGATTAGATGCATCATGCATGGATCAACCATTCTATATTTTTCGGATACAATAAATATACAAAAGCATATTTGTTTATTAATGTATACAGCTATAATAATTGTTCTTTCTAATAATCATATTTTATATGATAAATTATAGATATACTTAAGATTCATGTTGATGACTATCTAAACAATATACAGTTTGCTAGAAAATATCTACTTGTTTATGTATATGAAGTGTAATAAGAAAAATAAGTGGGCGATGCGCTCATAAAACAAGTATTTTATAAAATAATGAAAATCTTAACTTATTGACGCATGTTGAGTCAAAGCTTGGCAGATCTAATCGCCGAGAGCTTCTAAGCAACTTCGACTAAAGATGTTCTCCAATAACTTGATTGATCAGATATTGGTTATTCTAACTAATATTTGATATAAACTATTGTTAATTTGAATATCATTATATTGTTGTTGTTATTATTATTATTATTATTATATTTCTATAAAATACAACGCTGCGTAATCGTTGGACTCTTGTAGTGAAACAAGTTTTGTTTAATGACTTCTTGCTTGAGATTCGATAAGATTTAAAGTGTTATCTCGAGATTGATGCTTATGTGAGATTATTTTGATTACTTTAATACTTATACGTATGTCTCCTTTACAAGCTATTGTATCCAAGAAAATTATTCTAAACATGCAATTCAAATTTCTCAAAACTAAGTATAAAAATTGTCATTCGATCTTGTAAAAATACAACGCGTTATTCTTTTTTTTTTTGGGTTAACGAGAATAAAATTAACTCCGGCTGCTTCAACTTAACTATTTGACTACATATAGTATATAATAAGTTAGCATCGAGTAATTATAATATTTAACCACCAAACACATTTGTTTATGCAAAATGGTATATATATATATATATATATATATATATATATAGCGACATTTTGTATTGTGGGCTTGATTTGATTGCTAAGATCATTTGCCATGAGTTTCTTCTACTATCAAACTACGATGACAAACATATCACGGGTCTTATTGAAAGTTTATAATAAATATACATTTTCATAGATATCTCATATCACAAACTGATATATAGTAATATAAAAGTTTGGTACTAAGGCTTTGTTAGGAAAAGCAAACGATTTTACATCAACATATTATATTCCTAACTTGTTGAAGTGGCCAATTCAATTCAAAAGAAGCAGAATATTTTGATTTTATGATATACTATTAAGTAAAAAGAGAGAAAGAAGAAGAGTAAGAGAAGCGTGACCAATGTAGCTTAGAGAGTAGCTAGCCTCCTAGTGGATATCTTCTCATTTTGGCCGAACATTTTAAATAATGTCAAATATCACACCTAACTGACTTGATTGGATATACATGTAGTCATAGTGGCTATGGACCAACTCACAAAAGAGATAGAAATCTTATGTCACATGACAAATTAACAAAAGAAATTTTTGATATGCGAACTATCAAATACGCAAATACTTCATCCGTTTAAGACTAATATTTGTTTTACAAAAATTTTATTTATGATTTAAATGTTAAGAACGTAGCCACTTGGTTTAGTTAAATATTTCACTTTTCATCTTTAAATTTGCCGCCTTTAATTTTATTCTAACGAGTGGGGAAAATCTAACAACTATAACGTAAAATGTTATTTACTTATACCAAAATGTTATCGAAAAAGGTTTTTGGGGTCCCCTTTAAGAGTAAAGGCCCTTTCTGTTCTTATAATTTAAATATTTCGTGTCAAGCAACATGAACCTCCTAATGTGTTTATATTATTATATTATTGTTTAGTGTTTATCACTTTCTAAAGTTAGAATCGTAACGTTGAAAAAAAAAAAAGTTAGAATTGTAACAAATAAGTAAATTTATTTTAAGTTTTTCTTTCAGTAAATTTTATGATTTTTACACTACACAGAAGAGTTAGAGGTCTCTTAACTTAAACGCTACACAGAAGAGTTTCACAATTTCAATTGATAATAGAAAAGTTAAGTAAGTTCCACATCAGACGGTGATTATCGGATGATCTCTTTCACTGAGCAGTTTTTTTTTTCTCGCGATCGTCCCGTTGGACCCATATTCCCCAGTCACATCATGTTGTCCTTAATTCGGTAATGTATCAAACAATTATGAAGACTTTTGGGAATTTAAAGCAAATATTTGTTGTCAATTCATAATTTTAATTTTACATCGTTACTTTAACTCAAAGCAATGTTCTAAATACTATTTCAAACTTGACATTATCAAGAAAAATAAATTTATCAGACAACCAAATTGAAGTAAACGATCAATTATTTTTGATCGAGTTGTTTCTTGGAAATTTAAATATTTTTCTTTTAATATTTATCAATAAACGTATGACTTTGACTTGTAGTCTTGCACCATTGAATTTGACTTAAAACTATATTAAAATGAATATATATCTAATATTGTAATTAATCAAAGAGACAGAAATTTCTAAGTAAATTGTGATTTTGAAGAGAATGTATAGTAATGTTTAGGAGTAGAAATTTAGAAACTAAGGTTTGCAATACTCAAAATTTGGTGTCAATTGGTCGTGAATTTAGGCTTTTTTTTTTTTTGTTTGAAAAAGATCTACTGCATATATTATTGGCTTTAGGTAAAAACAAATGAATACTACTTGGACTTAGAAAATTAAACAAAAATTTTGGGGCTAGTAAAATACAAAAATAAATTGTTTTAGAAAATTTGAAACTTAAATAATTCAAAAAAAAGTTAAAAGACTTTACATTTTAAAAGTCTCATCCCAATCACCTCTAACTTTGAGAAAATGAAAATTCATGATCTAACAATTTGGTCTAAGTAATCAGAACCTAAGCTGTCTCAATCGGTAAATCTCAAAAAGCTAATCCTGGGAAAAGATTTAGCTGAGAAAATAAAAAATTCTCTCACTTTCTTTGGCCTAAAAAAGTTTGCCACTTTCTACTACTTTTGTTTTTTCCCACAAGTTCCTTTTTCAATTAGAAAATTGATGTTCTTGGCACTGAAGAAAATGGCCAAAAAAGAAGAAGAAAAAACCCACAAGCTTCTTCTCATCACTATAAGAAGAAAGAGAGAGCGAAACCACACACAGTAGAGAGAGAAGGCATGCCTTGTCGGCCATTAGAACTTCAACAAGCCAAAGCAAAAACTTACTTATCCTTTCCCATTAATCAAAATCCTTATTGGAATATACACTAATTGATTCTCATCACTATCTCTCTCTCTATCTTCACTTTTTCTTTCCTTTTCTAGTTTCTCTCTTTTAATTCTTGGGATTGTGGAGCTTAAAGTTCCTTTTGGGTTTCTGATTCTTCTTGATTCCAGATCAAACCATGATCTTTGTCGATTCCTAAACAGTATCTGTTGGTTTCATTCTATCAAATCACTGAAATTTTATTTAAGGAATCGAAAAGAGAAAGTTTTTTTGCGATATTCAAATTTGTCTCCAAGTGCACAAAGTAAGAAATCTTAAAGCTTTGACATTTTTTTAATTCTTTAGCTCGTTTCTTAAAGGTTCCATTTTTTTTTCTTGCAGCTTTAACTGCTTGGTGGTTTCGTCTATGGATTCACATTGGTAAGGTTTCTTCTGTATTCGTTCTCTAGTTTCCGTTCATTTAAAATTCACTGAAAAGTTTGGTTTTTTTGGTGCTGGTAATTTGAATCCTGAAACCTATTAGTAATTTCTTCAGATCCAAATTAATCATAATCCAATGCTAGATCTAAGTCCTAGCTGCTTAAAGCTCTGAGTTTAGCATTTAAGCGTCTCTGTTAAATTGAAAAGATTTGATTTTTTTCTTACTTTGGTGTGAAAAGAAATGTGAATCTCTGTAATGGCAGGTGTTAAGGAGTATAAAGTGTTCCTCTTTGTCAAGAATGAAGTTGAGAGGATCAATGGGTTGGTGGATCTCTGAGTTTAAGAGAGGATCAAAATCTATGTTTGGTGGGGTTTTGTTTCTCTTGACACTTATGGTTTGGACTTCAGAGAGTTTAAACAGTGATGGTCAGTTTCTCTTGGAGTTGAAGAACAGAGGATTTCAAGATTCGTTGAACCGTTTGCATAACTGGAATGGTACTGACGAGACGCCGTGTAATTGGATAGGTGTGAATTGCAGCTCAATGGGCAGTAGTAATAGTGATAATCTGGTGGTGACATCTCTTGATTTGAGTTCTATGAATCTCTCTGGGATATTAACCCCGAGCATTGGTGGTTTGGTTAATTTGGTCTATCTTAACCTCGCGTATAACGGGTTAACCGGAGATATTCCTCGGGAGATTGGAAACTGTTCGAAGCTGGAGGTTATGTTTTTGAACAATAACCAGTTTGGTGGTTCTATTCCGGTTGAGATTAGGAAGTTAATGCAGTTGAGAAGTTTTAACATTTGCAATAACAAGCTTTCAGGTCCTTTGCCAGAAGAGATTGGTGATTTATACAATTTGGAAGAGCTTGTGGCTTATACTAACAACTTGACCGGTCCATTGCCTCGTTCTATAGGAAATCTCAAAAAGTTGACGACATTTCGAGCAGGGCAGAACGATTTCTCTGGGAATATACCTGCTGAAATCGGTAAATGCCTTAACTTGACGTTGCTCGGTCTTGCTCAGAATTTCATTTCTGGAGAGCTTCCGAAGGAAATTGGGATGCTTGTTAAACTTCAGGAGGTGATTCTGTGGCAGAACAAGTTTTCCGGGTCAATTCCGAAAGAGATTGGGAATTTAGCACGTCTTGAGACTTTGGCTTTATACGTTAACTCATTGGTTGGACCAATACCTTCAGAGATTGGTAACATGAAATCCTTAAAGAAGCTCTATCTTTACCAAAACCAGTTGAATGGGACAATCCCAAAGGAGCTTGGAAAGCTTTCCAACGTAATGGAAATCGATTTCTCGGAGAATCTGTTGAGTGGTGAGATTCCGGTTGAGCTAAGCAAGATCAGTGAGTTGAGGCTACTGTATTTGTTTCAGAACAAGTTAACTGGAATCATACCAAATGAGCTTAGTAGGTTGAGGAATTTGGCGAAACTCGATCTCTCCATCAATTCCTTAACTGGTCCTATTCCACCGGGTTTCCAGAATCTTACGTCTATGCGCCAACTTCAGCTTTTCCACAATTCCCTCAGCGGTGTAATCCCTCAAGGTCTTGGTTTGTACAGTCCTCTATGGGTTGTTGATTTCTCAGAAAACCAACTTTCCGGAAAAATACCGCCTTTTATCTGTCAACAAGCTAATCTCATTCTGTTGAATCTCGGGTCCAACCGGATATTTGGAAACTTTCCACCAGGTGTATTGAGATGCAAATCGCTGCTGCAGCTTCGTGTTGTTGGAAACCGACTCACTGGTCAGTTCCCGACCGAGTTATGCAAGCTTGCCAACCTTTCTGCTATAGAGTTGGATCAAAACCGGTTTAGCGGACCGCTACCTCCTGAGATAGGCACTTGCCAGAAGCTGCAAAGACTTCATCTTGCAGCTAACCAATTTTCCTCAAATCTACCTGAAGAGATTGGTAAACTCTCTAACCTGGTAACATTTAACGTTTCCTCAAACTCTCTCACCGGACCAATCCCCTCTGAAATAGCCAACTGTAAGATGCTTCAACGACTTGACTTGAGCCGGAACAGTTTCATTGGTTCTTTACCCTTCGAGCTTGGAAGCCTTCATCAGCTCGAGATCCTCAGACTCTCAGAAAATAGATTCTCTGGCAACATACCGTTTACCATTGGAAACCTTACGCATCTAACTGAGCTGCAGATGGGAGGAAACTTGTTTTCAGGAAGTATACCGCCTCAACTCGGTTTACTCTCCAGTCTACAAATTGCAATGAACCTGAGTTACAATGATTTCAGTGGTGAAATACCTCCCGAGCTTGGGAATCTTTATCTGCTAATGTACCTATCTCTGAACAACAACCATCTGAGTGGTGAAATTCCAACCACATTCGAGAACTTATCCAGTTTACTCGGCTGCAACTTTTCCTACAACAACCTCACTGGACGGCTTCCGCGTACGCAGCTCTTTCAAAACATGACTCTAACCAGTTTTCTCGGAAACAAAGGACTCTGTGGCGGCCATTTGAGAAGCTGTGGCCCTAACCAGTCCTCTTGGCCCAACCTTTCATCTCTAAAAGCGGGTTCTGCTCGTCGCGGGAGAATCATCATCATTGTGTCTTCAGTCATTGGCGGTATCTCTCTTTTACTCATAGCTATCGTCGTTCATTTCCTAAGAAATCCCGTGGAACCAACGGCTCCTTATGTGCACGACAAGGAACCCTTTTTTCAAGAATCCGACATTTACTTTGTCCCGAAAGAACGATTCACAGTCAAAGACATTTTGGAAGCAACAAAAGGCTTCCACGATAGCTACATTGTCGGTAAAGGCGCTTGCGGAACCGTTTACAAAGCGGTTATGCCTTCGGGTAAAACCATAGCAGTTAAAAAACTCGAATCCAACAGAGAAGGCAACAACAACAACACGGATAACAGTTTCCGTGCCGAGATTCTAACACTTGGCAAAATCCGTCACAGGAACATTGTCAGGCTCTACAGTTTCTGTTATCACCAAGGATCAAACTCAAACCTCTTGCTCTACGAGTACATGTCTCGGGGAAGCCTTGGCGAGTTACTTCACGGTGGGAAATCGCATAGCATGGATTGGCCAACTCGGTTTGCTATCGCACTTGGTGCAGCGGAAGGTCTTGCTTACTTACATCATGATTGTAAACCAAGAATCATTCACCGCGACATCAAATCTAATAACATACTCCTTGATGAGAATTTCGAAGCTCATGTTGGAGATTTCGGGTTAGCTAAAGTCATCGACATGCCTCAGTCAAAATCCGTCTCAGCCGTCGCTGGATCCTACGGTTACATCGCTCCCGGTATGTTTGAAAAAACCGATAAAACATTCGAGTTTACCAAACTTAAATCTAACCGTTTTTAACTGTTTTTTTGCAGAGTATGCATACACAATGAAAGTAACAGAGAAATGCGATATCTACAGCTTCGGAGTTGTTCTACTCGAATTGTTAACCGGAAAAACTCCGGTTCAGCCGCTGGAGCAAGGTGGCGATCTTGCCACATGGACAAGAAACCATATCAGAGATCATTCGTTAACATCTGAAATACTCGATCCTTATCTAACCAAGGTAGAGGACGATGTGATTCTCAATCACATGATCACAGTGACGAAAATTGCAGTACTCTGTACGAAATCTTCGCCGTCAGATCGACCGACGATGAGAGAAGTAGTGTTGATGCTTATAGAGTCCGGAGAACGTGCCGGAAAAGTAATTGTGTCCACCACCTGCGGTGATTTACCTCCACCGGCGCCACCGTGAAAAAGGGTCTTTTAACTTACTTTTTTTCTGCGAAATTGATTGTATAGATTAATATGATTTGTATAGTCATTATAGAAGAAAGAGATTATCTGAGGAAAAAACATTCATAAAAATCATTCATCGTATAAACTGTGATTGAAATAAAATTAGAAAATTTTGTTCTTAGTTAAAAAACAAAAGAAAAATGGAGGATTCAAAATGTAACTATAAAGAAATTCAATGTAAGTTTTAAAGTTAAAATAAAGTTTCAAATATGATTGAAATAAAATTAGAACATTTTGTTCTTAGTTAAAAGAAAAAGAAAAAAAAAAAAGAAAGAAAAAAAAAAAAAAAGATTTGCACCAAAAAAAAAAAAAAAGTTAAAAGAAAACGAAAATTAGAAATTTTTGTTCTTAGTTAAAAGAAAATTCAAAATGTAACTATAAAGAAATTCAATGTTATATTCAGTGTAAGAAAATTATATTTAAGTTTGACTTAAATATATAAGTATATTATTAGTATATTTATATGGAAAATAATTAAAATAGAATATTATTGAGCAAGAAACATTTTTGTGAAGAATAATAAATAAATGGAAAGAATATTTGAGTAACTAGAATAAAACAAAAAAAATGGAAAGAATACAATTTGCTTATTCTATTTTTGATCTAGTAGAATCAACTGTTTAGGAATCAAATCACTGATATTTTTGCCCCCACGAAATCATGTCTTATTATTGTCCCCAAAGTTGAAAATACATTGTATCGATCATTATATTCTGTTGATCAGTTTAATACCTCGTGAAAAGATATAATCATATAAAAATTTATAAATAATCAGAATTATCAAATAAAATTAATTGATCAATAATAATTACAAGATTTTTTCCTAACTATAACAGAAAATGTATATTACTATAAATGAATAAAAAAAGGTCGGTCATAATCTAAATTGGACCAACTCTTTTTTTCGTTTCCTATAAATGATGCATACATACCGCAGCAACCATTCACATCCCAAATTTTTAAATTATTTGGATGTTTATTAGGTTTTAGTAGCCTCAGTATTGCATCGTAGAAAAACCTAATAAGATCCTAGTCCTAAAAGAGTTATATAAAGTCTAAAAATCCAACAATCTAATAAAGATCAAATCCGGCAGTTTGCAGGAACAATCTTGCCACGAATCGAACCACCAACGTTCTCACACAAAGCCGTGACTAAACCGTCACGTCCAACGTACTTCAAGTTGATATTTGAGAGCTCAACGTCTTGACAAGGAAACGTTTTACTACATTCAATCTTCAAAGCCTCTTTGCTTGTCGAAGTTCCCCAAATTTTGTTATACTTGACGTCTTTGATCTGAACATGTGAAGCATACTTTCCAGGACTATCACATTGGCCGTGTGGACAATACTGCTGATCAATGACGATAGGGTTTCCAACATTGATCATTTGGATATTCTCGTAGAGGAAATTCGAAACCGAAATCTGCGATACCGACTTAGCCCATGTCTTGATACGTAAACCGTCAGTTGTACCGTTGATAATCGAGTTTCTGACTGTTAAGCCCTGGACGTTCTTCTCCTCTTTATACCTCCCTAGGCTCCCGACACTAATCCCATGCCCTGGTCCGCACCTAGTGTTGGGAGACATCGAGAGGTCAAATATTTGATAAACATATAAATATTCGAAAATATTATCATTGTAATCAAGTCTTTTTATAAAGTGAAGTTTTGATTATGAGGTTTAGCTTGATCAAGGTTGCAAGTAGCTGCAGTTTTAGAGAAAAAAAAATGCAGAAGAAATATAGATATTATTCTCAATTTTACCAGTTATCTAAAAAAGAATTCCAGCTCATTCAAAGTTTGTTAAGACTAACAAAGAAGAAAAAAATAAGGAAACAAATCACCCACTAAATAGGAAAAGAATAAACTAAATTGTTTTTCCTCTAATTCTTTTTTTTTCAATTAAAAAAAACCTTCATCATTATTTCTTTAGTAAATTTCAATGTAACATTTTGCACAGCTAGTGATGAGATTGAGTTAAAGAGTTATATTTACCTGACATCAGAGATATCCAAATTACTGGTTCCGTCAAGGATTGCGATACAATCGTCACCGGTTCCAATAGTGACGTTGAAGATATGCATATGGCTAGATTTCCCGATCTTGATTCCGTCGGTATTAGGGCTATCTCCGGGAGCAGTGATGGTAACGCCGGTAATGTTAAAATCCTCGACCGAGAATAAGTTGAAATGTCCCATTTTGCTGTTGATAGATCTTAGACCGTTGATCTTCGATGATTTAACAAAAGCAAACCCAATGTTCATAGCTAGTGTACGACAATTGGTGTTTTTGTTACAATCATTGAGAGGCCAAGAATAAGATCCTTGGCCGTCAAGTAACCCGCCGCCAGTAACAGTGAGATTATCAACGTACTTGAAAAGTATCCATTCATCTTGTTTGATAGCGTAAGGATTACTAGGAGCCAATAAAGTTCCTCTGATAATAAAAGTAATAGGGTTTTTGCAAGGACCAGTGAACGTTACTTGACGGAGATAGAATATTCCGGGAGGAATATAGACTGTTGATCTTCCGTTACTCCATTGGCAAGCTTCGTTCCACGCCTTTGTAAACGCGAAAGCGTTATCTCTTCGGCCATCACCGTGAGCACCATAGTTTCTGACGTCAAAGATTTTTGCTTGGCCGGGATATTCCTTCGTGGAAGCGGCGAGGAAGAAGAAGAGAGAAGACAGACACAAAATCAGAAGAACCCTAGACGCCATTCTCTCTTCTTTGGTTTGGTAACCCTTTTTTTGGATGAAGGAAAAGAAAGCGTTTAGGCTTCTTATTTATAGGATTTCAAGATAAGAATATATGTATTTATTTAACAAATATGGGAAACACAATCTTTACTATCATCCATATGGAATATACTTATTAATAAAATTATGCAAGAATCCTTTTAAGATGGAATAAGATGATTTTATGTACATAACAAGTAATAAGTTGTGAAATAAATGTAGGATTCTTTCTTTTTCTACTTCTTATTGCATATCCGCTTGAATCTATATAAAACCTATATAAGTTGGAATTAATATGATGAATGTTTTGATTGTATATTGTGTCACATTTACATTATAGTTACAGTTCCACGTGGTATTTTTATGATTTATTAAATTTGTATGTGTTGGATAAATTTATACTTCATTCATATAGATAAGAAATGTATACTTTACAGTTTACATGTGTATGTTATCAAAAAAAAAAGAAGATATGGGAATGTTTACCCCCTAAAATCATATATAGGAGATGCAATTATATTTTTATCTAATTTAATTTTGAGTTAGGAAAAAATATATACACAAAGAAGAAACAAAATTATTAAAAATGACAATTTTCTTTGTTGACATTTTTTTCTTACAAAAAACATAGATATGAAGATATAACGAATGTAGAAAAGGATAAAATAAAGATATTTAGTAAGGTTAACTAAGAAAATTGACATTTTTGATAATTTGGTCTCTTCTTTGCATAAAATTTGTTTGCCAACTCAAAGTATATTAGATAAAAAGATAAGATTGAAAAAATAAATTGATAAGGTTGTTTTTAAAAATTAGAAATTGGATAGATGTCTGAGATGAAATAATCTTGAAATTCTATCAAAAATAAAACTGAAGTCCATGTCGCATGTAAGAGCTAATACAAGTGTTAATAATGTCGAGACTAATATATTTTTAATTTGTAGATGTGTTAATTTACCGATATAGATAAATTAATTTATAGAGAAATTCATGTGTAATTTCTAAAAAAAATTATATTTTAAAATCAGATTAGTTCATTATCAACAATATTTTTCTAGAACCAATTACAAGTAAGAAAATAATTATCATGTCTAGAAGAGAACACCAAAAGATGTAATAAAAATATTAGAAATTAATTTTAACAATAATTAATGTAAATTCGAAAAAAACAACACAAAATATTATCTTATTATTTTATCTATTTGTATTAAATATTATATTTGCCCAATTAGAAACCATATTTTTTATTAATTTATAGTGATTATTAATTTAACGAGTATTAATTTATAGAGGTTTCATTGTAATATATAGGCTAAATGGACAACTAGGTGTGAAGATATTACGACCCTTAAGCAGATATGCGTTCATGCGGTGCCATACTGTCATCATTGATAATATTGTTCCTCTTTCTTTATATTTTTGCAGTCTGCAAAAGTAAATTCTATATCTACTGTGCTTGTTTTCTGATCTTTGATGGTTGTTTGATAAAAAGTAGAAATGTGAACAATATGTTGAGACCTTCGCCCTTCGGTGCCAGAAAAATGTGATAATGTGTAGAGATTGGAGAACGTTGATGGAGCATTGTTGTTTGGTCCGGTGATACGGCCATCGTTCACGGAGATTGTTGATCGGCTATTCGGTCATCGTCAGCTGCCTTGCAATCCAAGCGACGAAACGTAACTAAGCGCGTCCAATGAAGTAAAAACCAATAAAAGGAGCAAATGCAAGCAGCAAGCTGTATGATTAAAGTGTGGATTGGTATCTTTTTATTAACTTGTAAAGTAGTAGTATTTATACATATCAATCAACTGTGATAATTGTTATATCAAAAAAAACTTCGTTCCAAAAAAAATATGTCGTGTTCCAAAAAAAAAATATCACTTCGTTCGCAACCAACTGCAAATATGCACAAACAATTGTGATTATTAACGTTTGACAACAATCATAAAAACTGATTTTTGCCGGTTTGTAATACTTAGAATAACTCCAAATCAAAAGCTCATGATATACATATATTAATCAAGAATTAAAGATGGATATTCATTTATCATGATTTTTGTTTGAATAATTATTTAGTGAATATGATTTTCATCATTATTAGTCATAACGAAATAATAATAATCTAGAAAGGACACTGGCGATCGAGACTCAAGAGTCAAGACTCAAGAGGGTTCTTTTATACTTAATAGCAACTTTACGGCGTAAATGGAAGTAGTACAAAGAGTTGGGGTGTATCATGTAAATATTACGAAGATTAAGATCCAGAAGATCGAAATGGAAAACAAGGCACGCATTTCAAAGCCCAAAACGGGCGGGGGCAAACGTCACGCCTAATCTTATCTTCTTCTCTCATACTCTCTGCTTATCTATGACTATCATCATCAATGATTTGGTTCACATTATTAACATTCACCAAAACCAATTTTTATTATAAAAAAAAAATAAGAACACAAAATTCTCAAGTGTGACCATGTAAATTCATAATTAGAGTAAGGTTATTAGGCTAAAACCTGTTTGATTTGGATTTTACTACTATAGGATAAGAACTTCTGTTGCTGTCACAGATAGAAAACTTGTGTCCAAATGATATTTTTGGTCCTTTTAAGCAAATAAATATTACGAAAAAAAGATATTTTTTGATTTACTTATTTTGGGATAATTATTTACCAGGAACGGGCAAAGCGGTGAGTCATCTTTCCTTATAAATGATCACAAACCCGAGGACTGTGAGTTTCGTGTAGAACAAATCCTTCTCTGAGAAAACAACAGATCGGGATTTTATCTTAATCAACCGGAAAAAATGGAGAAAGCGATCGAAAGACAACGCGTTCTTCTTGAACATCTCCGACCTTCTTCTTCTTCTTCGCACAATTATGAGGCTTCTCTATCTGTAAGCTTTCTCTCTCACTCTCTCTCTTTCGATCGATCTAGCGCGATCTCTAGGACTGTCTTCTCTTGTGTTGATGGATCGTTGTTGATCTGGATTCTTTGTATGCAATTTTGGATTTTCATTTTGATGCTGAATTATAATTTGATTCAGCTCGATTGAGATCAAATTCAAGACTTGGATTTTGTTTTTGTATTTCGTTCACTGGATTGAGATAGATATCTTCTTTTTTTTTTGTTTGATTTTTGTTCGATTGGGTTGAATTATAAGTGCTCTGCAGAAACTGTGCATGTTCTGATGATTTCTTAAAAGTCAAAGCTTGATTTCAATTACTTCGTGTAATCTCTTTAACGTGTTCTTCTCAAATTATCAGGCTTCTGCTTGCTTGGCTGGGGACAGTGCTGCATATCAGAGGACTTCTCTTTATGGAGATGATGTTGTGATTGTCGCGTAAGTCCATCTCTTATGCTTTTGCTCTTTTGGTAATTCGTTTTTCAACAACGTATGAAGACTTCTTGTATCTTTCTGATAGACTCACACTTATTGATCCATTGCAGGGCACATAGAACTCCACTATGCAAGTCGAAACGTGGCAACTTCAAGGATACATATCCTGATGATTTGCTCGCACCTGTTTTGAGGGTCTGTCGCTATCTTTTCTATTCTGTTGTTGGTTTTTATCTCCGTCCCTACTTTTTAGTTATATATCTTATTGGCACAGGCATTGATAGAGAAGACAAATCTAAACCCAAGTGAAGTAGGGGACATTGTTGTTGGTACTGTTTTGGCACCTGGATCTCAGAGAGCCAGTGAATGCAGGATGTCTGCGTTCTATGCTGGTTTCCCTGGTATGTTTCTTCTATGTGCGTTACGGTGATAAAACTCTTTTTTTTATTGGCTTTATACTAATGCTGTTATGTCTTTTGGCAGAAACCGTGGCCGTCAGAACTGTGAATAGACAGTGCTCATCTGGGCTTCAGGCTGTTGCTGACGTAGCCGCGGCCATTAAAGCTGGATTTTATGACATTGGTTAGTGAATAACGTCTTTGATTTTGATTACGCCACTGTCCTCCTTTTTTTAATAGAGAACTGAGCTGACGATATGATGGATGCAGGTATCGGGGCTGGGTTGGAGTCCATGACTACCAATCCAATGGCATGGGAAGGGTCAGTCAACCCAGCGGTACTGATTCTCTCTTATCTGGAGTCTTAACTGGCTCTGTTATGTTTATAGCCTACTATAATACGGACTATGTTATTTCAGGTGAAGAAGTTTGTACAAGCACAGAATTGTCTTCTTCCTATGGGTGTTACTTCAGAAAATGTAGCACAACGCTTTGGTGTCTCAAGGCAGGAGCAAGATCAAGCCGCTGTAAGGCAACTGAACTTTTTCAGTATGGTTGTACTTTAGATAACCTATAATTTTGATCGCCTAATGCTAAGCTATCGTGTCATATTGCTAGGTTGACTCGCACAGAAAGGCAGCTGCTGCTACTGCTGCTGGTAAATTCAAGGATGAAATCATTCCTGTTAAGACCAAGGTATTTTCCAGATCCTCCATATGTAACATTTAAGACTCCTCCTCGTGCATTAGTTACTGAACTTCATTCATGTTCTTATGATAGTCAATAACGTGATTATATTTCAGCTTGTTGACCCAAAGACTGGTGATGAGAAACCCATTACAGTTTCTGTTGATGATGGTATCCGACCAACCACAACTCTTGCTTCTCTTGGGAAGCTGAAGCCAGTGTTTAAGAAGGATGGCACCACAACTGCTGGTACTTTCCCCGAATCAATTGTTTCATTATGGAGACAGCAGTTCTTATTATCACAATTTTGAATCCATTGCTTCATTTTTTTCTGTCGCAAACAGGAAATTCCAGCCAAGTAAGTGATGGTGCAGGAGCTGTTCTCCTCATGAAGAGAAGTGTTGCAATGCAAAAAGGACTTCCCGTCCTTGGTGTATTCAGGTGGGTAATAATTGCTGATAAAGCTACAATGGTAGAAGTCTGAAAACCGAAAACTGTAGATGCTTGTGATTTCCATTTACACAGATATGCTAGTATATGTAGATAATACATTGTTCTTTCTGTATTTTGATTTTCCTAAGTAGCACACTATTGGACGTATTGCAG